ATCTTTACACTACCTAAAATATAATCTAAGATAACGTGTGTCAATGTAGGTAGTGATGAATGAACAACAGAGAACAAGAACAGTCTTTACACTACCTAAAATATAAACTAAGATAACATGTGTCAGTGTAGGTAGTGATGAATGAACAACAGAGAACAAAAACAATCTTTACACTACCTAAAATATAATCTAAGATAACGTGTCAATGTAGGTAGTGATGAATGAACAACAGAGAACAAGAACAGTCTTTACACTACCTAAAATATAAACTAAGATAACGTGTGTCAGTGTAGGTAGTGATGAATGAACAACAGAGAACAAGGACAGTCTTTACACTACCTAAAATATAAACTAAGATAACGTGTGTCAGTGTAGGTAGTGATGAATGAACAACAGAGAACAAAAACAATCTTTACACTATCTAAAATATAAACTAAGATAACGTGTGTCAGTGTAGGTAGTGATGAATGAACAATAGAGAACGAAAACAGTTTTTGCACTACCTAAAATATAAACTAAGATAACGTGTGTCAGTGTAGATAGTGATGAATGAACAACTGAGAACGAAAACAGTCTTTACACTACCTAAAATATAAACTAAGATAACGTGTGTCAGTGTAGGTAATGATGAATGACAACAGAGAACGAAAACAGTTTTTACACTACCTAAAATTTAAACTAAGATAACATGTGTCAGTGTAGGTAGTGATGAATGAACAACAGAGAACAAAAACAATCTTTACACTACCTAAAATATAATCTAAGATAACGTGTGTCAATGTAGGTAGTGATGAATGAACAACAGAGAACAAGAACAGTCTTTACACTACCTAAAATATAATCTAAGATAACGTGTGTCAGTGTAGGTAGTGATGAATGAACAACAGAGAACAAGAACAGTCTTTACACTACCTAAAATATAAACTAAGATAACATGTGTCAGTGTAGGTAGTGATGAATGAACAACAGAGAACAAAACATCTTTACACTACCTAAAATATAAACTAAGATAACGTGTGTCAGTGTAGGTAGTGATGAATGAACAACAGAGAACAAGAACAGTCTTTACACTACCTAAAATATAAACTAAGATAACGTGTGTCAGTGTAGGTAGTGATGAATGAACAACAGAGAACAAGGACAGTCTTTACACTACCTAAAATATAAACTAAGATAACGTGTGTCAATGTAGGTAGTGATGAATGAACAACAGAGAACAAGAACAGTCTTTACACTACCTAAAATATAAACTAAGATAACGTGTGTCAGTGTAGGTAGTGATGAATGAACAATAGAGAACGAAAACAGTTTTACACTACCTAAAATATAAACTAAGATAACGTGTGTCAGTGTAGATAGTGATGAATGAACAACAGAGAACGAAAACAGTCTTTACACTACCTAAAATATAAACTAAGATAACGTGTGTCAGTGTAGGTAATGATGAATGACAACAGAGAACGAAAACAGTTTTTACACTACCTAAAATTTAAACTAAGATAACATGTGTCAGTGTAGGTAGTGATGAATGAACAACAGAGAACAAAACAATCTTTACACTACCTAAAATATAATCTAAGATAACGTGTGTCAATGTAGGTAGTGATGAATGAACAACAGAGAACAAGAACAGTCTTTACACTACCTAAAATATAATCTAAGATAACGTGTGTCAGTGTAGGTAGTGATGAATGAACAACAGAGAACAAGAACAGTCTTTACACTACCTAAAATATAATCTAAGATATTATGTGTCAGTGTAGGTAGTGATGAATGAACAACAGAGAACAAAAACAATCTTTACACTACCTAAAATATAATCTAAGATAACGTGTGTCAATGTAGGTAGTGATGAATGAACAACAGAGAACAAGAACAGTCTTTACACTACCTAAAATATAAACTAAGATAACGTGTGTCAGTGTAGGTAGTGATGAATGAACAACAGAGAACAAGGACAGTCTTTACACTACCTAAAATATAAACTAAGATAACGTGTGTCAATGTAGGTAGTGATGAATGAACAACAGAGAACAAGAACAGTCTTTACACTACCTAAAATATAAACTAAGATAACGTGTGTCAGTGTAGGTAGTGATGAATGACAACAGAGGACGAAAACAGTTTTTACACTACCTAAAATTCAAATTTTACCATATAAGTTGTTTGTGTTTGTTGGATGAGTGAAAAGAGAAGAACAAATCGTGTTTCGTTAATGTAATTTGTTTTATGTTTACTTTCATAGCTTTTTTCAACTGGTTTTATTGGATTGTAACCTTTGGAGCAATGCTTGCGATAGCTGTTGCTTCATATGTCCAACAAGATATTTCCTATTTTTTTGGATACTTGATTCCGGTGGTGACGCTTCTTCTTTCCATCCTGGTTTTTCTTTTGGGGCGAAAAAGATACATTATTCGTCCTCCAACGGGTAGCGTTCTTACTACAACCTTTAAAATAGTACGAGAGGCGATTAAACGATCTCTGAGGCCATCTCTGTCGAGTTCTTTTGTAAATCATTGGTTGGACCGAGCAAAAATGTGTTTTGGTGGATCTTACAGCAGTTGGGAAGTTGAAGATGTGAAAACAGTGTACAGATTGTTGCCGATTTTCGCGTCTTTTATCGTATATTGGATGGTGTTTTCACAGGTTTCTGTATTAAATTTAACTCATACCTGTTTCCTTATTCCTTTATTCATAATTCTTGTTTTTGAACAGTTAAGACTTGGAATTTGCTCTTTATATGTAGCTATGTAGTTGCAAAGACCAACGGGCAGTGTTTTTTAGAGCATTTTACAGCAAAAGTAACTAGTTTCAAATCTTAATGGGCAATATGCATACAACCATTCATATATGTCATGAAATTTTGACGAGTACGCTACCATTGAAGTAAACATTAGTTACTAGAGTTTGGGAGACGAAACTAACTTAACGAAACATTTGAAAAACGAGTTTACGTGCTTTTTAAATCTTGTGATCGAAACATCCAATGCAAAAACCCAAATGCTGCATGGTTTTGATTTTACCAAGCAATGGTGAAGAAGTAATTGAAGTTAAAATGATATTTTATCTTTGCTGTAGATAAGTTCAACGATGGTTTTTCAAGCAAAGTATATGGATATAAAACTTGGTCAGTTTGAAATTCCCATCGCGTATCTGTGTCTTGTTAACACAGTATCTGTTTTATTAATTATACCTGTTATGGATAAAGTTGTCTATCCACTTTTGGGTTATTTCAATATCCATCTCAGTCAATTACAACGCATCGGTATTGGCATGTTGATAGCCACTGCTAGTATGGCGTGTGCTGGGGGGATAGAAGTGTATCGTAAGGATCATTGTTGTATACCACAAGAAAGACATGGTGAAGATAAGCCGTTAAATGTCTCTGATGCCAGCATATTTTATCAAGTGCCTCAATATTTTTTGATTGGTCTGAGTGAAGTGTTTTCAAGTATTTCAGGTATGGACGATTTAAAACTTTAAGATAAAAAATAACATTAAATTAATGATTTCTTACGTACTGTCTTCACTATTACATATTTATAAGGAGATCAACTTCGTTGATTTTTTAGTACCATCAGTATCACAGATTAAGAGTCCATTGATTGTTAATGCAGCTTCATTATTCAAGTTCTTCCACATTCAACAAATTTTACTTAACTACGATGATCTTCTAAATTTGTTTCAGGTTTAGAATTGGCTTTTACTGAAGCTCCAAAATCTCTACAAGGTGTTGTGATGGGAGTTTATCTTTTCTCTACAGGACTTGGTGTAATGTTCGGCGCAGTTCTTGTTCTTATTATCAATGCAATTACAGGAAGTAGTAACGAAAAAGACAAATGGTTTCCAAGTAAGACGAACATCAACAAAGGCAAATTGGAAAACTATTTTTTTCTGCTTGCTGTCTTAATGTTTCTCAACTTTGTTTTGTATGTTTTTTTTGCCTTAAATTATAACAAGAAAAAGGAATTGGCCGCGAAAACGATGGAAAATAATGATAAAACACCGGAATACGTAACTTAAAATCCCCAAGCCATTGGTAATGTAGAAAGCAGTCAATCTTGTGTACAATGTGCTGTAAGTTGTTTTTTTCTCATTAATTGAAGGTTTTTTGTTTCAATTTGTTCGTTTTGTTTTAGTCTAGGTTTCACTGTTATGATGTTCCTTTGAACACTTTGACTAGTGGATTTTAGTAATTTAACTCATATTGCATTTTGTATGAATACATCCGCCATTGTCTATCGAAAAATCTTATATGGTGTGATAATCATGTCAAATTTGATAATTTTCAAATGTTGTAAAAAATTGGAAAGTCTACTTAAAAGCACGTGGTGTTATATTTAGCTGCTAGTCTAACGAGGGAAACGGGAAACCGCCGAGTGCAGGGAAGGGAGGGGGCCATACCCACTGAGAGGAAGAAAGATGGGGAAATACCCACCGAGAGGAGCACAGGTGCGGCCTAACCCCCCTGTCCTATTTGAACTACTTTGAACACGTAAATTATGTCGATTGAAAAGCCAATTACACAGTTTACATTGGTCAAAATGAATTTTGAAAATGATGCAAAATATTTCTAATAGAAGTTTGTTAGTTTTATTAATATTTGTTTTTCATTATTCTTTAAATTCGAAGTAGTTTTTCATTCACGTCAAAATTAACGACAACGAATGATAAATATTATATTTTTATTATTGCCACATCTGTGTCTGTTCTTACCACTAAGTTGTCAATATTCAACGAATTATCACGCTATACTTGTGTCTCGTGATTTCTAACATTCATACTTGAAATTCCAGGCTCATGCTTCAGAATTCCAAAACAAAAATGACCAATAAAATCAATAAATTGTTTTATAAAACGAGCTAAAACCCGTCACCAATTTACGTGTTATGGAATGAAACATAATCCTTAAAAATTACTTAAATCCTGAATATTTACATGTGACGTTCATAAATATGAAGATCGCATTTACTTGATGTAATAACTTCCGTTTATCGACTATCTTAACATCATATATGACTACATTTTTAAATCTAAATGGCAATATCTTGCTTTATTCTTAAAAGAAATCCATGTCTTTTTGTTGGACAAGTTACGTGAAGACGTATTTGAAAGATAAACGGAACGAGAAAAAATTGTTATTGTATTTTTTTTTAATTTGTGTCACGAGTTAGTCAGCACACCTTGTGATTTTGTTGTGATGTTTCAAATTTAACATCAATTAACATTTGATAGCTTTTGCATTAACCATAGGTCGCAGGCCGTTCCTGAGGTATAGAAGATATTATTTTGTGTTCATAAACAACGCAAAAAAGATAACTTAAACTACTAACAAATTAATAAATTTTCAGTCTTGTTTATCTTCTTGCAAAGGTATAATTTATACAATGGCTGTATAGTGCATTATGTGCTCCTGTGAATAGTAAACTAATTTGAAATTTTTCTTGAAATTATATTTAATTGGTTTTACTTTTTTGTTTTAAGATGGATAATTCATCAGAAAAATCGAGATCTTCAGAAACATCACCACTACTTCAAGATAATGATTCACCAGCGATAAACGATATTGTTGACATAAAACCGTCCAAACCATCCATTTTTACGGTTCCAGTCTTATGTATTCTTATCATGGAGCTTTGTGAGAGGTTGACATTTTATGGCATCAATGCAAATCTTGTCTTGTTTGCTTTGAATGGCAACCACTTGCAATTTTCTTCCTCGGAAGCGGCCATTTTGTCCTATGTATTTCAAGGTACTGTTGTAACTTGTTATAGAAACCGTTTACATAATGATTATGATACTTTATTTCATTTCGTACTAGGTCTTTGTTATCTAACTCCAATTATTGGTGGTTGGTATGCAGATTCCAAAGCAGGAAAGTTTGCAACAATACTTGGTGCTGGTGTTGTATATTTGATTGGATCTATTTTGCTTCCGTTGGGATCTATAACTTATAGCAAACCTGAACACAGCAATTGGGCTGCAAGTAGTTTTACAACCAATAAAGTATTTAAAATAACTGTGTATCTTACTGGTTTAATACTCGTTTCAATTGGAACTGGAGGAATTAAATCAAATGTATCACCTTTTGGTGCAGAACAACTATCAAGTCTTGGTCCTTCGGCTATTCAAGGTATGAACGTTAAACAGATAGGCAGAATTAATCTGAATAGTATTCACTTGTGTAAAACATTGAAGGAAAGATTTCGTTTTTGTCTTATTAAGAAATGATAGTGATGAATGAACAACAGAGAACGAAAACAGTCTTTACACTACCTAAAATATAAACTAAGATAACGTGTGTCAGTGTAGGTAGTGATGAATGAACAACAGAGAACGAAAACAGTCTTTACACTACCTAAAATATAAACTAAGATAACATGTGTCAGTGTAGGTAGTGATAAATGAACAACAGAGAACAAGAACAAATTTTACACTGTCTAAAATATAAACTAAGATAACATGTGTCAGTGTAGGTAGTGATGAATGAACAACAGAGAACAAGAACAGTCTTTACACTACCTAAAATATAAACTAAGATAACGTGTGTCAGTGTAGGTAGTGATGAATGAACAACAGAGAACGAAAACAGTCTTTACACTACCTAAAATATAAACTAAGATAACATGTGTCAGTGTAGGTAATGAGGTAATGATGAATGAACAACAGAGAACAAAAACAGTCTTTACACTACCTAAAATATAAACTAACATAACGTGTGTCAGTGTAGGTAATGATGAATGAACAACAGAGAACGAAAACAGTCTTTACACTACCTAAAATATAAACTAAGATAACGTTTGTCAGTGTCATGCACTTTATTTCTACAAAAATCAGCATTTTTTATTACCTTTTGTAGCGTTCTTCAACTGGTTTTATTGGTTTATAAATATTGGAGCACTTATCGCTTTTACGCTAGTTGTATATGTCCAACAAGATTTTTCCTACTTTTTTGGATATTTGATTCCAGTGGTAACGCTTCTTCTTTCCATCCTGGTTTTTCTTTTGGGGCGAAAAAGATACATTATTCGTCCTCCAACTGGTAGCGTTCTTACTACAACCTTTAAAATAGTACGAGAGGCGATTAAACGATCTCGGAGGCCATCTCTGTCGAGTTCTTTTGTAAATCATTGGTTGGACCGAGCAAAAATGTGTTTTGGTGGTTCTTACAGCAGTTGGGAAGTTGAAGATGTGAAAAAAGTGTACAGATTGTTGCCGATTTTCGCGTCTTTTATCGTTTATTGGATGGTGTATGCACAGGTTTGTGTAAATTTAGTGTAATTCACAGATTTTATACAAGTAAGATGAATGATCATCAATGTATTCTTCTAAGGACATTCAATAAAAATTTAATCAATGATAAACGTTATTGTGTAAAGTCATTGATGTCTCACGTTTTTTGCCTGGAAATCACATGACCATAAAATTTGTCTTTATAAACATACGTTTTCTATTGAGAAAACAAGACTTTAATTTCCTCATTTCCAAATTATCAGCGTTTATTTAGAAAGCAAAAATACGGCTATGATTATGATATTTCTTTTGTTTTATACTTTTTCCGTAGATGAGCACCTCAATGGTCTTTCAAGGAAAGTACATGGATATTAAACTTGGTCGGTTACAAATTCCAGTCGCCTGTCTCTCTCTTCTTGATACTCTTGGTGTTTTATTAATTATACCTGTTATGGAGAAAATTGTCTATCCACTTTTGGGTTATTTCAATATCCATCTCAGTCAATTACAACGCATCGGTATTGGCATGTTGATAGCCACTGCTAGTATGGCGTGTGCTGGGGGGATAGAAGTGTATCGTAAGGATCATTGTTGTATACCACAAGAAAGACATGGTGAAGATAAGCCGTTAAATGTCTCTGATGCCAGCATATTTTATCAAGTGCCTCAATATTTTTTGATTGGTCTGAGTGAAGTGTTTTCAAGTATTTCAGGTATGGACGATTTAAAACTTTAAGATAAAAAATAACATTAAATTAATGATTTCTTACGTACTGTCTTCACTATTACATATTTATAATGAGATCAACTTCGTTGATTTTTTAGCACCATCAGTATCACAGATTAAGAATCCATTGATTGTTAATGCAGCTTCATTATTCAAGTTCTTCTACATTCAACAAATTTTACTTAACTACGATGATCTTCTAAATTTGTTTCAGGTTTAGAATTGGCTTTTACTGAAGCTCCAAAATCTCTACAAGGTGTTGTGATGGGAGTTTATCTTTTCTCTACAGGACTTGGTACAATGTTTGGCGCAGTTCTTGTTCTTATTATCAATGCAATTACAGGAAGTAGTAACGGAAAAAACAAATGGTTTCCAAGTGAGACGGACATCAACAAAGGCAAATTGGAAAACTATTTTTTTCTGCTTGCTGTTTTAATGTTTCTCAACTTTGTTTTGTATGTTTTTTTGGCTATAAATTATAAAAAGAAAAAGGAATCGGCCGCGAAAACTTTGGAAAATGGCAATAAAACACCGGAATATGTTACAGAGGATCCCCTACCAATTGAAAAGAATGCTTTTGAAAACTCCTTGTCTTCTAAAAAGAATTATGAACGAGTGTCTCCTTAGATCTCTACTTCAACTAAATAACTTAATTTTTGATAATCAATTTTTAGGTATTGACACATATAGGTAAATGACAAAAGATCACTACGACGAAGTTGATTGTAAAAAAAATTGTGGCAAATCGATTTTATCATATTCTTTTTTGCGAGAGGATAAACAAAAAATTATTTTGTGAAGGCATTTGACGAAACAATGAGAACGTGAAATTCTAATTTGATAAAGGTAAAACTACCTTCAACAGTTTCTAGAACAGTATATATTGACAAAATTTGAACCAATGATTTGACCAATGTTTTAATTACCGTCAACAGTCTTTTGTATTGCAGTTTAAAATGATCATAAAGATGAAAATTATAACATAGATAGTCGTGTTCGGATTATTTTATTATGTGAAAATTTTTCTTATTGTAAACACATTGAATATTTTCATAGTATTAAATATGATTATTTTTGCATTAATTCAGCTTCTGTTATTTGACGCTAAACTATACAGTAAAACTACACTAACACTAGCACTTCCAATTTTGGCTTTGCTTTCTTTTATTGGTAGTTTGTTCGGTTTTCAAAATCCATCACAATGTTAATTTCAGTCCATGACTTCGTTAAATGATGACACAGTTCTAAAATTGAAATTAATTGTATTGAAATAAGAAAAATCCTTCCACTACATTATGAATAGTTGTACAAACGCCATTGATACATGCACTAGGCACAACGCTCAATAAATATAGTTAGTTCAGTCTATGTGTTCTGTTATTTTTAATCCTGTATAACTTTAACTCACTGATCGATTTTGTCTTCCAACATTAACATCATTTACATGAGGGGTTAAAGGTGAAGATGTTTGACGACGATCTGCTCTTCTCGCCGGCAAATGTTGCTGTTGTTCTCTTTGTCTTAATGTTGTTTGTCGATTTTCCTCTTCTTGTAGCTCAATGGCGTATTGTCTACTGCAAAAGATGAAAAAAATAGCTGCCATTTTGCAATAGTTCGAGTGAAGGAAAAACATTTTTTGTCTTACTCGTAAACTTCTTGTTCTCTGAGTGCAACATTTGAAGAATAAAAATCCACATTGATTTCTTCAGAAGGTTGTCTATTTTCTCCTGGTTCTAGTTGGACGTTTGATTGAGTTTGCATTATTTGTTGCTCTTTTGATAACGACAAAGCAAGCATAAGACTAAATAAATGAAAGATAATGGAATCATAAAGGAAACTAAGAAAAATTAAAAACTTATTTTCTACTGAATATGTAACTTTACAAATTATGTTTTTTTACAGATAAAGGATTATCTTCTATTTGATTTCATCCTTACTCTTCATCTTCTTGTGAAAGTGTTTCTCTGGTGACAGAAGCATTCTCATCACTGCGTAGGTTTGTCTTTTTAAAATTGTCATCGACAAATATTCCGTCGCCATCAACATTGCATAAAATTTGCCAAACTATTTTCTCTTCTGTTAAGAAACCATGGTCAGTCAATAGAACAAATAATTCGCCCTGAAAAAGTTTTGGAAATATTTTATATGACACATGTTATCTTAGTTTATATTTTAGGTAGTGTAAAGACTGTTCTTGTTCTCTGTTCTTCATTCATCACTACCTACAGTGACACACGTTATCTTAGTTTATATTTTAGGTAGTGTAAAGACTGTTCTTGTTCTCTGTTGTTCATTCATCACTACCTACAGTGACACACGTTATCTTGGTTTATATTTTAGGTAGTGTGAAGACAGTTCTTGTTCTCTGTTCTTCATTCATCAATTTATGTTATAAATCTAATTATCTAAGATCAGTTTTCTAATCACCTTGTATTTGTATAATGTATTGAAATGATTATTTCTGAAGAAGACACATAATTCATCATCTTTCATTTTGGCATTTAATTCACAAACCCCATGACATGTAAGTTGATTAGCTGTTTGATCCAAAAATGATTCTGCTAAATACCCTGCAAAAAAATATATAAGTATGAGGTTATTATTAAATAATTAGGTATTATCGTAACATTTTTTTAAAGTTCCAACACCAAAACTTCAATACATAGTTTTTAAGATGAGTTTCATATAAAGAAACAAACCTTCTAATGACAGCTGGCTGTTATCGTCTGTTTCTTTGCTGGCAACAATTTTCTCAACAAGTTGATTATAGCTCAGATTTCCTATAGCTTTCCTGAACTCAATATTTTGAGGATCAAGTAACCAACCATGATAAAGATGAATATTCAACAAATCAAATATGACACATTCCGGGGTGAATTCAAATTCGTTAACCCTTAAGTAAACAAATGACAAAAGTATAAGTTACAGTAAAGATAGAAAACTAATAAATAACCATTTAATCTCACCCAGTGAATTTAACATTAACATCAAGGCCAGTTGTAAGTTTTGGTAAAATGCTTAACGCATCTTGCATATTTTGCTCAAAATTTCTTTGAGCAGCTTCATTCATGTTCTAGAAGATAATGAATATTATTTAAAATTACAACATTTCATACACATCCAGAAACATCATCTTAACTATTGCATTATCATAATGATAAGATAATTAAAACACCTTGGGAATTTCTTCAAGAAAAACATCACCAAGATAATCCATTAGTTCCTGTGTTGTAACCATTTCCTGTTTTGATGGAAAACATAACACTCTTCTGAGTAAAAGAATATTGATTATTGCTAGTAATGGACATGGTCCATTATCATTTTGGGTAACAATTGCAGTTCTAATTCCTTTCCAAAGGATCCATTTGATAAAATATGGACTAGCATTGCTGTTTTCATTATTATCTTGTTGATTTAGGCAGCTGTTTGAACTTTCAATGTTGGTTCTAATAGAATTTGATGTTGTGTTACCAAGTTCATTTTCATCATTTTTTTTGGAAGAAAAATCTGTTGTTTTAATAGAATCCAACTCTGAATCTTTCTCTTGCACTATTTTATCTATGTTTGAATTTGCGACAGATGTCATTTCATTTTCATTTTCATTTTTATATGCTTCACCAACAGGTCCTGTAGGATCCAATTTCTCCCCACAATCTGCATTCGAATTGCTTAAAATTGTCTCCCTAGATTTAACTAAAAGCGAGGCATTTTTTTCAGAATCTGGTGACTTTGACGTCTCTACAGTTATGCTTTCTTTCACCGTATTTGAATAAGGACAGTTCAAATCTTTATTTAATGAAAAATCATCGGCTTCGTTATGTACTTTCTTGTCTTGAGCAGAATTATTCGTTTCTTGGCATTCTTCTGATTTTGCATTGCTTTCCATATTTAATTCACTAATACAAAAAACATTTAAATTTATTTCTAATCACAGAAATTGGAAAGAAATTTGAGAAAAACTTCAGAAAGTTAAGAAAGTTTCTCTGGGTTTTTCATAGTGGATTTTAATTGGGATTCAGGAATGTACTCTGATCTTAGTATTAACTGATGTTAATCTGGATTGCTTATCCTAAATCACAAACTTTTTATCTTCAGTTTTTCGCATGGAACTTAGAAATTTATAGGATTAAAATGATTAAATTTTAATATACCTCATTCCCCTCTCCTAGAAGAACGCATTTTCATGGACAAATATCATCGTTATCTCAAATATAACCTTTGGAGAATTGTTTAAAATGTAAGTGTTTGTAATTTCTGTATTTAGCAGAATTTTTTTCTTATGGAAAATTTTGATGAGTGAGAGTATAATGCTAAATTTGATTTACAAAACATGCATTTCGCTTTACAATTCTAAGTAGATCAATGTTCAAGACCTACAACATCATATATTACTGAGTATAAAGCTCTAAATATCTGCATTTAAAATTAGGGACTAAAAATCCCTCTTCATTACAAAGGGAAAATGCCTTTGTAGAGAAAAAGAAGTACAAAATCATTCATCGGTCAATTGTTAACATTAACCCAATAATGTTTACAGTTTTATTAAAAAATAAATTGTGCATTGCATATGAAAGTTGACCATTAGTTATCAAGCATGTGTTGGTTAAATAAACATATTTTGATTTAAATATTTTCATATAAGATCAATTAGAGATAATCCTTAAAATGAAGTTTCTTTGACCGAACAGTTTTGGAAAAATTACATAATTACATGTTTTAAAAAGATATTTTAGGTTATTTGTTGGATACCAAAAATAGTCAAAGATTGTCTTCTTCTAATATGCATAGAATTGTTGATATATCTTGATTGTTTTCAAATCTATTGGCTAATCCTTTCAACTCACTGCTGCTCATGCTGTTGATTGTCTTAGCCATTGAATCTTCATCATTTAAACAGGTGTTGATGCTTTTGCATTGATATGTTTGCTGTTGAAGTTCTCTTTGATGAACATGAAAAGTATGACTGACTGTTAAATCTGTTTCTAAATCAAAACTTTGATAAACTCTGTGGTAGTCTTCATCAACCTTTAAAAGAAAGAAAAATATTGAATTGCTTTGTCTTACATATGCATAATTTTGGCATAAAATACTATACGTCTTGATGTTTTTCATAAACATCTGATGTAAATTCTGGCTATTTATATTTATGATCAATAAAAGTATAGAGTATTTATTGTATTCTAGGGTAACTTGAAAACTTATTTTGTTATGGTTTTACAATTGCTATCCTTCTCAGAATTACAAAGTGAAATGTGCTTTATTCCTCATGTGCGATATCAACAAAAATGAAAGATTCCTATGACCATCTAACATGTGCTTAACAACAGTGAACTTTTATATAGGAAAATAATGAAACATAGATGTAATAATTAACATCTAATTATCATAATTTAAATAGAAATTACCACGTTAATACATTACAGCATAATGTAACAACATATTGTTGAACCTTTTGCCTGCAGAATCTATTTCAAAATAAATAACTACTATTGCTTATTGTTTAGTGGCTACACCTTCAGTTTTTTATACAGTCTTTCATGTTATATTTATGAATGTTATATTTTATGAACGTCGCGGCAGTTGAACACGGTTTATATAAAATAACACAAAATATGAGGTCTTTGAATATCATGATAGATTTCTTATTCTTTTAGAAAATTGCATAAAAATATTTACCTGATGGCGAATGTTGCCTGTGTCTATTTAAAGAAAAAACACATTTTAGTCTTCATGATATGTTATAATCTCCTTAAATGTTCATTGCGCGAACGGAACCTTTCCCGAATTGCCAAAAAATTTGAAAATACTTAAAAGGAAAAACCACTATTTTATTCCTTTGTACATGTTTTTCATATGTTCTATAAATCATAATCAATAAATTCTGTTTTATTATTATTTTTTTATTTTGTCATCTACATTTTCTAATTAATATTTTGTTGAAATTGCGTGAAAAGAAATATGTCACATGAAATGACCTGTTGTGGTTGTTCCAGCCTGTTCATATAACCAGAATTATATAAAGTACTATAAAACATTTTCAAATTATATTAGTTATGTATGAAATTGCATTTGAAGATAAATTTAAAGATATTTTACCTCACCTGAGTAATTGCAAAGGTTATTGTTCTGCACAGTAATCGGTAAATTTTCTGCATACTGATATGAAAGTTCGTCCATATGTGAAAGTCTTGGACAGAAGTTTCTTGAAAAGTCTATAAGACATTTGGTTGATTATTGTTGTGCTTCATGAATACATAGTTAATATAATTTTTACATTCTCCGTTAAATATACATCGATCACTACGCATACAGTTTTGTTACATGTGTAATATAAAAATAATATACAGCCCTGTAGCTATATCTGGCAGATAACGAGAGAAAGATGTATTGCTGTGTCTATATATAAGTGATCACAACTATCTTTTAAGTCTACAAATTATTTTATTTGAGATATCGACGTTCTCAATAAAAAGTTGATGACGTAGGATTTAGTTAGGCAAGAAATGCATACAGGATGGTTTCAGTGACAAACATTTCATTGTTTATAAAGCAATGTCGGTGATTCAATTGTATACTTTAGTACTTCAGTGGTTGAATGTTGATTATTTGCAATGTTACTTTATTATAAAAACGAGGGTCATTTCAGATGGTAAAAATTTTATATGACTTAATTGTGTTTTGTGATTACTATAATTAGCTAAATGTTACTAGCTATATTACTAAAACAATTTAACCGCGCTAAATACATTTCATCAATAGCTAAATCTATCAAAGGTCTTATATCCCATCAAATAAAAATAATTCAAAAATGATCTTAGAAAGAAAGTAAATTACTAATCTCTAACGCTTGCTGAAATATTTTTTGTGCAATAAAGCATTTTTGGTACATATTTATCGTATTGCAATGTAGTTATTTTTTCACTTTCATTATAAAAAATTTCGTTTTCAATATTGTGTATGTTTAATTATTGACTGTATGGTTGAACTTAAATTTCTTTGTCTCTTAATACTTTACTGAAAAACACCGTCTGTATTGGCTAAACGAGAAAAAAATATTGTTTGTTTGATGCATGATCAATTTTTAATTTCTACACCTCTTGCTAAACTCCCATTTTTTATATTTATTCCCTTGTATATTTTATAAAATATATTTTACATTCTACAGTGTGCAGTAGGTCGATAAAGACATTAGCTAATTGCTCGCATTCTAATCACATGTTTAATTGAGATTTTCATTTCAAAAATGCAAGTTTTTTTAAGAGCAGTGATCACTTTTGCCGCACTTAGAATTGGCAATATGAAAATGCAAGTATTTTTATAGTTAAATTCATCTACAAGCAAAACATCAAACCACTTGAAATCCTAACAAGAGTTAATAACCATTTAAAATATGCATAAAAACTAGTTAATTTCTGTGGCGTTTTTTAGACGTACAAAATTGTTAGCATCTTTGCTCTTATCTGACAGCTGCAAATCAAACTTTCAGCAACTTTTACATAAAACATTGCTAAAATAAGCATCGACGACAGGGAGATGTTATAATCTTTACTTGAATTTTGAAAATTAGTACACCTATTCTGCTTTATCTATTTTTTCCCTGCCATTATTTTTAGAATGCCAATTGAAAAGTTTTAAAATTGTTTATGTCATCATAATTCGGCTAAAACATACATACCATTGATGAAGTTTAAGCTTGATCTGCAATTTTGGAATTGAAAAACTCGACAAGCATTCGGTCCTTTTGCGATTCTTTCTTCCTTTAGTTCAACAATTGTACGACAAATGTTCAGATTCATTCTAAAATTACATTTCCATGATTTTGGATTTGGGCGATCAATCCCAACGTGAAATTTCCCCGAAGTAATTGCCCACATTTTGAAAAGATTTGCATCTTTTTCCAAGGACCAAGTTCCCCTAGATTTATGTGGCCATCGAATTATTGCTTTTCGTTGATTTCTGTCCTTCCATTTTGCATCCTCCTTGCAAAGTTCTTTATCCAAAACGTAAATTAGCCAGTCTTTAAAACGAGGTTTGCGTTCTGGTTTTGATAAAGACATTTTATAAGTGATGTAAGATTTTAATGAGTTCCACGAAGTCATTCACATGTTGCTTGCACAGTCTCCGGCAATAGAAATGATCAATATGTGTTTCATCAATATTATATGTATGGTATTTTAACGTCATTGCTTCCTGGGGTCAATGTCAGAACTTTAAGGAAACAAATCAAAAGAAAAATACGTAGATACCGCACTGTGAAGAATATCATTTATTGATTCCTTTGTTGTTTAGAAAGAAATTTGTTTTTTGTTGTTGCTTAATCTTTTATCATTTCTGAAATATTTTTAAATAACATTCTTAGTTAAGCTTGCATTGCTTTTTTATACAACTAAAAAATGTGACAAAGAACGATTTTTCCACTTGACAAATAGTAACGGTTTCTGCTAAAGTCGTTATTTTAGAAAACGATTTCATAGCACTCAAACTTTTCTTAAACTGTTATTTTGCAATGAATAAACACAATTTGACGAAGCTAAACCATTTTGACTCTGAAGATGACTACCGCTAAGGTTGTCGAAACGTCAGTCAACAACAACAAGAACAGTCCTTCTCAGGACTTTATTAACCTGGACGATCTACATCTACAAACATGTAACGATTCAAACCATGCTATCTTCGTCTATTTTAGCTTTTCGTCCAACTTTATCACTACTTTGCCATTACTATTTTTCATTACTTATATCTACTGCATGTCATTTAAAAACCATGACCAGCCGACAATTTAAAGAAATATAATGATTCTGTCTGAGGATGACTTTGAAATAAAGTCGAAAATTTACATTTCACTTCTCGTCTTGATTTTATTCATATTTTGCAATCTCAAGATGTCTTGCTTCTGCGGAATTTGTTTTATATTATATCTACTGTCATTTTTAGCGATTCTACTATACAACATCGATGTAGAAAATGAAAAAACCACACAGCAGGTTATCAAGGTAAAAATTGTATTTCAACGATTACTATGACTATTTTTCATGATATATTTCTAGATATAATCTTCAATATTAAAATCGTTCGTGTCTATTTCTAAAATGTTGTAGTTTTGTTTCGCTGTTTGTTCGTTCCTCATTTCTCTGACGATTGTGCTGGTACCATCATCACGATCTAATTCAAATTGCGTGGTCCTTGCACTAGTTTCCAGGACTTCTGAGTGAGGTAATGTAGCATTGTAAAACATGTTGTCAGGAAGAAACGTAAAATCATCATTATAGTCTCTATTGCATTTCTGAAATGCAGACTGGTTGTCAGGAACTACAATGTTAGGGATGCTGTCTGGATAGAAAAGGTTTTGAAATATTGTTTCAGGTGGTGACGGCCAAATTAACGGATAGGTATTTTCCGCCATACTGTCACAAAAGTTATAAAGATTTGTTTCTTCTGTATTTCTTGTAACGTTCATACCAAAGCAGTCACAAGGCTGTTGCTCGTTTTGGGGATTTTTGACGTTATGATCCAGTGATTCACTCTCGTAATAATTTTCGTTTTCGTAATGGCACTGTATATACAACAAACAAAATAAACATTTATAAAACGTACTAAGACAACTTGCGTTCGTGTAGGTAAACCAACAGTGGATTATATTCAATTTTCTCATACCGTAAAACCAAATGTCTTTCTTTCGTTCACTTTGAAAATGCGAACTGGAAAGAGAAAGTCTTCTCTCTTGTACTTCTTTGTCAATTCAATGAAGTCTCTTGAACGCAGATTCATTCGAAAGTTAGTTTTTAAACTTTTGTAGTTGGCAGGAGTAAGGTGGCTTCCTTTTGCACGACTCTTGTCCTTTTTCCACAACTATTTATTTGGAGATATTAAGGAATAAGCAAAGAACTAAACAAGATGAAAGGACTTCATTGATATTTCGTTAATTTTTCTATAATGTATTGTTTTCATCAGGAGTGATCTGATGTTAAAACTTGAGATCTTAAATTCTCTAGTTCAGTTCTCATAAATGCAAAAATACATGGCGTCTTTTTCATTTGCAAGTAATCATTTCTTACCAAAAACAACTGAGCGCAGTCTTCAGTCCAGGCGGACGACTTTCGATGCACCCAGCGAATTACGAAGATTCTTGCCTTTTCATCAAGCCAGTAGGCGTTGTTGGGGGAACGTTGGTTATTTAAAACGTCTACCAACCAATTGACGAAACATGGCTCGTAGTTTTGTCTTGAAAGTTTTCGAAATGAAGGCATTCTGTTTTAGGGGAGCGAAGTCTGCTGCATCTTGTTGAAAAAATTTAACAATCATACAACGTTATCTGTCATCGCCGGTTTCAATTTGAACGATGCTAAAGACATTTCTTAGTTTTATTACATCGGACGTTGTTTTATGATTGTAATTAAAATAACCAATTAACGTATCGCCCACTCAATGCTAAAACTAGCTGAAACAATCTTGACGGTGATATGAAATGAATTATACATGACCAAGGTACCTTACATCCCATATGAAGTTAAAAAATGAAAATGAAATTTGGTAGGAAAAACAAAGAAACGATATCATAATGAACGCAAATTTGCCAACAACTTTATGTGGGCCTGTTTATAAAAACAATGCACAGTTTTATGTCTTGAAAATCATCTTGAAATAGAAGAACCTACATGAACTTATTTAATTACTTCTTTCCAACACGTAACCACAGGAGAGTTTAATAACGATTATATATAATATTATAACAATATTGTCTTCTATCTTTGGCAAGCATGATGAAAACATACGCGCTGCTTTTAAAATCGCGATAGAAAATTGCAAGTCTTTTACTAACAAAACATGGTTGAGCCGAAATAGACATTTTGTGTGACATATGTTAAACATTTGTTACATACTGGGTTTTGTGTAAGTTAAGTTTATCTATACTTTGCATACCTCTAAGTTAGAAATATATGTTCCATTTAATCGCCTAGTCTTGAAGTGTAGAGAGACCTACTGTGCTAAACAATAAAACCGCAATGTGTACGTATTTCAATTAATTGGACTTTTGTTCTGTAACTTTAGTGATTTTAATCTTGAATAGTATGCTAGTAGCAGGAGGTGCGTGGCGATTACGTTAACGCCCTGTTTTATTTTTGTTTTTAACGTTATGGTTGCTTTGTAGTTGCTCCATTGACTAGTAAATGATTGTGAAGGCATTACATCTTTGACCAACTCTGTAATACATTTTATATATTATATATTTGATTTACAAAATTGTGCAATTGTGAAGTGGTTATGTAAATTATAATTTTTTGCAATCTTGTAATTTTGCAATCTTGAAGTCTGAAACAGTGCCATTTGTATATTAATGAGTTTGCGAAAGACAAAGATTTTTTTATCATCATCAATAGTTCAACGGAAACTCGACACACAAATAATAAAAATAGTTGCTTTTTCAAAACGAAATTGGAATAAATTTTCTCTAAAGATTCATATAACTACATTGAAATTGAAATTGAAACATTCTGAAATTATTTCAACGGAAACCGACGTTTTCATAGTAGACAACCATTTGAAATACGCTTCTAGAAGTTATATACAGACTATTCTACATAAGATATTGCAATGGTAGTTCTGAAACCACGGGTTTAGTCTAAAACAGACTTCCGGGAAGCCGTCTTTGTTTAGTGTTTTTGCACAAGTTAAACATAGTACATTATTGAGTACATAGCTACAGTTGGGAAATAAGAAACCGGAAACGTTTATTAAATATGATAAATCTACTGCATTGTCCTTTGTTATTTTAGGATAAAATCCAACTCAAAGAACTTTGCTAAGCAGCTCTGCCTCACACAGAATATTGATTTCATAGTTTTGTTTGACATTTTTAACTACAGACTTTAACATAGAAATTTATTTTGCCAAATTTTATTTATCTTTAACATATAACAACGTTCAATGGCTAAACAAAACACAAAATATCATGAATAAACTTCAATATAAACGTTATTAATTTTCTTTATCTTTAAAGTCAATAACATCTTCTGTGTTTACTTCTTCAATTTCTTCCTTGACATTCGAACACTCTGGTGTTGTTACGGCCGAAGTCACTTGCTTTCTTACAAGGTCAATAACATCCAACGAAACGCTGGAATGGTCATCTTGAGCGTTAGATGCGCCTTCGTTAGAATCATCACTACATGAATTCTTGTTCTTTGTAGGTTTTTGTTTCACAATATTTTGTTCGTTACCATTGCTTATCCCACAGATATCGTTTCTTTTCAATCCCTGAAGCTCAGCTTCTTCTTCATGTGTTTTCGGCGATTCTCGCTGCTCCTTTGTTTCCGTAATATTTGGAAGTTCTTCAATAAGTACTCTTTTTTTTGGTGTCATTGCTTGCGACAGCAGTAAAGATTTCATTGCATGTGATATTCCTACAGGAGCGTCTTGGGTTTCATTGATGTTTTTATTTTTGTCGTCTTCAGTCAAAGATCTTGTCTATGGAAAAGATAAATTATGGATGCATAGTTTTGGATGAATGAGAGATTACTGAGATTACGTTTAAGGTTATGCTCTGTCCTTTTTTAAAAAATCATGCAGAAACACAAAATTATCTTTTGATTGTGTTCTATAACAGCACCTGACATTCTCGAAGAATAAACACATCGCTCATATTATCTTCCAACTCAGGTATCCCATCCTAAAGAATTATTTAAAAAAAGCTCAATCAACAGCTTGCAAAACTTATTACAACGTATATGCTCTTGTGAATGAATGTAAAATATTTCACGTCTTGCAAGATGAGTTAGATTTGATCATACATATTTAGGAATGCAAGCATATGAAAGTAAAATTACAAAGTGAAAGTTGGCATTTACACTGCTTATTTCGTGTCTGGTCTCAACCCAATTATCATTAATTTTCTCTGGTATTTCTATTGTTTCGATATCTTCGTCTATAAAAAAATGAGATCTTTGTTACAAAATAATGACTTCGAGACGACTATTGTAAATGAAAATAATAAGAAATATACTGATATAATGGCTTTATTCAACCATTCTGTTGAAGACTTGCCGGATAATGTCGTTGTAAGGATTTGTTGCTGTTTTGATAATTTGACTGTATGTTGTTCTAAAAAAAGATTCACACGTCATTAATGATCCCATGTTGATCCTCATTCGACTTTTCTCACTACACATCTTGAAGCTTAAATGTTTCTCACAAACCTTCATCAATTTCGTTATTTTTATTTGTGTTTCGTTCAAACATTGAAGTTTGTTCATCATACTGATCTTCCTTTTTTCTCTCACATAGTTTATTGTCACTCATCTCATTTTCCCCCTAAAATAAATTGTTTTGTGAAAACTCTCAGCCAAAAATAAAATCAAACCGTCTTAATTCATTTGTCGTTTTTACTGGTTATAAAAAAACCACTTGTTTGTCATAGAGGGTATTAAAGGTTTGTGTTTGAATTCTGTTGAAACAGAAATAGTCGATCAACTGAAAGTATTCATGCCTTTTGATCATCTCTTGATTTTTCTTTTTTTTCTCGATTTTGTTCGCGAAGCTTTGACAATGCTGCAATAAACAAAAATAGTCGAACTTTAGATATATTTATTACCAAAGGCTTTTAGTGATCAAAGTAATTTACACATAATACCGTTCACACTGTCCGTGAGTTTCTTTCTTTCTCTACTTATCCATAACTGTCTTTCCTCTTTTTCTGCCTCTATCCCACCTTTGTCCCTTAAAATATGGGGATGAACTGGTAAGGAAGACGTAATACAAAGTAAAGGTCTAGAAATTAGGATGGTTTGGTAGTGTAACTATCGAAAGTTGTGTAGAAAGTTGAAGGTTTACCCTGAAAAACTCGCACTACTGATTTGACATTTGTTTAGCTAAAAAATTGGGGGATTAAAATGTTTTTTTGAGGGGTAAACAATTTATTTAAGGGGGTAAAATTTGATGTTTTGGGGGCATCCTTCCCCTGTAAATCTGTCCATGCTGTCCCTGTATAATAACAGTTGACATCTGCTGCTGAATTATAGAAACATATATATCTTACATACAGTTATCTGTCAAATTACGTTTGAAGAATTACTTTGTTTTTCTTACCACACTTCCACTCTGAACAAAGCTATTTCTTACCATGCTTCTACACAAGCTCTTTCTTTGGGAAACACAGGTCGATCATCCAAGTATTTTAGGTTTTTCTTAATCATAAGAAAGTGTTAATTATCTGTAAGTTAGTGAACTTTTAAATCAAATTATGTTGTTTTTGTTCTTACTAATTTCAAAATCATTTGCTTTCTGTAGTGAGAGATTTTCTTTATAACAGGATTTCCCATCAAGTTGATGACACTCTGTTATAATGAATATGGAAGGTATCAAAGGCAGCCAGCAGTTGATACTTTGTATTGTGTTCAAAATGCTAAAAATTATAATGATTTTGTCTATAAAAGCTGTCTATTTTATGCAACATACCAATTTTTCCATTGAAGAAAACACGTTAATTATGTCTGGATCTTCAAGATGATTGTGCGACAAATCTAACACACTGCATAGAATATAAAAAATCATTTATTTGGGTATCAAAATAATGTCAAAGATATAAAATGACTAGGACGAAGTCTCATAGTTTCACATTTTCGCTGAACAGAACATGCCTCCATCACAACCTCCACTTTTGCTATGAACAAACAATTTATTGGGTAAAGTTCAGCCTCCTACATGAATATAGAGTATGTTCTCGTGTAATTCTGCGCCCTACCCATCCTCCCAGTTTTCAATAACTCCACTGTCCTGTTCTAATTATAATGATATTATACTTATATGACCTGAGATATTTACAGCTTCGAAGTTCTTCAATGTCTTCAACAGTTTTTAGTCGATTGTGAGCAACTTGTAACGTGTTTAACTTGGGTAAACATGCTAAATATAAAGTAATGCATAAAATGTTACTCCGCAATTTAAATAACACGATTCTCATCTTTTCTTTTTCAAATTAATTCCAAGTGTTTTGACTATAAATCATTCGTCTGTTTCAACCTTTTTTTGTTTTCCCCCGTTTTCTCAACCTTCAATCTCCTTTATTGTATTTGGCATTTCGAAAAAGGATTATTCAAATTAACTCCAGTTTCTGCTTGCAGCATGAGTAATTTCTCAACTTACGTCGTAGTCGTTAACCAATGTATTGTAATTTTTACGAAGATCTACTGTTTTATGATTCTCACTGATTCTGCCTATAGAAGTGTTGAAGTGTGACATTTTTTCATTACCAATATTTTCAATTCGCTTTATCGAATTATTGCTGACATTCAATGTGTCCAAAAATTGAAGATGTTCAAGATTTTCCAACTTCTCGATCAAATTTTGATGAAGGTATCTAAAGTTTAACGTAGAAAAAACAAAAAAGAACCTTTCAATCGCTTTGTCATAAAAAACACTCTATAATAAAGGCAGTTTATATTTCCACTCTATCATTTTCCGGCATTTTTCACAATGTCCTTAGATTTGATAAAGAGTTTGTTTGCTTTCTTAATGAAACATTTCTGTCGACGTTAATTGTGAAAATCATCAACTTACAAACAACGTAATTCTGTCTGGTTTATCAATCCTTCAATTGTTTTGATGCCATTGCTTTCTAACCATAGACATTTTAAACCTGTGTAATCGTCAAGGTTTTCAATCTTACCAAAGCCTGGAAACAACATAAAAGTGCTATACAATTGTCACTATCTACACTGACACACGTTATCTTAGTTTATATTTTAGGTAGTGTAAAGACTGTTCTCTTTCTCTGTTCTTCATTCATCACTACTTACACTGACACACGTTATCTTAGTTTATATTTTAGGTAGTGTAAAGACTGTTCTCTTTCTCTGTTCTTCATTTATCACTACTTACACTGACACACGTTATCTTAGTTTATATTTTAGGTAGTGTAAAGACTGTTCTTGTTCTCTGATGTTCATTCATCACTACCTACACTGACACACGTTATCTTAGTTTATATTTTAGATAGTGTAAAGACTGTTCTTGTTCTCTGTTGTTCATTCATCACTACCTACACTGACACACGTTATCTTAATTCATATTTTAGGTAGTGCAAAAACTGTTCTCGTTTTCTGTTGTTCATTCATCATTACCTACATTGACACATGTTATCTTAGTTTATATTTTAGGTAGTGTAAAGACTGTTCTCGTTTTCTGTTGTTCATTCATCACTACCTACACTGACACACGTTACCTTAATTTATACGTATTTTAGGTAATGCTATACTTGTTCTTTAAATGAATTTTCCTAAGCATATAAACAAACCTTTATAATGCAAGTAAAGAACATCATTTAGGTAAGGCGTTCGGTACAATTTATGTTGTTTGCATATATCCAAAAGAACCTTTTTTGTCATCCTAAAATATTTTAATATGTAGTGAATAAAAAACTAAACGACAAAAATATGACGAATATCGTTATTTAAAAATCATCATTAAATAAATAAAATTTTATCATCAATAACATCATGATTATTATATAAAGCAATCTGGAAGCAATCGCGACGTTGTAAAGTACGAAAAAGATAATTTTGCACGGACAATAGTCAGTCACATTACAAACGACAAAAGTCATTGTGAAAATACGTAACTCTATTCTATCAAAAATTAGCAATTGTAGATATACCTCGGCCATTTGTCTTCTTTGTTGTCTTTCCCATGATTTTTAGCCGATTTTGTTACAGCTTTTACCGTTGAATCCTCTGAAAGAGAAGGCATTTTCTCATAGATTTCTTGTCTTCTCTTTATATGGCGTCTGTTGCTATAGCAACTGATTGGTGCTTCCATTTCTTGTATTGATAATTGAATATTTTAGATAATCAAAGTATCAAACCATACTATACTGAAGATCAAGACGTCAATGACTGTTCTTTTATAAAAATATAACGCCAAAGGCTTTTCCTATTAGTTATCAGTCTGAAATTTATAATATAGATTAAATATCCACAGTAAAATCTCATTTAAAAAAAGAAGTTTCCCACCCCCTTCCTGAACCACTACTCCAGCTCCCTCAGATGATCAGCCGATAATAGTCATTGTTTTGTCTCGATATAATTAATTTTATATTTATATTTCACTTTTTCCAACTTCCATTGTTAGGTTTTTCACTTACAAAGAAAGAACTAATAAAGTGTATTTAAAGTCATTATGAAAACTTTTGATTCCTTATTATAAGGTAATTTAGCAACAAATTTTACAACATGTAGTAAAGAATTCATTCATTATCAATCTCGGTGAAAGTTCCTGTTGAAGAGTCTTTGCGCGTGCTGTATTTTGATCACATTTATCCATTAACATGGCCGAAGGCTCAATAAAGCGAAAAGCGTGAGTTATATAACCGACGGGGTGGATTTATTTTTATAAAAATGTTTATATAAAGTGCTGTCTTATGGGACTTCTAACGCTTTATTTGTATTATTTTTAGTGATCTTAAAGTTGTTATTCTTGGTGATTCCTCAGTCGGTAAAACCACTCTAATTCATAGATACATGGATGGTGTTTTTACCAGCAAAGCCACGGTATTAAACATTTATTTTTTGCTAAATACGAAAAGATCATTATTTTGATTATTGGTTTTATGTAGCTAAGTTCTTGTGTTATGATGGCATAAAATTTGCAACATAGATTTTATAGTTGTCTAATTTTCAAAAGTATTCGGAAAATATGAAGAATCCTGGATGTTCGTTTTGCCTGCATACTTAAAGTAATTTGTGCTTGCTTGAAATACAAATTTCATAAGTTCTGTATGGTATCAAAAAATTATTTAACCATGAGCTTCTGAACAAGATATGCAAATGAGTTGCACAACATGTAAAATATAGTTTTGTACATGCATTATTTAAATTATTATTTGTAGACAATTGGGGCATCGTTTTTACTGAAAAACTGGGGACCATATAATGTTGCTATATGGGTAAGAGATTAATTCAGTGCGTAGTATATTAAATAAATTTTGGATGTACATTGTACCTGTATATATACGAATAAATGAAAGTAGACTGTTCATTTTAGGACACAGCTGGAGAAGAGAAATATGCTCGTCTGTCTTCATTTTATTGTCGTGGTGCATCCGCTGCCATTTTAGCTTATGATATTACAAGATATGACTCTTATAACATTTTGAAACAACGGCATATCCCATTATTAGAAGCTGCAGAAGAGAAATGTCTTTGTGTTGTAGTTGGTACAAAATTGGACATTGTCAAGAATAGCAGTCGACAAATTTCATCAGAAATGGGAAAGAATTTAGCTAAGGCACAAAATGAGGAAAGGTTGAATGAAATGAAAACTTTACCATTTTTTGAAACTAGTTCAAAAACAGGCAAGAATGTTGAAGATGTTTTTGAATTTATTTTAAATACGTGTTTGCCTTTAGATGAAAAAGTAAAGAAAAAATTACCTTTAAATAAGGATAATATAGTAGATTTAAATGAACCATCTCATGGAAGGCAAAAATGTTGTTAAAATCTTTGTTTCTTTTTCAACACAAGTTCCATTTTTAACACCAACAATTCAGCATTGTATTCTTATAGTAAATTTCCTTACCATAGCCACAGCACTAGACATTTATTATAGGTACTAAATACAGTAGTTGAAATTAATACTTCAATAAAATTTTATTTTTTTTCATTTTTACTCACAATTACAACTCATTTGAAACGTTAAGTCTCTTCAGTCAATTTAAATGGAAACTTTTGAGGAGTTGCTTTTGCACAGATTGTACATTCCAATTTTGGATGTGAACCCAAGCATTTCATTGCAGTTGTTGTACATTACATATTGAGGCACATTCTGACTCTTTAAGAGCATTGGTGTAAATAGTTACATATCAAAGTACTTTTCAACATGTCGTACATGTATTACAATAGCCATCTGATAATCTAACATTACCCTATGATGTCTTGATCACAAATTTGCCGAGTTCAAATACTTTTGACAGTTAAATTGATTAACCTAGCACATTGAGATGGTAACATTTATTCCCAAATTGCCATTTTCAGCAAAAAGCTGTGCCATACTTGTATCAAATATCAAGCAATCACTATTGGCTATTGCTGATGATATACCCTCATGAATGCTACGAGGTGTTGCTCCCAAGCCAAACGACGACGGTTACCATTGAGCTCCAATCGATAAACAAAGTTTTCTGATTGTTTTCTGGTACCAATAAGTTGTACTATAGCAAAAAATTGTTGATGTCCTTCATACTTCTCCTGTTTCTCTAGAACAAGCATGAAGTGATGTCCAAAACAAGATTGCATCATAACCCAATCTACAGCACCAGGTAAGTTTATATCAGTGGCTAGAAATACAATATCTTCACCTTGAAGGGTTGTAATTGACTTGTGTGTATGCATCAAATGTGGCATAACAGCATCCAAAGCTCCTTGCCATTTACATGATGCACCTGGACAGGGACAAGTGTATGGTCGAAACTCACATGATTCCTCATGCTCTGCTTTTTCTGAGAAAGGTAAGGTGGCACTACATCCAGCAGAATTGTATCGACATGGAAACATTATGGTACTAGCTACCTTCTCCATAGCCAAATTGCGAATGCTGCCAAGTGGACCACGACATGTTGGGCAACATTGTAGTTTGGGTCGGCAGTTGGAACATACAAGATGGCCACTAGAGCATTGTAGAATTGGTGGTAAAACGTAATCAAAACAAACAGGACATTCAAAAATACTAGTTAGGTCCACGTTTCCACTTGCCACAGCTTGAGAAGCGGTCGAGTTTTGTCGAATCATTTTTCTGCTAACTGAGGCGGCAGGTGAGGGTCGATTCATAGACATATTAATTGAATAGTCCTTCCTCCAACGTAAACACAGCACCGTAGTTATCTCTTCACACAACTACTCAAGTTTTATGACTTAAAAATACAGAAGTTATACTTTTTCTCCTTTTCCATTTTTTTTATTTGGCTTAATGCTGCTATAAGTCACCATTAAATAAGTTTAAAGTGTTAAATTCTAACAGGAATTTTGACAAAATGGCTATGCAAATTCCTCGAATGCAAATTGCAAAACCGTGAAAAAAGAAAGATAGGGAGCTTGGGGAGAGTAAAACTCACTGTGATTGGCATTGAAGTAAATATATTTATTTCAATGGTGATTGGTCAATTCATTGACTTATCTTGACCGCCATTTGCTCAAAAATACTTTTTATCAGCATTTTCTTGCAAATATTTTGCTATTTAGATTTTTTGGCTGCAGCTGCTATGGAATGTCGTGCATTCCTTTAGAGAAATTCTTAATAAATTTGATATAGGTCTAACGAATCCAAAAAATCGACATGTATGTATTGCATTCTTTGGTATCTCAAAACTACTGACAAAATGACGTAAAAATAATTTTGCTCATTAGAATAAACGTCAAGTGGAAAGATTTTAAAAAATGCATAAAACAATTACATCACTACGATGACACAACATGCATGAATAGTTTCATTCAACAGATCGAAAAGAAGTCTATGACGTGGAGGTTAAAGTATGAGTGAAATAGTAAGTGTAATGATTCTCAACTCTTCAAGGAGTAACGCAGTTGTTAATTTTCTCCATATATATCTGCAGCAGGGAGTTCGAGGTTTCAGATATTCTAATTGGGCCAACACTTTCTCTTGTGAACCTGAGTTGTACTTTGAACCAACCAATGTGGACGAAATTCGTCAGGTAATGTGACCCTTAAGCTACATCCGTTAGGATTTAGTGCAATGGTTTTGAGCCAATTTGATAATTGTATTCTGTAGTTTAATAATGGAAGTATTCAACAAAATACTGTAAGTGTTTAAAATAATCACATTGATTTTTTCCTCTCAGTCGTTGCATTGCCGTTACACAATTTTGTGTTGCGTCGTTAAAATGATGTAAGTATTGATTGTGTAAGGGAGAAACACGTGCAGTTGTGCTACACAATTGGCAGGAAATTTGGCAATAAAGTTTCTTTGAAGAACATGGCAAATATTGCCAAACATTTGCAATTTATATTTTATGGAACTTTAAAATTTCACTGATTAATAATAGTCACGCAATATGTATAACTGCCAACATGACTGAGCATTTACAATAAATTTACTTTCCAAATCACCAAATGTTCCTTCTACTTCTATAAAATTTTTTAACCTATTTATTGCTAGTTGCATTCAATGCATTTCAGATTATATTCAAAGCAAGAAAGGAGAAAAAGAAAATTAAAGTTATTGGCTTTGGTCATTCTCCATCTGATATACCATGCACACAAGATTATATGATCAATTTGTTACACATGAACAAAATTATTAGTGTAAGTATTATCTATTGTTGAATTTATATTGGATGAAAGAAAGAAACTAAAGCACATTATCAATGTTAAGATTTATTTTGAGTTTTTTATATTAAGAAGAAAATTGTCATTTGATCTCTTTTAAATATTTATTGTGCATGATTTTAAGTTATTTGTTTTGGAGAAATCAATTATTTGCCTAGATAAATGATCATATTTTTAGGTGGATAAAGAAACTATGCAAATAAAGGCAGAAGCTGGATTGACATTGCATGATCTTCACCAAGAAGCACAAAAACAAGGCTTAGCTGTGTCCATGTATGCTTAATGGATGAGTTGATGTGATATTCTGGCCTTTGACATTGTATAAAATTACTACTACTATTGATAGCTTTTCAAAGAAACATTCTGTATTCAATATAGAATTCCATCAGTCTCCTACATAACTCTTGGAGGTTTGTTGGCTACTGGCACTCATGGTACTGGGGGAAAACATGGTATCTTAGCAACATATGTATGAAATGAATGTATGTTTTATTATGAAGAAAATACAAGGTTAAGCATTTATCATCATAATTATTTTTAGGTTACCGAAATGACATTAATTACAGCCCAAGGAGAAATAATCAAATGTAGTGCTTCATCAAATAAAGATATCTTTGATGCTGCACGATGTCACTTGGGAGCCTTAGGTATTATACTTGATGTGACATGGCAGTGTGAAATGGCTTTTAAACTTTGTTCTGAGACAGAGGCTGTAACATTTGATGAGGTTTGTTGTTAAACAAAATGTCTCTTGCTGTTTTGGACATTCAATTACATAATATATCCATGGTGATCTTGATACATAGCTAAAGTATGTTTTGTGATGTATATTGTAATTTTGCCTTTAGCTTATGACTCACATTGATAGCAAAGTTGATGAATGTGAGCATTTTAAATGTCATTGGTGGCCACATACTGAAAATGTCAGTTGTCATAGAGTTAATCGTAGCAGTGAGGTATGAATTATGATGTTGTCAAAAAAATATAAATATTTGTGGCTTATCAAACAAATGTAGAATTTTGTTCGTAGTTGTTTACCTGCTGACTTACACAATTATAAAATTCATTATTACTTTTCTCAAAATTACGCATGTTTGATTTTAATACATATGTAATGCATCAAACATGACCAAAGTAAGGAAGTTCTAAATTTCCTGCTCTGCATCCAAGACGCATAAAAGCCATTGTTATTTGTATTAATTAATGAAAAAAGAAAAAAAGTTTTAAGATAACATTCATACAGGGGAGGAGAGAAGATGTAACACTGCTAGTTTTTGCAAAATATATATAAAAGCTTTTCCAGAAATTGATGGAAGACAAAAAGTTGGTGCTTATGAAATTACTGGATTTTATAACAACAACAAAAACTTTTCCACAATGCAGACCACCACTTCTCAGATTGTTTTAGGTTGTGTCCCTCTGTTTGCTTATTCAATGTCCAACAAAATTTCATGATTTTGACTTTCAGCCAATAAAAGAGTCAGTCAGTTGGTTTTGGAATCATCTAATCGGCTTTCACTTGTTGCAGTTTTTGTACTGGCTCAGGTTGGTTTTTGTTGTTATTTTTTTGTTTTCAACCTGTTTTGATTTTTGTGATTAACTTTGAATTTTTTGATGACTTTATGATGAGTAATATTTCTTATTTGCAGCACATTTTTTCCATGGTTCATAAAATACATCAATAAATATCATTTCATTTTGCTGAAGTCAAAACCGGAGAAAATTATCAACGAAGCAGAGAAGGTAGAAATTTGGTATCTGTTTTAATTCAACAAGACAAAAAAAAAACAAATGATTTGATTGTAGATTTTCACAATGAATTGTCTTTTTCCCCAATATACTACAGAATGGGCCATTCCAAGGTTAGTTTTATATTTTGTGCTTACAACAATGTGGCATCTGGATTTGGCATTTAGTTTAATGAAAATCTTTGCTACTACTCTGGAAGGGTTAAGGTTAAACAAGAAATTTAAACTTTGAATTGACTTTACACAGTTCTTATTGCAAAAATCAATAATTGTAACATAGTTATCAAAAATTATTTTGAACTGTTGTAATTATTTTGTGTTTGGATTTTGTAAAGCGGTGTCACGCTTCCTATTTGTTTATGATCGTTGCCTAGCTGTGGAATGATGAAATAGCATCGATAGAGGAACATAAAACAAAAATTTAATGATAAAAAATATGAATATGGCAGGTTTTCTTATATTCTGTTTAGAGAAAAGACAGTTTATGCTTTGAAACAAATGAAGAAATGGTTGGAAACCTCTGGTTTTTATGCTCATATGCCTGGTTTGTGAAGTTTTTAAATTTAAATAATTTGAAACAGTTTATTTAGTATTTTATTAATAAAAAATCTCTTTCAGTGGAAGTTAGATTTGTTGCCAAAGACAATATATATCTTAGTCCAGCCTTTGGTCATGATGTGTGCTTTATTGGAATTATTATGTATCGGTAATTGTCTTTCTTTTCATAGTTATGTTAACTTACTATTGTCTATATAGATACTACATACTCTGTCTTGTTGATTGAGTAGTGCTGCTCACTTAATTAAACAAAAAGTAATTTATAGAATTTACAGAGTAAAATTTTTCTTTAGACCTTATGGAAAATCCGTTGAGATTGAAGACTTTTGGAATTTTTATGAAGATTTGATGTTTTCTGTTGGTGGTCGACCTCACTGGGCTAAAGTATGTTATAAGTATGTTTCTTCATTTCATCAAATCTCCATGCTCAATATTTTCAACTTCTCTTTAGGCTCATAAACTTGATTTAAATGCTCTACAAAAACTTTACCCAAACTTGGATGATTTTCTCAATGTCTGCATCAAACTTGATCCGGATCGTTTGTTTGTTAACAAATACTTGGAGCGTACCTTATTTCCTTTGGAGTCACAAAACCATAATTATTTACAAAATCATGCCAAGTAAGGGCTCATTTTATCTCCCATGGCAGAAGTTAACTACAATAGTGAAATAACAACTTTAATGCCCTGAGACAAAGAGTATTAGCTACGTATTTATGTTCAGTTCATGACCCATCATTGTGCAGGGGCATCTTAAACAAGAGGGGTAGGGCAAACCCCCTCTTTTCTTTGAAGGGGGCAGTGCCCCCACCTCATTTTGCGTTAAAAAAAGAAAAGTTACTTAGAAAGAAAATGTAAATTGAGGATAAACATGCGTATCTACAATGCAGCTGAGTGGACTTGTTTAGAATCACGCAGGAATCTTTAGTAATTCTTCTATTTCATTATTTTTGTTACATGTACGATTGGGCGACGGGCGTTGCCAAAGGCGTTTACTTAGCAGCATGTAAATTGGTACTCATGATGATTCTCAATTTTTAATTTTAATTGTCAATGCTGAAAAAAATGTAGAAATCGACGTCTGAAAAATGCATCAGTTGACAATACATAATTAAAGATAAATGTGTAATGATTCAGTTCTAAAGCTCATACATTATACATTTATTTACTTGAGGTACGAAAAAGGTCACAAAAAAATGCTAAAAGACCTTTATAATTTCTAAAAATAAATTCGATATTATATGCAAGCTATATAGAGTTATATTCTTGTTATACTCTTGAAGGAAACAATTATGAAACTTTTACCATTTTGTCTATTAATCATTTTCTGTATGAAGAAACTATCTCAATCTTACCTAAAGATCATAGCTTCCATGATATCAAATAAGGCAAATTACGCTTTGTGTGGTTTTAATCGTTCCTTGGCGTTTATAGGAACAGGAAATCCTGCCTATTTACAATCATAATCCGCAGGTGTTTTGTAGGCGACGATCATCTGATCAAGTGGCAAGAAAAGCGTCGAGCGTATCAACAAACGAATCCACACCACTCTAACCTTGCATTTTTTTTGAAAGCGTCCTCGTGATTTTACTATAAATTGCTGGACAATATGTTAGCTCCTGTGCCATCACCAACGGGTTTCGAAAGGCGAAGTGTTTCTGCATCGCAAGCTTCTCTTAGTCGAACAGGTTCGTAACTTTGTTTACGTTCTAGAAATATAAAGAAATATTCAAAATCATCCTTCTTCGGGCACATCCCATAACAGTGTTAGGAAAAGAACGATTACCTCATTAACTTTATATATTTTACTAGATTGAAAGTTCTATATTACTGAGAATTTAACGTTATTTGAGGTTTTTCTGTTAGAGTTTGAATGTTTTGGCAACAAAGACATAGTGACGCGTAATGTTTGCTAGCAGTAGTCTTGAGATTACTGCTTTTGTCGTGTGTAAGCTCTTGTTGTTTTATACAGAATATTGTGAAAATATAGGTGTTATAATCGTTGTTAAGCCTATGATCTCTCTTTTGATCTGTTCAACTTTGCTTTTGATTGCCCTTGAGTAAAATCCGGTTACTTATCTTACGTTCATCGCCTGTTTTGCTTATGATGTCTGTGGAATTTTCCCACGAGCCTTGTACGTATTAACTAACTCAGTTTATTTTTTCATAATAACGACTGCTTTCCTTTGCTTTATTGCTGCCTATTATCCAAGAACTCCTACGTATGACAATTTTTATCGGAAGTTTACAATTTTCGCAAATTGCTGCATGAAATGTTGCAATTAGTAGTGATATTTACGTTTTAGGTTTTTTAAAGAAGCGTAATATTATTTTGAAAACTAAATTTCTTTTACACAATAGCCCTTCTAAAACTTTGACGTATAACTTCTATCGTAATTGCCAAGTCATTTATAAAGAGGCAGTGAAGGTGGACAAATAAACGCAGATAAAAATATAACTATTGCTCTTCCACAAGTTGAAATTACCCGATTTATTTCTTTGGGTGCATTGCAAAATGTCGTCCGGAGAGTCGAAAACATTTTATTTGTAATCTAAACATTTAACTGTTGTTTGTCCTAGTATATTATTGCATACTTTTGAGAAAAGGAATTTTCTCAATCTTCTCTGATCAGTAACAGCTGTTTAGTGATAGAGCTATTTTTTATTCATTTTTCACCGTTAAAATGAAGACATGTCCGAAACTTTGGACTCTTTATGTGTCAAATGCATTAGAATCAAAAGATAGTGTGAGATTCTTATCTTTTGTCTTTAATGCATTTGGCACATAAGTCAAAAACTAATTAAAGATGTGAACGATATTTCAAGGACTATGCGTGTGTTCACTACCATATTGCAAATGAAAAATGACTACCATATTGAAAATAAAACTGATTGTGTCTTGAATCCTGGATTCCTTTGGCGAGATCAAGCTGAAGTTTCGAATGCGTGAGTTAATCAGTTGTTGATGACTAATTTTCATTTGTAAGAAAGCTGACCACTCAGACACCACAAGCAAAGTGTCTTTATTGATTTCCTTATTGAAAAATTAAACGTCGTTATCAAGGTTTCTAAAACCTCAATTCATATGAAGTTTGCACGTATGTCATGCATACATCATCCAAATTTTTCAGTTGGGACAGTTCCCTGAAAATTGCTTTTGTTTAGGTTCTCTTGGTGGTACATTAAGACGTGGAGCGTCGTTGAGACATGAACCTCGACCTTTTGTCTCCAGAAATCCAATTAAAGAAGAAGATTTAGACGTGCTGTTGAACTGGGAGAGCGACAATAACAACGATTATTGGCAGAAGATAAAAAGTGTTCGTGAGGGAACCGTGTGGAAGAAAGAAATAGAAGATGATAATACTTGGGTTTTGAAAGTAATCTTAAATGTTTGTGCTGTAGTTAAAAGTTTTGTAAGCCACTGTCAAAGAAGACTCTCTTTTTATCACCAATGCACTAGCTCTTTAAATAGCATGCATGCGAACGTGATGGCAATGTATTCTATCCAGGAAATAATGTATACCTTAAACTGACTTTGAATTTTTTTGTGTTTGTCATAGGCTCAACTCACAGCTGAAAACGTGCCTTTCAAACGAAGTGAGGGTTTTGTTTACCTATACGTTAAAACATTTCGTACTGTCTGAAATTGCTTATGAATATTTCAGCCGTTGAACTTGTCACTGACGTGAAACATAGAAAAGAATGGGATTCCTTACATTCAAATCTTGATGTTGTTGAAACAGTTGGAAATGGAAATTTTAAAATCGTGTACAGGTAGACAACTCATATAACAGTTTGACGGATGCATTCATTCTTGAACTTTGCATGTGAATATTATTTAACTATAAGATGAGAGATAAAACGTTTAACAACTTACTGAATAATGCGATAAAATACACGGATGTAAAATCAACAAACGATGTGCATAGTACACACTATTATTATCGTCTTGTAGCTAATTTTATGAAAACATCTTCTCTTTTTATCAGTCAAATGAAGATGCCTGCATTTTGCAAGAAACGAGAATTATTGGAAGCAATGAGCCAGAGAGCTAGTGAAAAAGAAAGCAACTGCTATCATATGTTAGCCTTCCGTAGCACTACACATCCAAGTGTGCCTCCTTCCAAGGATTTAATTAGGTAAATCATTAAGTTGATGTTGAAATAAAATTTGATCAGTTTTTACACTCGTCGATTTGATTTAACAAACCCTTTTAAGGTAAAGCTTAATATGTTATGTCTGTATCGAATACTTTTCCACAACAATCGTTCATTTATTATTAGGGCTGATGATCAGCTATCAGGTATCATAATACGACCTGTTGGTGACGGAACGTCAAGCTCTAAAATAAGCTTTATATATCGAGTAAAGTTTCGAGGTTCGGCGCCTCGGGGGATAAAGAAAAGCTACCTCGCTAATCAATCTATCACTATGTTACGTAGAATGAAAAAATATCACGACAAAAAGAGACTGGAAGAAAGAATAGGAAGAGTATGAAATATCAGTTTAAGTTACGCATACTGATCACACAAAGATTTGAGTTTTTGCTTGGATGCAATGAACTGTAAGCCAGAATTGTATTTGCAATTTAGTGGAGAGTTTATTTAAGGGTATGAAGACAGAGGTCAAAGAAAGATTGTAGACCATGACATTTAAATCATTTTAATTGTAAATCATCAAGTTTTACGTTAGGCTTATTTTTTAGCACCTGCGATCTATCGTTAGATTTTGCATCTTGTATTTTACCCACAAACGTCTAATGATTTGAACTTTGCGTCAAATAATTGAACCAAGTAGCTACAACCATGACATATAAGGAAAACAGCAGAGACAGCGTCGCAGTGGCCAGCCTTTAAAATGAATGTTGTAGAACTTCTGACGTCTTATAAAGTTGTGTAGTTGTTGTCTTCTTTGTCAAATCATGCGACGGCTCCGGCTACTGTACCATACGGATGAGCAAACTTTTGACTTACCAAAAGTTGTAAAAGTGAACAGATGTCCCGTTTAAACTTTTCCAAAGGATTTGAAAATTCGTCTTCTGAAGAGGCATCTGACGATACCTCACTATGATTGTCACTGCTAGAAGATTCGCCTTTAGTTTTAGCTCCACTACATGAGGGAGCTTTTTCGTCGTGATATTCAAGATTGCGATTTAATGACATTAACGTCGTATCGCTACAGTAAAGACGAAGCTCATTGTTCAATATAGCAAATACACGTAGCCATCCTAGAAAAAATGTTACTGTCAATAAAATAGTGTTTGATTTTAAACATTCAATCTAAACTAATGAAAAATACACGTAAAAGATATACCATTTAAATCTTTCAGCTGTAAAACACCTCTGCTGAATCTATGCTGCAAGTTAACTGACCAAACACAGCATTCCTGAGAACTTTTATACTCATGGGAAGGCAAGTCAAAAAGACAAATAAGACGATACAAGGTCAAACTGGATGGTATAGCATCTTGTCCCATGTTAAAACCATTACATTGCTCTATTTCTGGACTAGAATCTGAGTTTGTTGAAGAGAAATTTTCTTTAGTGGTTGCCAAAGGTATTTTATTACTTTTTACACAAGATGAGACAATTACTTCAGGTACAGCATCCGATGTTTCTGATTCAACTCTTTCAAGAGAAGCTGGATCATTTTCTTCAGTTAAATCACAAATAATCTTTCCTTCCTCAAGACTTTTTTCAATCATTTGCCTGTTGAGTCTTTCTGGTGCTTCTAGTGTTTTCTCATTGTGAAGGCAAAACAACCATTTCTCCTCATATGAATCAAAAATAAGTTCAAAAGTGGGCACACTTGAACTCTCGTGAACACTTTGCCACTTGGTTGCTGCTTCTGCTTGAATCATTTGTTGTTCTTCATATTCCCAGGAACTGCGATGAATAAAATATTCACAATTACAGTAATATCCATAGTCATCCCCATTGTCCTCACTCTCTTGGTCATCATCATTACAAGATCTCCCACTGTTATTGCTCGTAGTATCAGAACTTTGTGCAAGATCTTTTGATACACCAGTTGTTTCATCCAATTTTCTCACTATTGGCAAGGATGACGTATCTGAAACTGAAGCAAAAGATTTTCGTACAGGTGACTTAAGATTGGAATTGTGGCTGACAAACTCATCATCTTTGGTTGTCGCAGGCATTTCACCAGATTTTGATTCTAATTTAACACTTTCCATCATTTCAATACTGGAGCTCCGTGAAATGTTGTCAGATGACAATAGAGATTCAGAATAAACTGGGAAAGAAAGTTCATAAGTGACCTTGTAGCTGCTTCCTTGTGGATGATTAACAAAAAATGGGCTTGATAGAGTATCTAATATAGCAAGACCATCATTGCAGAATTTCATGGAAACTGGACAACCATGTGAAAATGTAGAAGACATTGCCGCTTTCCAATCATAAGTCTCAAAAATAAATCCTGTCTCCAAATGCTTCAAACGGAATCGCCATATCCTATAAAATGCCAAACCTACATCTTCCATTAAGATATTTTGAAAAAGAACCAGCCATCGATACATCATTATGCAACTTGCCATAACTTGATAAGGACGTATGAATCTCATTTGCCTACTGGCCATGCGATCTTGATTTAGGCGGATTGTGAATGAGTCATCAACATATTCACGCCGTCTGTCTATAAAAACCCATTTGAGATCATGAGTGTCATAGTATAACTCCATGTTACTATTGAAGAATCGAGGACTTGTCTCTTCCAGTTCAAAAAATCTTGGTTTTTCCCAGTTTTTATTTACATCTTTCATGACATTGAACATAGCTTGTTGTAATTCTGGTGCAGCCAAAATACTTTCATTTATTTTGCATATTATAAAGTATTTCATGTCATCTGGCGAATAGTTGCCAATACCCAACAAATATCTAGTAATTAAAGGAATGTTGGAATTTTTATGATAATTGACCAATTAATTAATTACTACAGACAATAGATTTCCCATTTCTGCTTACTTGTAGAGCCTTTGCCACTGCAAGGCAAGGGTGGTAACTTGAGAGAGCACGGAGTTTTGTGAAGGCCATCGTTTCAAAACCAAATTTTGCCAAAGACTGTTGTCGTTTGCCACACGATACCAACGTTTACTTACTGTACTGCATTTTATCACTTCAAATGCATCAAGATGAAAGAAAATTCGCAAAACTATTTCGTCCAATTCGCTTACAGTTCTTTCATGACCCATCTTATTGCATAATGTACTTATCTAATTCGTAATTTTGCGTTATAAAAAAGTCGATACTCATTGAGCAAAATTGATCGAATCTTCTCATCAAGATGTAATACCTAATGTTACATGAAGTAATGCACGTGTTTTGGACTTGATGGCCTTGGAAGAAAGTAAAAATTAAAATTTTCAATGAATTGTTTGATTAAATTTTGACATTTTGACACGTGGCATTTATTTTAAATTATAAAGAGAAGTTAAAAATCGTTCTCTTCTCATCATTGACGCGTTACAGCCAGATGTTTGTTGTCTATCTATTCATTAAATGATTTGATCTTAAAACATTGGATACGAGTTCGCAGTTAACGACGAGATGTTGGTCATTGCATATTTTTCATTGATAGTTCTTGTCAGCGCAGCATTAGTGCTGTACCTTAAAGTTGTTCCTTCAGGAAAATCTATTGACAACCCAGCATTTGTGACATTTCAACGCAAGTACTTTGTAGTGTATCTGCTTGCATTGTTTGCTGAATGGCTTCAAAATCCATATTTATATCGAATATATTCTCAATATGGATACATTGACACTCAAATTGCAATAATTTATGTCTGTGGTTTTGTGTCAAGTGTTGTGTTTTCCATGGTCTCTAGACTTCTTCCTGACAAATGTGGGAGAAAAAAATCTTCACTTTTCTTCATTATCTTGTATTCATTATCTTGTTTGTCCAAGGCTTCTGACAATTATTCAGTGTTGATATTGGGACGAATTCTTGGTGGAATATCAACTTCAGTTTTGTTTACTGCATTTGAATCATGGTATGTATACGAACATAAACAAACTCATGATTTTCCAACAGAATGGATTGAAGTGACTTTTACTCAAGCCAGCTTTCTTAATGGTGTTGTAGCTGTTATTGCTGGAATTTTGGCAAATTTCTTAACAGAATGGATCAACTTTGGCCCAGTTTCACCTTTTCTTTTAGCCATTCCATTTTTAGTGATTGCTGGATTAATAATTTTAGTAAACTGGGAAGAAAATTATGGTGGAAAATCGTTGAATGTGATGGGACCTTGTGTAGAAAGCCTTCGCTTGATTGTAACAAATCCAAAAATATTGTTAATTGGTATGATCACTGCATTATTTGAGAGTGTCATGTTTGTATTTGTTTTTCTTTGGACACCAGTATTGGATCCAGCAAGGCCACCTTTAGGAATTGTTTTTTCATGTTTCATGGCGTGTGTTATGATTGGTGGATTCATATTTCGAGTTGCTACAACAAAGAAAGTCACACCAGTTTCTATTATTCAAATTGCTATTGTCCTGGGACTTTTGGCAAACTTGGCATCATCAATAGCTAGTGCCAATCATCCAAGAAAAACGTTCTTAGCATTCTTGTTGATGGAATTTTCCTGTGGCTTATATTTCCCAGCAATGGGCTGTATCAGACAACGTCTCCTACCAGAGATTCACCATGCTGGTATTATGAACTGGTTTAGGGTGCCATTAAATTTGATAGCATCAGTTGTACTTCTAGCTTTACATGACACCCACAGTAGTAAAGGTATAACAACCATATTTGGTATCTGTTCAATAATCATGATTGTAGCTGGAATTTGTGCTGTAAGATTTTCATTCTATTTGGATAATGGAAATTTGTTGCAAGATAATGAAGAAAATAGTAATAACGATGATAATAATTTAGTTTAACTTGTTTGTTAATCAACCATTGACATTCATTATATTTTATTGTGGTTATTAAAAAGATGTGTGTTTGTTGTAACTTTGAATTAGTAATATTCAATAATTCTCATTAATTATTAATAGGAAGGAAAAATATCATTTCTATTCCATAAACTTTACAAGAAAAAACTCATTTTAGTTCTAGATTAAGAAACCTGAACAAATTTGTTCAGCTTTGTTCAAGTAAAAAATGTGGGGAACATAATTTATATTGACAAAAGGGGTCATGTTGAAACTTCATCATTGGTAGTCATAGTTGACGTTTCAGCATTAGATATTTAGTTTACACATGGGAGAATTTCAATGTCTAAAAGTTAGTCAAGTGAGTGAACTAGAACTATAAAGCTGGAACCTGTGATCAAATATGGAAAATATAATTCGGGAATAACCGGAATATCATCGGTTTATCAGGGGGGAGCTGCATCAATATTCTATAACAAAAGTGTTAAAGATGGCGCCGACTGCCACTGTCGATGAAACGAAACATGATGAAAAAAATGAGCCAAAAAAAGAAAAAGTCACGAAGAAAAAAGAGGATGAACCTGAAATGGTGAAAAAATATATTCTTACATACAACTTAGCTTACAATGTTTTTTCATTGTCATCTCTCTTCAAATTTTAGAGCGATGAAGATAAGCAATTACAAGAAGAATTGAATATGTTGGTTGAACGGCTAAAGGTAATTCTTAAACTGTGCTGGAGGGATAGCAACTTGTACAACAGAACTGCTTGTTTAGTCTGGCTGGTATAGTATGTTGTACGGATAAAATGTTTATGTTTGCTCCTGCTTAAAAGATCATATGGAGAGAATAGCATGGATCATTTTGCTGTAAAATGTGCACTTTTACAAGTGGTGCGAGATGCATGAAATAATGTTAGAGTACGCTTTGCTTGTTTGATATGATTGTAGATTAATGTATTGCATTTTTTGGTTTAAACTGTTAGGTATGATAGAGGTTATCTCACACCTGTGTTTGTCAACTCATTTAGAAAGGCTTAGATCTTTCTTAAAATGTTCTTGTTTACTTTTACAAAAGATAATGTAGAAATGGTAGTTTACTTTTTTATGAGACATGTGATTAAGAACAAGAAGGAATATGTTATAGTAATAATGGATCATTCCACTTAAATCAATCAACACAAACAATGTTGGAAAAGACCAAAAATTCCTAATGTTAAGTACTGTTGTCAAACTGTGATTTTTTATAGGAAAGTAACACAGATTTACACAAACCAAGTCTTGAGATGTTAAGTGTTAAAATCAAAAGTAGCACTAGCTCAATGACATCTGTCCCAAAACCATTGAAATTCTTAAGACCTCATTATGGTGCCATGAAAGAGATGTTTGATGAGTGGTTGGACAAGGAAAACAAGGTAAAAGACTTATTTAAAAAGCTTTAATGTTAATTTACATTTCCTGTACTTTGCATTGATGTTATTTTAGGTTTTGTTGGCTGACATAATATCAATTCTTGCAATGACAATAAGCGAGGAACGCGAATGTTTAAAATATCACATGTTAGGCTCAAATGATGCTTTGGAGTCATGGGGTCATGAATATGTTAGGTATATCTACATAATAAATGTCATTGTTTGGTTGCTTGTGATGGGTCTATAAACAACAGGCAAAAGAGATAATAGTCATTATTGTATTTAAAACTAAGGTAATGTATGATTTTTAGGCATTTATCTGAAGAAATCCATGTTGAATACTCATTAAGAACAACATCTGGTGAACCTGTTGAGGATTTGTTCAATTTAACAAAGCAAATTGTGCCATACTTTATGTCTCACAATGCAGAAACTGATGCATGTGATCTCTTAATGGAAATTGATAGACTGGAGCATCTTTTGGAAGTTGTTGAATTAACAACTTATCAACGATTGTGCATTTATTTAACAAGGCAAGTGATGGTTTAGATCTTCAATACTTTACTAGTTGTGTTTTGTGTTGTACATATACATTTATGGTGTGAAACAAAGATGTCGTATGTTTGCATTATATTTTGTTTAGTTTTTCATGAGTATCAAAATGTATTTATCTTATTTTTCAGTTGTGTCAATTATGTTCCTGAGCCTGATGACACTAAACTGTTGAAGACATCACTTGCTATTTACCAAAAGTTTGAATGCTATCCTGAAGCAATGAGAATTGCTATTCAATTGAATGATATGGATTTGATAAAAGAAGTCTTCTTGTCATGTTCAGGAAGGTATAGACAACATTCTTTTAGACTGAAATTGTACTTAAACGTTACTTAACAATTCACAAAATCAGACATTATATTAAGATGATTGACTGTGTACATGATAATTGCTCATCCAGAAACTTTGATAATGTTTGTTAGGAAAACCTATGTTTATTGATATTTATTTTTGTCTATTCAAACAAGTGATATTATATATTACTCTTTTACAGTGATGAAAACAAACTAATGATGAAACAATTGGCATTTATGTTGGCACGTCAGCAAGTGTTTATTGAACTGGATGATGATATGGAAGACTGTGAAGAACTTACAGAAATTCTTTCTAATACACACCTTAATAATAACTTTCTTGCCCTGGCTAGAGAGGTAAGTTATGATGTTGTTGTGTTTATTTACTCTACCTAATAAAGATCTTAGAACTCTTATTGATTTGGTGACGATATTTTCAGTTTTAAGATTTTAATATTTTGTTTAGTTAGATATCATGGAACCGAAACTTCCTGATGACGTTTATAAAACTCAACTGGAAAGTCATCGTGAGTATCCAAAATCATTGTCTTCCTCATTTTTCTTTCATTGTATGTAATGTAAAATTTTTGTATTTAGGCTCATCATTTGGTAATGTCAATGTGGATTCTGCTCGACAAAATCTTGCATCGTCTTTTGTGAATGCCTTCCTTAATGCTGGCTTTGGTTCAGATAAACTTTTGATGGATGAGAAGTCGAAGTGGATATACAAGAATAAAGATATAGGTTAATGATGAAGCAATAGATCATATTTATTGATATTGAAAATCGTAGGGTAGTTGTAATCAACATGTATAAATAATTGACAATTTACTTTTGCAGCTTTCCTCATATGTTAGGTGTTATCCATAATCTATTTTTAATTTATATAGGTGTCATGAGTACTACAGCATCATTAGGACTGATATTATTGTGGGATGTTGATGGAGGCCTTACGCAGATAGACAAATATCTATATTCTGCTGAAGACAACATCAAAGCAGGTGCACTTCTTGCATGTGGTATTGTCAATTCTGGTGTAAGAAATGAATGTGATCCAGCTTTGGCTCTTTTATCTGATTATGTTCTTCATTCAACAAATGTCATGCGTATTGGTGCTGTTGTTGGGTAAGAATCATGTGATATATTTTACATATTGCTTGATTATATAAATGATACAGTAATGTTACACCTGTGTGATATTCCCATTATATTTGTAACATATTTTTTATATTTGCTACAATATATGTACAGTAGTTTTTTATCAACAATTATTATCATAATATATTCATTGTTTTTCTTAACACAGACTTGGTTTGGCTTATGCAGGCTCAAATCGTGAGGATGTTTTAAGTCTTTTGTATCCAGTACTCAGTGACAAAAACTCCTCTGTTGAGGTAGGATTTTTAATGTGGTAAAAGTGCAACTTTTTTCTCTGAAATTTTCTCTATTTGTCTTACATCCAGGGAAATAGCAACACGAATGCTCAAGACATATTTTGATGAATTTTTCAGATTATAGGTCAAACTGCTTTGGCCTGCGGTATGATCGCTGTCTCTTCATGTAACGGTGAAGTTAGTGAACAATTACTTCAAACATTAATGGAAAGAACCGAACTTCAAATGAAAGATATAAATTGTCGTTTTATTGCCTTGGGTATTGCCTTCACATTTCTTGGTATGATATAAATTTCTTAAATTTAATTGTTCTGTGAAGTTTATCTTATGCGGCAATTTAAATTTTAATTTAGAACAAAACATGATCAACTGTTTTTTATGGGAAATTTTAGGAAAACAAGATGCTGCAGAAGCGACCATTGAAGCTCTGAAAGCTGTCCCAGATCCTTTGGGAAAATGGTCGTCCATTCTTGTCGAAATATGTTCTTATACAGGTGAGTTAATGCTATTTTTATCATTTCAACATACATTTTATAACAAGTATTGTCTTCCTAATGTTCAGCATTTCTTCACAATTTTTTTTTCATCTAAGCATATTTGTCTTTTGAAGGTACGGGTAATGTTTTGAAAATTCAAAATTTACTGCACATCTGCAGTGAACATTTTGAAGAGAAGGAAAAGGAAGCAAAAGAGTCAGATAGCCGAGATTTAAGGTCTTCCAAAGACGCAAAAGATAGCAAAGAAAAGACGAAGGAAGCTAAAGTAGAGAAGGAGGAACTACATTCAAAGTTAGATGGTAGTCATCAAGGTGTTGCTGTACTTGGTATAGCATTGATTGCAATGGGTGAAGAAATAGGTGCTCAAATGGCTCTACGTACATTTAGACATTTGGTGAGAACAGTTTCAATTACATTTTGTTTGATTTTTTATACTTTGGTGTCGTCTGTTTATTTTGAAAAGGGGGGTGAGGTTTACATTGCGTCTTCGTTTGTAGAGAAAGGCAAAATTTTAATGTTTTTGTATAGCTTCAATATGGAGAACCAGTGATTCGTCGAGCTGTACCACTAGCTCTCGCAATTCTATCAGCATCCAATCCTCAACTAACCATCATGGATATGTTAAGTAAACTTTCCCATGATAATGACGCTGAAGTTGCACATAATTCAATATTTGCGATGGGAATTGTTGCTGCTGGAACTAATAACGCACGCCTTGCTGGAATGCTTAGACAGTTAGCACAATATTACAACAAAGACCCCAGTAATCTGTTTATGGTCCGTATTGCACAGGTAGCTATATTATCTCTTTAATTAAAAAAATTCGTGAAATTGGATGATCTGTTTCGATGATAAACTGTTTTTGTTTTAGGGTCTTGTTCATCTTGGCAAAGGAACTATGACTATAGGTCCTTATCATTGTGATAGATCATTGATGTCTCCTGTTGCTGTTGCTGGCTTGTTGTCTGTTTTAGTTGCTGGCCTAGATATGAAAAATAGTATGTTTATTATATTAAAAATACTATATTTTTGTTATAGGAAACAGGATGTGTTGAATCTAAACTTTTTTCTTTTTTTGTTTTCAGCTATCCTAAGCAAGAGTCATTATATGTTATTTTATCTTGTCTCAGCAATGCAACCAAGAATGTTTGTTGCATTCGATACTGACATTCGACCTCTTCAAGTTTCTGTCCGTGTTGGTCAGGTCCGTATGATGACAATGCTTTCTTTACTTTCCTATGATTTATAACATTAAGATGTGTTTCTTAGGCTGTTGATGTTGTTGGACAAGCTGGGAAACCAAAGACCATCACTGGATTTCAAACTCATACGACGCCTGTTTTGCTTGCTCATGGTGAACGAGCTGAGTTGGCTACTGAAGAATGTATCTTTTTTTTTTGAAAAGAAAAAGTTTTTCATATTTTATTAACGTTATTGATACATTCTTGACTATTACAACAGATATTTCTTTGACCCCATTCTTGGAGGGTTTTGCTATTTTGAAGAAGAATCCTGATTATGAAGCTGAAGAGTCGAAAAATTAACTTTACGAACAAAAATTCATATATTAGAATCATTTCTCAAGAGACTGATGTTTGTTTTTGAGTGTTAATTTAAATTTTCTTTAAGGAGCTAGTCCTCGTGCCTGTGTTGTCCTAGGTAGCTCCAAGTTGGATGTAGGGGTGGGAAGGGGATGTAGGAAACTTTTCCTCTATAACTGTGGGGTGAGAAGGGGATGTAGAGAACTTTTCCTCTATAACTGTGGGGAGAAGGGGATGTAGAAACTTTTCCTCTATAACTGTGGGGGTGAGAAGGGGATGTAGAGAACTTTTCCTCTATAACTGTGGGTTGAGAAGGGGATGTAGAGAATTTTTCTTCTATAATTGTGGGCGTGAGGAGGGGATGTAGTGAACTTTTTCTCTATAACTGTGGGGGTAAGAAGGGGATCTAGTGAACGTTTCCTCTATAACTGTGAGGGAAGAAGGGATGTAGAGAACTTTTCCTCTATAACTGTGAGGGATGGAGAACCTCTATAACTGTGGGGTGAAGGGATGAGAGAACTTTTCTTTATAAATGTGGGGTGGGAGGGATGACTGAACTTTCTCTACAACTGTGGGGTGAGAAGGGATGTAGGAACTTTTCTTTATAACTGTGGGGTGGGAAGGGATGTAGTGAACTTTTCTCTATAACTGTGGGGGTGAAGGGAAGGGGGAATAACTGTTTTGAATGTGGGGGGAAGGGATGCAGTGAACATTTTCTCTATAACCGTGGGGTGAGAAGGGATGCAAGGAACGTTTTCTTTATAAATGTGGGGTGAGTAAAGGGTGCAGTAAACATTCTATAACTGGCGTGGCCATTAAAGTAAATACACTGAAAACTACATATATGAATTTACATAAATGGCCGTGACCGTGTTCAATGATGCTTTATTGCTAAACTGAACTAAACGTCAAAATTTAAAAAAGACAATTCTTTTGTCCATTCTATCATTTCTAAATCATTTTTTCCACAATTTTACCCGATTTTATGTTGAAAATTAGCACAACGTTTTGACTCTTAATGATGATGGATGCTGAGGTTCGTCGATTTTTGTACTTCATTAATGACAGTTCATTAATATTTAACAGAGTCGCTGTGTCAAAAATTCATCATACAGACTTGAACGGATGTGACAACGTGTCTAAATGCGTGGCAGTGATTTGGATTCTTTGATCTCTATCGAAATCAGATCATATTGATCAACGAAACGTTTTTTATGTTCAAAATATGAGCCAAAAAGGCAGTATATACGACGTGGTAAGTGCTTAGCTATCAATAAATTCTCTTTGATTTGTTTGTTATGGCCATATATATATGCATATCATTTCATATCATATCTTATATTGATTGTAAAATTATCTTCAATGTTTGGCGATATTTTATTTTCTTCTCAACTATTTCGCAACACATCGACGAAAATTCTGTCAACATAATACTCATAAATGATTTGTGAAGTGATTTCTTGTTTTTTACCATTTGAATGAGTATATTATGACAAAGAAAGAACTCATTGTTCGTAAGCATTGCTATTTGCGCATGCTTACACTCAAGGAAAAATGAGATGTTTTCTTTATTGTTAGTTTTTTGGGGGTCACCCTGTAGATATCAATGTTGTTAATTTCTTAATTTGTAAAATCCCCAAAATCCAAGTTTTCCTCCTTTTTTTCTGGGGTTCCTTGAGGGATAGATGAGTCACTGCATTTTATAGTAGAGTGACAAACTATGTCTATTTTATAGAACGTTTTATCCCATCCATTAGATACACTGCTTCTTTACCAGTTTTTGATTAGGTAGCAATTTGTTTGTCCATAGCTTATTGTGACAAAATTGTTTCTTAGTCGATTTTTACAAGAAAGTTATTTTTAAAACCTTGAACCTTAAGAAGTTCTGATAATGAGTTTTTAAATAAAAAAATCTATAAAACTAAAGATAAAATCTTCAAGTTGTGACACTGTTTGATATGGTTAGTTATGACTGCTGTACACTAGTCTGATGAGGTATGCAAGGTCATTTTTTTATGTGTGTGGGGGGGAGGGGACTAAAACTTTGCTCTTACATGTTTTACTAACATATATTTTGTTATTTTACAAATGAAGAATGCTTAGCACAATTGCCCTCCCCTCCCTCCTTTGTTTATTCATATGCAGATTGTATAAGACAATAAAAATGGAACTTCATCACTTCTCACTTAGATCTTGTGGACATTTCACTAACTGTTATGGGGACTTTCTTGAATGTTTGATGTATGCATAAAATGTTGCTGATAAGAATTTGATTATCTAATATAAATGCTGGCTTTGACCATGACTACTGTTAAGGTTGACTATGAAGATGACTACTGTTAAGGTTGACTATGAAAATGACTACTGTTAAGGTTGACTATGAAGATGACTACTGTTAAGGTTGACTATGAAGATGACTACTGTTAAGGTTGACTATGAAGATGACTACTGTTAAGGTTGATTATGAAGATGACTACTGTTAAGGTTGACTATGAAGATGACTACTGTTAAGGTTGACTATGAAGATGACTACTGTTAAGGTTGATTATGAAGATGACTACTGTTAAGGTTGACTATGAAGATGACTACTGTTAAGGTTGACTATGAAGATGACTACTGTTAAGGTTGACTATGAAGATGACTACTGTTAAGGTTGACTATGAAGATGACTACTGTTAAGGTTGACTATGAAGATGACTACTGTTAAGGTTGATTATGAAGATGACTACTGTTAAGGTTGACTATGAAGATGACTACTGTTAAGGTTGACTATGAAGATGACTACTGTTAAGGTTGACATGAAGACACTACTGTTCTTGACTATGAAGATGACTACTGTTAAGGTTGACTATGAAGATGACTACTGTTAAGGTTGACTATGAAGATGACTACTGTTAAGGTTGACTATGAAGATGACTACTGTTAAGGTTGACTATGACCTATGTCAGTCAACACTAACACAAACAGTTCTTTTCATGTTGGCACAAACCTGGACGATCAACATCTACAAACATGTTTAAATGTTGTTTCATTGCAAAGCATATGATGTCCTACATACATGTCAAGTCTCACAGATTACATCATACCTCAGCATTACGCTCACGTGCATAGTACGATGTATCTCACGAATAAACAAGAATTTACGTAAAAAGCTAGAATTTACTGATTTAGCGTTGGCGTTTTTAGTGAATTTAAAATCTTTCAAAGTGTATATGATGACATTAGGTGTCCATTTTCAAACTTTAACACAGCTCTTTAAAGTGCACGTGGCTCATTGCTGACTCTATTGTGTAGTTTAACGTTAAAATATAACCTGAGAACACTGGAAATGCCATTGCTGACTCTATTGTGTAGTTTAACGTTAAAATATAACCTGAGAACGCTGGAAATGCCATTGCTGACTCTATTGTGTAGTTTAATGTTAAAATATAACCTGAGAACACTGGAAATGCCATTGCTGACTCTATTGTGTAGTTTAACGTTAAAATATAACCTGAGAACACTGGAAATGCCATTGCTGAAACCAAATTTCAAGGACCCCCCACCCAGCCCTAAACACACTGAGGTAATGCCGTAAGGCCATATCACGCATGAACCTTGGCATTTACGGTCATATGATCATAAAATTTTGCTGTCAGCTGTTTACTATAATTGATTATGAATCTGAGCTTCAATTTAAAAACAAATCATGTTCTAATTGCTTCACGGCTCAAACAAAATTATATTTTAATTGTTTATTAGCGGTAAAAGTTTTGATGAAGAATTTCTTTTGTTTTATTTTTTAACTTCATCATATTTATTGGCATTTTTACGTCTCTTGTGACTACGAGAGCTGCAGAATATACCGCAGGACTTCACCGCATGTCATTGACTGCCGACAAAAAGTCGCTGCATTTTTAAATTATTTTAAACATGTCAAATTTCATTGGAAACATAGTACTGAAAAATCATACACATGAAATAATGGTAAGAATATTTTTGTTTTTATAAAACATGGTATGTAGCTAGCTTCCTATCTTTCATACTGATATGTCATTTAGTTTTTATATTCATTATGAATGAGATGTGAGATGTGAGTTATAAAATTATCTCTTTACCGTCGGTTAGCTACGATCTTAAATAATTTTCTATCTTTCAAATAAAGCAGTATAACTCTGTAGAAATAACATCTAAACTGCAGACAACTACAAACGAAATCATTAGCCAAAGTTGTTAAAAATCTCATGTCGTTCATGTGATTAATATTCACTTTTATTCGCTTTTTGCTTAAATTATTTTTTTGCAACCAAGTTTTGTGTTTTCAATACAACATTGACGTTAATGATTGTATTATGAACGAAGTAACATGTTGGGTTTATTTTGAAAAGAAATATATTTTGTTATTGATAATGATATTTTATTCAGGGCCTTAAAACTTGTAATGTTTGAAAAAAATGAATGAAAACATATGTCATTCCATCGTTATCTGTATTCTGTATAGTCTGCCTCCTCCTGTCAACCTACTCTTGGTAGATAAAGTCGTTAGTTACTACACTGGAGTTTATCAACATTCTAATGCTTCCCCTTCTTCTCCAGCATACACACTTTCACACGTATTCAGCCCGTTACACAGACAACGAACAATTGCAAGCTAATCTCTTATTGTTTTTCAGGATTTCGTCAAGTCGACTAATGTTTCATATCAAGTGCATCATGTGTCCAGACAAAAGCGCGGTCAGGTACTTGGAACGAAAGCTGGCTTTCGTGGATGTACTGTATGGTTAACAGGTGAAATAGAATGTTTATTTATGTTTCATATGTATAAAGAACACATAAAAAAATAACATATTCGTATACGTGATAGGAAGATCCGATTTTTCATGAATCTATGATGAGAAAATTATATTTATTGAGTCTTACTATGGATCTTTAAACTGCATTTAGGTTTATCAGGCGCTGGTAAAACATCAATTTCTATGGGTCTAGAGGATTACTTATGTCGCCATGGGATTCCTACGTACACATTGGATGGAGATAACATGAGAACAGGATTGAACAAGAATCTTGGTTTCTCACCAGAAGATCGTGATGAGAACATTCGACGTGTTGGCGAAGTTGCTAAGTTATTTGCTGACTCTGGAATGATTTGTTTGACGGCATTTATTAGTCCTTATAAACGAGTATGTGAACTTAACATAGTTTTCAAAAGTTACTACACTTGACTATAAAGTTACTACACTGAAGTTTATCAGCATTAGATCCATGATGAAGACACTGGACTGAAGTATATAATGACTAAAGTTTCAACATGAGATTACTCTTGATTTTTTACAAATGTTTTTATTAAAATATGAAATTTTAGCTCCGTAACCGCGCCCGTCAAGTTCATGAAGAAGCAAATCTACCTTTTTTCGAACTTTTTGTTGACACCCCCCTTTCTGTTTGTGAAAAACGTGACGTCAAAGGACTGTACAAGAAGGCTCGTGCGGGTGAAATTAAAGGTTTCACTGGTATTGACGCTCCATTTGAACCACCAGAGAATCCTGATCTTGTATTGAAAGCTGGCGAAACATCTGTTAATGAATGCGTGCAACAAATTGTTGATTTATTAACTGAAGAGGTCTGCATTTGATGATATTTTTAATACTTCATGTACACGAAATAATTATCATTCTGCTACTGTTATTAACTTCATTAAAACAACACATTAGTTAGATATTTAATGAGTTGTATTTCTATTGTTTCTGTTCAGAATATTTTGCCAAGTACTATAGTTCAAGAGGTAAAAGAATTGTTTATACCATCAAATGAAGTTGAAATAAAACGACAAGAAGCAAAAAAGTTGCCATCCGTACAACTTACTAAGGTATAAGATAGCTTATGTTATTTCCTACGAGTTTATGTTTTGAAAAGCGCTTTTTATGTAAATTTCAATGTTCCTAGGTGTTGAAAAACTACCATTTATTTTGCTTTTTAGCTGGATCTTCAATGGGTTCAAGTCCTCTCTGAAGGATGGGCCACTCCACTTTCTGGTTTTATGAGAGAAAATGAATATTTACAATGTCTTCATTTTGGTGTTCTAGTTCGTGGTAAATGTGAATGATATGATATAAAACTCGTAGCTATATCCAGCTTAAAAACTTTTTTTAAATTTTTGTCCTTACTGAAACTTAAATATTTTCTACATTAGACGGCGTTTCAAACCAGACTGTTCCAATTGTTTTACCTGTCACCTATGAAGATAAAGAGAGACTCAAAGGAGCATCAGCTATTACTCTGACATTCAACAGCAAATCTGTCGCTATTCTACGCGATCCCGAATTTTTTGCCCATCGGAAAGACGAGCGATCGTGTCGTCAATGGGGTGTTTTTACCAAAGACCATCCTTACATAAAGGTTTTCATACCATAGTCTATATTTTATACATACTTATTTCTAAGTCAAAAACCATCATGCGGTAGACATGTTTGTAATTTTTCAATTATTTAAATGCCGTTATCTTTCATAACAGATGTGTTACGAAGCTGGTGATTGGCTAGTAGGTGGTGACCTTGAAGTTTTCGAGCGAATAACATGGGGCGACGAGTTGGACAAGTATAGAAAGACTCCTAATGAGCTGAGGAAAGAGTTTAAAAGTCGAAACGCTGACGCCGTATTTGCTTTTCAGCTTCGTAACCCTATACACAATGGACATGCTCTTCTTATGAAAGTAAGAATTTTTACCAGAGTTCTTTTAAATGTACTTATGGTCAAAGAAAGTAAGAATAGCAAATGTTCAATAAATGACATTCTTCAACATGTATGGTTCAGAATGTGTAGAAGAGGGTATTGCATTTTTACATTATCAAATTTGAGAAAGCACATGACTTGGTGCCGAGAGAAAGAGGGGAGGGACTTGGTGCCGAGAGAAAGAAGAGAGGGACTTGGTGCCGAGAGAAAGAGGAGGGGACTGTGGTATTGAACAAAAATTAGAGGGAGTGGCATTTTGCTAGAGTAACAAGTTAAATATGATGATGGGTGTCGAAGTAACAATGAACACCAACAGTCCTTTTAAAAACTTGCACTACATGGGCAATAAATGGCTACAAGCAAGCAACAGTACTTCTGGTTTTAAACTGTATTCCCTTTATTATAATCCAGTACTATTTTTATTTATTTTCACAGTAATCATTATGCAATATACGATTTTTTTCAGGACACTCACAAGAAACTGACCGAACGTGGATACAAAAGACCTGTGTTACTGCTTCACCCGTTGGGAGGTTGGACAAAACAAGATGACGTACCACTTCCTGTTCGTATAAAACAACATCATGCAGTCTTGGAAGATGGAATTCTTGATCCTGATAACACGGTTTTGGCCATATTTCCTTCACCAATGATGTACGCTGGTCCAACTGAGGTTAGTGACGTGAATGTTGTTTGTTTTAATGGTTCTAAACATTTCTTCCCAGAAATCTATTTCATAAATAGCACAGCTCTGTCAATTATATTGATTGAAGTTTCATTGATGAAATATCTTCCCACCCCCCTGCTCCGACGTTGATCTAGTTTCATTTCAGGGGGATATCTATGACTTTTTAATGATTGTAATATTTTCTAGGTTCAATGGCACGCTAAAGCACGCGTAGCCGCAGGTGCAAACTTTTATATTGTGGGTCGTGATCCTGCTGGAATGCCACATCCGACTAAAAAGCCAAAGGAAGATCTGTATGAGCCAACTCATGGTGCTAAGGTAACACAATTGCTCATTTTAAATTTAATAATTCGTTGATTTACCCAACTTATTTTAGGTTCTAACCATGGCGCCTGGTTTGACCGAGTTAGAGATTGTTCCATTCCGTGTGGCTGCCTACAATACTCGCAAGAAATGCATGGATTTTTTGATCCTAGCAAAAAGGATGATTTTGATTTTATATCTGGTACTCGCATGAGGGAGTTGGCGAAACGTGGTGAAACTCCTCCTGACGGTTTTATGGCTCCAAAAGCGTGGAAGGTTCTCTCTGATTTTTACAAATCTCAACAAAAAGAAAACAAGTAGAATCAATGTAAGTTTTTGAATTTTTGTTTAATGAATACGTAAATTATTTTGATCAATGTTGCAAAAGTTTTTTTCGCCATATTTTTGTTTCTCCGGATTATCTTATGTTAAAACTTAGTGTAGGATATCTATGGATTTGTTTCATCTTATGATAAACTTGGTGTAGGACATCTTTGGATAAGTTTTATCTTATGAAAAACTTGGTGTATGGTACATATGGATATATATTGTTATTTTATTTTAAGCTTGCCGTAGGATACATATGGATATATATTGTTATCTTATTTTAAACTTGGTGTAGAATACATATGGATATATTTGGCCGGTATAACATTAGTCTCATGTACATTTTCCAATTGATAAAAAGAAATTTCTTCATTGTCGTGCTTGCATTAGATGAAAAAATACATGACAACTATTGCAAACATGGTAAATTCATATAGCCACGTATTCATTTATCAAATTTCTATAAAATATACATATTTTGCAAATAAAATAATACTCCATTCCATTTCTTATACTTCACCATTTCTTCGGTTAATATTTTTCTGTAATTATCACACGTTATTTATATCTTCCAACTTGTACTTTCACAAACTCCATAAAAAGAGTGTATTTCGTACGATTTATACATTGTCCTGTAGAAAATGAAATGAATTGGTATTAATTATAAACTAAGAAAAGTTTAAAATCTACCTTGAAAGTAAACAACGATTGTGAAATATTAACATCTTTCAGTGTAGGTAGTGATGAATAAACAACAGAGAACAAAAACAGTTTTTACACTATCTAAAATATAAACTAAGATAACGTGTCAATGTAAGTGATGAATGTTTTACACTATCTAAAATATAAACTAAGATAAGTCTGATGAATGAACAACAGAGAACAAAAACAGTTTTTACACTATCTAAAATGTAAACTAAGATAACGTGTGTCAGTGTAGGTAGTGATGAATGAATCACGAACAATGAAAGCAGTCTTTACACTACTTAAAATATAAACTAAAGATGACGTTTATAAATGTAGGTAGTGATGAATAAACAACAGACAAGACAAGTTTGTACAAATTTGTACAACATAAAATAACGTGTTCTCGAAGACGCATAACGTCGAGTGGAATTTCCAACAACCATACCTTAATGAGTTTCTTCTTACAGATATACTTGAAGCGGTAGTTACAAGGATAGTCATTCCATTTCCCATCAGGTTTTAATACACCACAATCTTCGTTTCTTCGTCTTCCGCCATTGTTTGGATCACCACCATCCCAATCCTCAAAATTGACTTGACTCCTGAGAACATGAAGTATACGTTGTTACAATTACTGAAATCTTTGCTCTATAACATACCCCACAACTCTGTATATGTCTAATTATCTTATGCTAAACTTACTTATCACTCCAAGCCCAATTTCCTTCTCTTATCAAGTCATTAAATCCCATCCAAAGTTGGTAGTATTTGACTTCTGCCATTAGCTCATTTCTTACGAACCAATTTTCCTCACTGTCGGCTATGCTCAATAAATCAGAGTTCTTTCTTTTACAATCATTTCTAGCTTGTCTCCATGTTGTTTTCTTTTTTTTAATAAGATAGCAATATCTTGTTCCATTTTCTGTTGTGTACACTTTCCATCTCTTTCCACCACAAGCTGTCATGAGCAAAGGAAATGGGAGCTAATTTTGGCACTTTAATGGCTGATCTTAAAATTCTTGAGAAATATTGACTCATTGGACTCTAGGGTACTAGTCTTCATAATTATTATACTCCCCTCACATCAAAGGATGACGTTTATTATCGCTTAAGTAAATTATAGATACTCGTTCTTTACTTTTCAAAGTCCTCTTTTTGTTACGCAGAATTTGCCATTGTCTATCTTAAATTGCCAATGAAAAGCATACAGAAGAAAATCTTACCAAATTTTCGCCTTTTCGTATAAAACTCTGCTTTGAATCCTTTCATTTCATTGGTTAGGTCCGACTTGAACTCGATGTACAAGCTGTTTGCAAAAGCAGTTACTGGAGCTGTAAGAGATGATCAAATATAACTCTGTTTTTCGTTCATAACCATTTATATTGTAGATAAATGCATGCTACCCACTGTTACAAGACAAATACTTACCAGGTAAAGTGCTTCCGCAAAATGATCCCAACGATTTGGACTTGAGACTTGCGCCGTCTCTAATCTGAACATAGTCATACTCGCAACTTGAATGGCTCTCGAGATTAAAGGACAAAAAGCGCAGTTTGAGCAGTTTGTGGACGGGAACCTTAATGATCCATGTACATTTTATATTTCGTGGATATTTTTCTGGATAGTTTGGAGAGGATATGTTTCCTTTGTTCGTGTTTATGATTCCTCCACATTTCACATCTAAAGTGATAATATTATTGCAGTAAAGTTGTAGCTACAAACATAACTTTTTACATTAACTAGTGATGTACGTCGTATCTGTAATGTTATAATGTTAATGCTTGAACTTTGAGATATATTTCACCATGTGTGAGTTAAGTAACTAAGTTTGAAACTTCTGGAGTTCTTTAGTAGTTGTTTAGAAAATTCATGCGGTCTAAGTCTTTCTTGTGAATGTCAAGATGTATAGAAATTTAGTTCTTATAGACTCCAATCATACAGGTGTCTTGATCAGGAGTTGAAAATCATTAAGTTCATAAAAGGAACCTACCTTTTGTGGTAGTAGGTTTAGGTGTTGGGGTTGTAGAAAATTGATTTGTTCGAACAGCAACCCATCTTGCCCGGAATCCACTGTTTATGTTATTGAACGACTTGAGAGTAATTCGTATTGAATTTCCTGAGCCATACACTAATGGTGGTAAAGATGAACCACACAATGTCTTTAATACTCGCGCAGTCGTATGTTGCCCGTCTCTTATTGTCACGTGATCAGAGCTACGCGAACAGGCATATCTGTCCACTAAAAATAGCAGCGACATTAGCAGTGAAGACTACAAACTGAAATTTAACGTAAATTATGAAAATTTTTTTTAAATATGATCAAATGTATGAGCAGAGAATGTCCTGTAAATTGTTTATGAAACTAAGAGCTTTGAGGTTTTTTTTGTAAAATGTTATGAAAGAAAGCAGTTATTTGACATATCAATCTCCATACCTCCAACACTAAAATAAGTAAAACGTAAGCGAACTCTGTAGCCAGACCGAACTTGAATAATCCACGTACATTGACCTCGTCTACTGGAAGTTGATTGAAACACTCCGCTATTTCCACTGTATTTATTGAAGCATACTGAAATATACCGAAGATAAAAAATATTATTAGTTTATAATTTTTAAATTGCTAAAAACAATCAGAAATCATCAAAAGTAAAAACAAAATTATAATGCTTTAACCAAACTCATTTTACGCAAACTATATGTCATCAACTAACATCTGTACACCCATATACACTGTGCTATCGACTAATATTTGTACTACTATATCATACTATATACCATATTATCAACTAACATCTGTACACCCATATACACTGTGCTATCGACTAATATTTGTACTACTATATCATACTATATACCATATTATCAACTAACATCTGTCAACTGGCATCTGTACTACTATATCATACTATATACCATATTATCAACTGGCATCTGTACATCTATATCTATTTACTATGGTATTAGTTGGCATTTGTACATCTATTTTTATACGATCTTAACAACTATCGCATCAATACATCCATGTCAGTATACTATATTATCAACAAACTTATAACCGTATTTCATATTGGTGATATTGAAATGTTTTCAATTTACCACTTGGACATTCCTGTGTGTTACATTTTTGCTTCATTTCTCGTCCTCCTGTGCAAGATTTTCCTCCATTTTTCGGGTATGGATTGGAGCAAGTTCTGTATCTGGTCATGAAGCCCACACCACATGAGCGCGAACATGTTGTCCAACGTCCCCAAGATGACCATTGTCCATTTATAGCTGGAGGGTTTGTTGTTAGATCAGGTCGACCATTAAACTTTCGAGCACATAGGTAATTATTATTCCATCCATCCTTTCCTCCTTTTGCATACCATTGAATACAGGCTAGACTACTGATAGGACCTTTATTTGACCAAACGAAGCTGTAAAAAGCATGATGATTGTTTCTTAAAGTAATTTCAATCTAGCATTTTTAAATACTCTTTTGCTCCCGTGATACTAATCCTAAAATAATGAAAGATATTCTTATCATCAAATCAATCATGATGATCATGTTAAATAGGTGTATATAAGAACTAAAGTTTCAACATAAGATCAATCCTGATGAAAATATTAGACTGAAGTAAATATTTATTGAGAAGATGACTTCAAATGTAATATTTAACTGTTAATGTGACATATTTTGTCAAAACTATACGAAGTTGTGTTTGCAAAGTTATTGTTAACGTTTTTTGTCTTACTTGTAAGGTGATTTTTTTGGAACACACAAATAGTTATTGTCCCAACCATTTCTTATTGCCTCTTGTGGTTCATCAATTCTCACACATTTCATATATCTTATTGGACCATTATCTGACCATTTCATGTTTATATCTCGTCGTCCATATCGACTACAAAAATAGTAACTAGTCCATTGAAAGTACTGTGCTCGTTCATAAGTTCGTATACATGTTGTTGATGAAGGTGAGTAGTTGTGGTAACGATATGTGAAATCCTCAGGCCATCGTGGTAACTCTACAAAAGCAACAAATCAGAAAAATATTCAAAGCACATGGTGATTACTTTTTTTTATAAAAATCGCAAAAATTTTTTTGAGCATAGCTCTGTCACTCCTTCAAACAACTTTTCTTTTACAAGATCATATAGGAATCATTTCTTTTAAGCTAATCATAGTTTATGAGTATTTACATCTTACTTACCGTTGCATTTATGAGTATTACAATATCGTGATTGGTAAGCTTGCCCCAAGCATGTACGTCCACCATTCTTAGGAGATGGATTGTTGCATTCTCTTCTACGAATTTGATAACCACCAATACCACATTTTTTGGTACATTGTCCCCAAATTGACCAAGGAGACCATTTGCCATTCACCGCTATATCAAGAAAAAATTTAATGTTTAACAATCAAACCTTTTATTTTCTCCAACCTTTTATTACTAAATTCCAAAGATCTCCTGCTTTCTCAAAGATATTATAGTTTATCTGGAGTAAGCTATGGTTGAAACGTTAAAGTCTTCTTCAAGTTTTCATTCTAATGTCTTCTACATGCACGAGTGATCTAAAGATGCTAAACTTGAGTATTTAAGTATTTTCAATGAAGTATCTGCGAGTCTTCATTTCTTTTATTTATTTTAACCTTGAAGACGTACGTTTGTCATCTGATTTTGCGCACAAGTATTTTCCTGATCCCCATTCTCTGTCTCTTAGATGTTGCCATTTCATACAATTGTAACCTGAGATTTTACCCCTTTCTGACCATAAGAATTTGTAGGGGGATCCCTGAGGTACACAAATGTAGTTGTCGCTCCATCCAGTATACGGACGTTTATGTCTAGCTGTAATTTTTGTGCAAACCATGTTGGATATTGGTCCGCTGTACGACCAACGTATGTTGACTTTTCTTTTTCCTTTCTTTACGCAAAGATAGACTCTGCGCCATGAAATGTCATTGGGCTCATACAGTCTATAGCATTTATGACTTGGGCGCTTCGAAAATGTGAATGTAAAATCTTCAGGAAAGTCCGGATTTTTGTTAGACTTATCTGATAAGAAATGTTAAAGATAAAAAAATGTTAAAACTCTATTTTTGTTTATATATTTCTTTTCAGTATGTATCGTTGTATGTTACTGCATTTATGGTACTGTGTGTAGTAAAGTAGTGTATGTGCTACTGTATGTTGCTGTGAGTTTTTGTGTGATTGCAATGTGTCTTACCTGGACATTTGTATAATCTTTTTGTTTGCTCTACATCTAAAGCACTTAGATGGGTGTTTCCAAATCTCCTCGTCTTACCATCTAATGCCACTATTGTTGTTTTTCTGCCTTTACCAAACGCATTGTGCGCGTAATGCATGATGGATTTGTAATCGTAAGGAATACCAAGACTGTTGATCTTGTATGTACTGTATTTACGGAAAGCAAAGTAAAGGTCTGTAAAATGAAAATGGAAAGCCAAATTAGAGTAAGCTTGTGGTAATGAAATAAAAACATTAGAATTCTGGTTGAATCTCTCACTTTTTCTTATATTTTTTTTGATGATTTTAACGTATTTGTCACGATCCGGGCGATTTTGCTCATGCCAAAAGCCAAGAACATGACCTAGTTCGTGAAGTACAACGCTATGGTGCTCACAACCAACTCCTAAGGAAACAGTTTGTCGCCCTCCAACCATACCCACGTCGGAATTACACCTAAAATATCATACATTAAACTATTAATAATATATTTTGACTTATTTCTTGATTGTGATTGGTTGATTGCTATGCAGTTTATCAGTAACTGCACTGTAAAAATAAGTAATTTTACTGTTAAAATATGTAATTGCACTGTAATACTGTAATCTGATTGGTTGAAAAAAGTGAAAGGCTGTAAGCTTGAGCTTCTTTTCAATTCACCAAAAAAAACATGGCGGCAGTTGTTAGTGAACCAAAGCAATCAAAGATTTCGATAATTGCAATCGTGCAAAATTCAAAAATAACAGAACAGTGCAAAGAATTAAAACACCACAGTAAGTACTGTTTTTTCGTTAATGTTTATAAAAGTTGGGCCGCGTAACTAGGCTTGCTTGTGAGCTTTTTAAAAGTCTGCAACATAGCTTTCGTTCTTCGTACTCACGCTATTTTGTTGCAGTCTTTAAAAAATCTCACTCGTGCATGTTTATCCGCAATTGCACTCGAAACTATACTATTGCCTATACCAAAATCCGATTTTACATGTCTCATAAAATATTTTAAGGATTGATGGAAGTTCTTACAAAATGTTCTGTTGGTTGTTTGAGTTTTCTCACTTTTCTGGGTCATAGTTTTAAACACAATCATTTGTAAAGATTAGTTTTGAATAGATAAAAATAAATATCATAGCAGTATTATCAAAGAAGATATATAGGTACGAGTTCAATGTTTCAAAAATAGTTTTTATTTACCCATCTCCAACGAAGATGTAAACATAATTGGTATCGTAAATAGTTTTTGGTCGAAATTTAACGCATGTCTTCTCCTCCCACTCGTCCATTGCTCCCTTGACAATGTTCCTAAACCATCTACGATTTCCTGAAACGATTCAATTTAAACAAAACGTTTTGGAACGTTGCATGTTCTACAATCATTAAAAAAACAAAGACACATAATATTTGATTTTAGAACAAAATCTTTAGTATACGAAAATATTTCATACTATTTACTTACTTATTGAGTTTCCCAGTACGTAGGGAACAATTCCTCTGGGCCACAGAGCTGAACGATCTCGTATAGGAGCGTCTTTTTGCTCTTCAGAAGCATCAGTCCTAGCTGGGGGGTATCTTAAATCAAACTCGTGTGCGTGTAATTTTTCGCCTGAAAATTATGAAGAAAAACGTCAAAACTTATAGATCGACAATAATGTGTAGTGTTAATAAAACTAGATTAACCAAATCTTGTCTTTTATAGACGTCTTTTTGTAGTGAGAATGTTGACTTTATAAAAATTAAGCCTTGTTGAATGTTTGAAGTGATTCATGACATAGTTTGAATTTGAAAACAAGTAAAAGGTTAATTAAAATGGCGTGCGTCAAGTGACTGTATCATGTCGTTTATACTTGTTTGCATTTCCGTTCGTTGTTTTTATTGTCGTTTATCTGAGAGAAAAAGACTTCCTGTTTTCTATCAACACTTGCTGAGCGATGAAAATCTCATTTTGTTGCAAATTTTTGGTTATCCTATACTCGAAGATTAAGTACGTGAAAAGAAAATGAGAGACTGTAAAATTCTACCTACGAAAGCATGGTGTATTTTTTAATTTTAAATGATTAAGTAATAATTCTGGATTTAACTCTTTATTTATTCCTGTCTAGTGCTGAAAATACCAAATTTTGAAATTTTGTCTTATGTGGTTCAATGCTGTGTCTTCATGAGAGGGAAAGAGATGACGAAACTCGAGTTTTATGGTTTTTATCAGCTGTGATCTGATTTTGGTATGCTTTTAAACTTGTTTATTTAATAATTCTCCAGACGAACAACTCTTTAAAAAATTTTTATCAGTATATTTCAATATGACATCAATCATCGCTTTGTATTGTTTCATTATGTTCCTGAAGATCGCCACAATTCATGGTTGAAAATTAAATAAATAAATTTATAAGTAAACATAGCAGTCTGCTATATTATATTAACAGTTGAATCATGAAGCCTTGTCAAGACATTTTTAAAAACATCTTTCGAATCATCTAGAACTTACTGACGAATTTAATGGCTTTTTTATCTGTTGAGAATCTTTCAGTGCAAGCGGTCTGAAAATTTAATCTTCCACGACTAATTTAATTGGATGTATCGTTCTAAGTAAAAAGATCTTTCTTATTTTGCAGATCAGGAATTTATTCCAAGTGTCGCAGAGTGAGTTCCGGCTTGGAAATTTCGTATGGATTGTGTATGAAGCATATATAAATACAAGGTTATATTTTTTATCTTTATTTGTACGAGTTGTTGTTCTGACAAATTTGTGGATAACAGATTCATTTTACATACCCACAATCCTGTTAGCTGTTGCAATAAGTTCAAACGCCGTTTCATTTGACGTAATATTGAAGGACGCCTCCAGTGACGAATTATATAAACTTGAATTGTTATTGTCGAAGTTATTGCCTGGCAAATACCCATTCTCTTGTAAGGTGGTGGTTGTGAAATTATAGTCAACCTTTTCAAAGTGTACATTGCCTGTTTTATTTGATGTAATATTACCGTGTGCCCAGGTTGACAAATTATTAAACATTGTATGGTTATTGCGTGGAAACTTTTCTGCGCACAAATATTTTCCTGATCCCCATCCTCCATCTTTTAGATGTTGCCATTCCATACAATTGTAACCTGAGATTTTACCCCTTTCTGACCACGAGAATTTGTAGGGGGATCTCTGAGGTACACAAATGTAGTTGTCGGTCCATCCAGTATTCGGATCCTTGTGTTTAGCTGTAATTTTTGTGCAAACCATGTTGGATAATGGTCCGCTGTACGACCAACGTATGTTGACTTTTCTTTTTCCTTTCTTTACGCAAAGATAAACGCTGTGCCATAAAATGTCTTCAGGCTCATGCAGCTTCAGGCATTCATGACTTGAGAGATTTGAAAATGAGAGCGTAAAATCTTCAGGAAAATCTGGGGTTTTGTTAGATTTATCTGATAAAAGATAAAAAGTTGAATGTTAGCTCAACTGTTCTTTCAAGTTGTTTTTAGCTACAAACAAGTCAAAATTCTTATATTAATTGTTGTGAAGTTAAAATAACATTCTTTAGACCACTAACACTTACAAAGATACGTCTTGTGCAATGTTCAACTTTATATAGAATCATGACATACATTTAGTTAGTGAAATTGGTCCCTTTTGTCGTGATTAAATTTTATGAGAGCACATTTTATGTTTAAGCAAGTTGCCTGCTCTTATTTTCTGTTGCTATTATCTAAAATTCATAAACTTACAAACACGTGTTGTTTAAGTTTATATTTTAGAGTGTAAAAACTGTTCTTGTTCTCTGTCGATCATTCATCACTACCTATACTGACACACGTTATCTTATTTTAGCAATCTCGTTCTCTCATCTTGTGTGTATAACGTTGATAAACATAACTATTTCTACTTCATATGTTATGGCAAAATTTCAATTAACATGCAGATTTGTTCATACATGTGTGTGAAATGGAATTTTCTATAACTTACAGAAAACATCGTGCGTTGGTGTTCAACAATATACATACAGATATACGGAGGAAGAAGCTTGGGCCAACTTGTTTTTCTGACAGGTAAATTTTTTTACTTTATGTTCAACGATCTTTATCATTTACAAGTGGACACTTGTAAATGACGTGCAGCTCAAAGAAAAATCTTTGATATAAAAGTTAACGACATTCAAGTTGTTCTATGTTCCCTGCAGCAGTTTTTATTCATGATTAAATCATTAATTTAGTTAATCCTGTTTAAAACCTGTCAATTTCTTATTGAATTGTCGTGATTTGTCTACGAAATGACGGTGATTTAAAAAATAACGCACATTAATGACGATATAGTAAATGGAAATTTACTGTTTTCACAACCAAAGCACGCCGCTTCTAATTGAATTAAACATTTGTAAAAATGCTTTTTTAATGAAAAATAAAATTCTACCTACATTTCTTTAAAAAAAAGAATGAGAACTTTATTACATAAACGTGAGCTAAGGTAATCTTTGATGATAAAACTACTCTGAATAATAATTTATATGAACGATGATGACCATTTACGGAAACATGACGTTTCTTTATTTGCTATGATGAGAGCGTATCTAAAGAATTTTCTCGTTAGCATTTAAGTCAAACTGCTCAACAGTTCACATAGATAATTATTTAGACCATTTATCATATCACTCTCAGTAATCATGTTTTGACTTTGTCCACTCAATGTTCAATACTCTATGTGTTAGTAAGATAATGTGAAATTCATTTCTTATTGTCGTTGGCATGTCAAGAATTATATTCATCTTTCGGATCAGACTTTTGATTCCTATTTTTAAAATACCTTGGTTCTCCCAGGAAAACTTGGTCGAGGTACTTAGCAAGCTTGCTCAAATTAGGGGTTTAGTGCTAATTTTCAATTGTTTCTATTTAGGCGAGAATAAAGAAAAAAATTGCGCCTTGCTTTAGTGACTAAAGCTTAATATTGCCCCGCATAACAGCACGAGTTTATATGTAATATAATCGTTTATGAAAGGTGTCCTCGCGTTGACCGAATATTTGACGCAGTCACACATATAAAGAAATCACATTGAACTAAAATTTACTCATTTGTGTTTCATTTATATATTGTACATGCAGATTTTAGCATAAAATGCGTCGTACGTTGCGTAACATAGATGACTGTTTGTAAAATGTCCATAACGAACCGCATGCCTGTGAAATTCCGAGTGAGACGAAACCGTTCACTTGTATGTAGAAAAGCAGGAGCGTTATCGTACATTTGAAAAACAAAAATGTAAAAAAAACGTTTTGTGAATAACAGATTCATTTTACATACCCACAATCCTGTTAGCTGTTGCAATAAGTTCAAACGCCGTTTCATTTGACGTAATATTGAAGGACGCCTCCAGTGACGAATTATATAAACTTGAATTGTTATTGTCGAAGTTATTGCCTTGCAAATACCCATACTCTTGTAAGGTGGTGGTTGTGAAATTATTATCAACCTGATCAAAATTTGCGTTTACTAACGCTCCATATAAAAGACAAAATATTAAAATATTTTTGTCCATTATGGAGTTGCGCCGAAAGATATTTCAAGTTCAGAATGTCCTATTTCCCTGTGGGTGATTGTGATAGCAGAGACACAGCTGTATTTTATATTGACATATTATAACTATGGTTCAAATTCATTGCTAAAGGTGATTGGAGCTTGCGAAATGTTTTGTGGGAAAGTCATGTATCCAGTTTTAAAGCGGAAGTACGTCATTGTAATCAATATCTTCATTGAAAGAAAGATCTCTTGCTTTTTGATAGTAGAAAAGTGATTATCATGAAAATTGCAGTTAATTTCAAAAAATAACCCTGACGAATGGTTGATGTTCTTAATTGTAATGATTTCGTTCATCGATTAATTAAATTTGATGTTTTATAAAGATAATCCATTTTTATTGCTTGTTTATCATTCTCGAACTGTGTTCAATTGTACGTATTATGTTTTTTAAAAACGAACCTACCAAGTACATATACTGATATACAATAATTTTAAAACCAAAACATGTGAAAATTGTAGAGTAAAGGAAACAGACTTGTTTTTACCTTTTCGTGGACGTTAGATCGCCTTTGAAACGGTTTCATATAAAAAAAATACAATTTTACCAACATGCCAGAAACATGTTATGTCTGTTGACTTGAAATTTGACTGCAAGAAACTTTATACTTAAGATTATATTTCGGTTTTTAGTGAAATGAATCATCTTTTTTATAGGAGGGACAAGTTATGTTTTTTAAACACGCCCGTCTTAAATTAAAAATCTAATTAGCCATTGTTGGTGCGTCTTGACCATTCGAGAATTGTCGCAAAGTTTTTCAACACTTTGAAAATAGATGTAGCTAGCATTATTTGACAAAAGACTTTGTTCAAAAGACATAATCTTGGATGACGTGTTCCCTATTGCTTTATTTCTCAAAGCATGTATATAACACATAACCATCAAATTGAAACGCAAATGCAAATAACGTGAAAATTTCAAGTTTTAAAACCGCAGTAACTCTTGGTATTTCGGATTGTGCTAACCACAAATTAATAAAAAACTAAGTTCTTCTGCATTGTTTTTATTTATGAGAATAGTTTAGTTTTTAAATCTAAAATATATTAATAAAATATAATCACCCATGGTTGTAATAAGATTAGTATCATGTCAGTATCATTTCAAACTGGGTGTTCATCTAAAAGATCTCTTATTCATTTCATCTTGTTACGAAAATAAAACTTAAACTAGAACGACATTTTACTAGATAGTTCTACCACTTCTTCATTTCCCTTCCCAAAGTTGTATAATAATCCATTCCTTCTATTGTTCAGTCTATTATTCACAGCTTTGTAATATCATATTACAGAATGACGAAGTGCTAACGGATAACTGCGACTATAATAGGCATAAAATCGCAATTTATGTAATGCCATTGATGCATAGCTGATAATATGCGTCATTGAAGCCGTGGTTTGTTGATAAATTTTTGTATAAATGTACCATTGTTTTGCGTGAATTACATTTGTGCTTTGGGAACTTAAATATCGGCATTAGTGTTCAAAATGAATGATTGTTTAGTATGCAGAATGCTCGGATATTTAGTCCTTATCACGTTGCATTTATCTAACGTAAGATCACAACAGCGTCTAATGGCAATGGATCGTATTATTTTAGCAAATATGGGGAAAGGTATTTGATTTAATTTTGCGTTTTTCTTACTTCCAATAAACGTGTATATTACCGTTCATTTTATATTTTTATAATATTGAATTTTCGGTAAAGAATTATAACCTACGTAGAGATAGTGAATAAATTTATGTTTCACGTTGTCATATGATATTCCATTCATAAAGCATGTAAATAATGCTTCATGTTTTGTTTTGCTTTAAACAACATTATCTTGCCGAAATAAAATCATTCGTGTTGTGAATTACTTGATATTTCACGCTCAATAAACGCTCAACAAACACTTAACAACAGCTACGTGTTAAGATGCCTGTTGCTTTTCTTTACTTTACATGAATTCACAAATTTATATAATATACCAAGTGAATCCATGTATTTTTTGGTCATTGTGTACGATTTTTCCTAATTTTAGTTACAGTTATGATTTTAAGCTGTACACCTGCACGGTACTGAAGTATCATTATGTATGAATGAAGTTTTAACTTAATGTATGAATTAAGTTTTAACTTTATGTATGAATGAAGTTTTAACTTTATGTATGAATGAAGTTTTAACTTAACTTTTAAATGTTTTTCTTTAAAAGTATTAAAGTAAAAAAAAACTAAGAAAAACTCCACAGATTTATCATTTTATCTTTCAAAATTTTTAGAGAAGTTAATGAACGTCGATAAGTTCGATATTCGCCTTCCTCCATTTCGAAGTGATGCACCGTCTGGTGCACTCAATGCTGCCGCACGGGACGAGAGGAAACTTTGGGAGAGAGGTGTTGTACCTTACATCATCGAAAACAGCATTTGTAAGTATACAAAGATTTTTTCATTAACTTTAGTAAAATTTTTGAAAAGAAACAAATATGAATATAGATGTAGAAATAGATGTTTTAGCATTTGTAGAAAATGGTGACAGTGTTAGGGGGCACCCCTCCGTTTTGTTGTCTGCTTTCAGTTTGCCCCCTCAGATTTTCCATCTCACTTTTGTCCAGTAATAAACTTATTGGTCCACTGTATGTTGCTGATTTTAAACGATAAAATTGTACACAGACACATTACAGTCTTTCCAACCAAAAAATACATTTTTGTCTCCTATTTGCCTCTAGCGCCACCACCTACATAAGATTTTCCGCATGATATTTTTTTTAGGTCTGAAAGTAAAAAAAAAATCGGAGAAAATCGTCATCAGACAAACTGTTTGTGATTGTCATTTTCTGTTTTGCGTCATTAATTGAAAGATTCTGTTTTCTCGTAAATATAAAATTTCATTTTACACGTGAAGATGAAATTCTTGATCCGTGATGATTTAGTTTCTCTGTGTGTAAATTGCTCGGTGTTTACTTAGCGTGAAAACAATACACTTCTAAAAAAACATAAATTCTCTATCACTCTGTTCTTTACTGATAAGCTTAACATGCTGTAAAATATATTATATCACACTTTCATCATCGCAATAATATTACGATAAAATGTCTTACCTGTCTAAATTCACACTTGAAATTTACTTTATTTTATTTGTTCAAGAATTTGCAAACGATCATAATCTCTTTTACAACAGTAAATCGTCCACTGTTTAAAGCTAATTTACAACGTGCCATGAAAGAATGGAGAAAATATACTTGTATAAAGTTTCGCAAAAGAAAACTACAGATCGAGATTATGTTGTCTTCACACATGGAATTGGGTAAGTTCATGGAAATTATTGTTTTGTCTTAAAAAATAGAAACATTGATTTATTACATAGTCTGTGATAATGAATATGTCATTCATGAGCCATTATTCTTTCACCAATGACCTTTCAAAGAAATACACCAAAACGTCGACATAATTGAACGAGTTTCATATACTTTAGTATCAATTTATGGCAATAATAAGTGATATTTGTGTCTTTGCAAGAATGACTTTTCTGTTTATTAAAATACGTACATGGAAACTTTAGTTGCAATGCAGATGTAGGAAGAAAAGGCGGACGTCAATATGTTTCACTTGGTCGGGGCTGTTCAGACACTGGTGTTATCATACACGAATTAGGACATGTTGTTGGCTTCTGGCATGAGCAAAACCGTCCTGATCGAAGTAAATATGTTGATATTATGTGGAACAACATTATTCCAAGTGAGTTGAGTTAACTTTTAATCTCGTCTCATAATATATTTATAAAACATGATAGTTATAACGGGAGAAAATTTAGAATTATATAATATATATTTGGAGTACATTCAAACCTTTCGTCAGCGGACACAGTTTTAACCACAACCTAGACCTAATATCCGCTTACAACTCGTGTCCAATTACCGGTGGTGTTCTCTTATGTGACCTAGTGTCCAATTACGGGTGGTGTTCGTAAGTAGAGGTTTTACCGTAGTTAAATTTAATGTGTTTTCTTTGGTATGCTAAATGAAAAAGAGATTATTTCTAGCTATGTTTTTCTTGAATGTAATGAACTAATTAGTACTGAATCAATTATCAACACACACAAACACACATACATATTTATAGTTACGAGAGAAGAAAATGTATTACTCCTGAGCTTTAACATGCTGTCTTTTCCAGACTTTAGGTATGCGTTTGATAGATACAGCACGTACAGAATTGACAGCCGAAAAGTGAGATATGATTTCCAATCTATAATGCACTATGGTAAATACGCCTTCAGCAACAACAGAAAAGCAACAATTGTGGCTAGAGCTAGAAATGGCATTAGTCAATTTGGAAATACACACCTTAGTTCATTGGACGTAAAACAGACAAATCTTGTCTACAATTGTAAAGGTAAGAAAAACTATAGTCGAGTGGTTGACATGGACACAAAATGTCCTTCGTCTATAGGAATAAACTTTGTGATTGACGTACGTTGCTCATGAATTACGTCACGTACGCAGCTCATGAATTACGTCACATCAAATGCATTCAGTTAGGAAAATCAATTTTGTTTATAGCAAAACGGAGAAAGTTTGCAAGATTTCCTGAGGACTTTCAATTTTCGGCATCGAACATTAAAGGAAGACACTGTGTGTTCTTAGACGAACCAAACGATCCGCAATTTTCGTCTGTTTGGCTTTGTCATAAAAAAACAAAAAGAAAGTCTGGAATTAAATGGAGCTACAGTGGAAGATTAAATGACTTAATATGTACTCAAATTACGGATCCAAATGGAGAAAAAAGGTAATCATTTTTAAAATGTGACACTTTATTGGATTATTATTTGCAGTCAGATGCTCGCTACATAATTTACTACTTACTGAAGCAAATTGTGAAAATATGAAAAGTATGGTTACGTAGTTGATTTTCGTTAAACGAAACTACATATTTATTGTCACATTGTTGGATGTTTATGAAGATTTTAAATATATTTTTTTTATGCAGGGTTTGGAATGATAACTATTTTTGTGTTGGAAGCAACTTTCCTTATGAATTTTATTGGTCAAAAAATGGAACGATAAAGAACCTTAGATGTTTAGAATGGACCAATAGCAACCGGTCTTTTTTATGCGCCAAATTCATTGATGGACGTAAGTTTAATGATCATTTTGCCTTTTTGCTATTTTACAAAATTTTATTTTATCTAATTTTTATAAAAGAATATTGGTCATTTCTAAGGGATTTGCTAAATGTTTAAAATTCTTTAGCAATCAATGGAGGATGGACATCTTGGTCACCGTGGACAAAATGCAACAGATTATGTGGTGGTGGTTATCAGGAACAAAGAAGATTTTGTAGAAATCCTATCCCAAGAAATTATGGTGTATCTTGCAGTGGAAAAAATTACAAAAGAAGATTTTGTAATGTGCAGAAATGTACAGGTAACGAAATATGCATTTTCAGGTTTAAAATTTAGAAAAATAATATCTTATAAACTAGTTTCAACAATGTTTGCTTGTCGAAAGTCTAAATAAAGAAATATTTTTTTCTATGGAAAATTACATAACTCTATGTCTGATCTTTTTCCAAGATTAAATTTCATTTGGATTTCAACATAATATTCTTTCAATCAAATCATGTCAACTGAAAGCAAATGGCTACCATACAATTTTTTTGTTTTTAGAATTTCCAAAATGGCCAGAAGATTTTATGTTTAAGTATTTTCATCGTACACCGTATGAACACAATTGTCTTCGTATCACCAACGGATTAAGTGATTCAACGTGGAGGAATTATTTCTTTTGCTCGTCGGGGAGAAAGAAAAGAATTAATATGAAGTGGTCAACCTTTGGTGCTCAACGTGATATGAGATGTATAAATATTAATGAACCACTTTCCACTCAAGGATGGAAAAATAATTATCTTTGCTTACCTCTTGATTCAAACTACACGTATGCAAATAAAACACATTTATGTTTATATCTATTTTCTATTGCTTTCAAACTCCCAGAAATTTATTTAAACATGACTTTTAACTTTATAGATTTTTTTGGTCTCATTCTGGATCAATTGACGGACTGTCTTGTGTCAAATGGTTTGCCAAGAACGGTCGCGAAGGATGGAATAATAATTATCTTTGTGGATCGAAATTAAAATGTAAGTTATTAAACCATGAGTTAAAAAAAAACCATATTCAGATATTGATTGTTAAAAGTCATTGTTTACTTTTTGATATTGGCTTTTACGTCTTTTTACATCATCCACATTTACAAAACTATTTAACATTTCCTGTAGACCACAAAACTATTTAACATTTCCTGTAGACCATAAAACTATTTAACATTTCCTGTAGACCACAAAACTATTTAACATACTTTCCTCTTACAACAGAAATGACTGAGAAAACCGCAGACATAACTAACCAATATTTCTTTTTTGATGATAAATAATTGACAATAACATGTTTCTAGTGACGGCTGCTATTCCCAAGAAAAACAATACTACACGTAAACCAATACCAATTCATGGAGGATGGAGTGAATGGTCAAAATGGAGTAATTGTAGTAAATTGTGTGGTCAGGGTTATCAAAGAAGATTAAGACAGTGTAATCAGCCCATCCCTTCCTTGGGTGGACAAAATTGTAACGGAACCAACGTGGAAAATAGAACATGTCGTAATTCTGTCTGCAAAGATTGTAAGTCTTGCATTCACGTTTCAACATGTTGACTTATACACTTTTTTTTACATTGTATAACTTCAATTTTGCAATCTTATGTGTGTATTTTTTGTTGTCTCAGTATGTAATAATAAAGTTTTAACGACACCAACGGGAGAATTAACGTCACCTGCGTTTCCAAACTATCCTCAGAACAAGCGTTGTCAATGGCTGATCAGAGTGGCTAAAGGACAAAATATCGAACTAAAATTTTCATATATACGACTGAAAGGTATATTAGCTATATACGCAACTCGTATGAACAAGAAATCATATTTCTCTTTAGATTTCTATGAATGACAGTTTAAAGATAATATTGTTTAAAAAGTAATTTAAAGTTTAAATTAGACATTAAGCCTGTACTGCTGTAAATGTTGTAATGTCTTTATGAGAGGATTGTATAATTGGATCTTCATGACAAACGGATAAGAAGTGATAACAAAATCAAATTAAAATAATCTAGCTTTCGTCTTTGGCTTTCCCTCTGTGAATCTAATTATTTATTTTTTTTAATTTGATCAGGAAAGAAATCACGTTGTGTCTCTGATCATTTAATCGTGCGAGACGGCAATAATGATCGAGCTTTTGTCTTAAAATTGTTCTGTGAAAATTCCAACTCTCTGGTCACCATAAACTCATCGGGAAATGCAGTTTTGCTGCAATTGAAAACAAGCGACCGTTTGAAAATAGGTGGATTTAGAGTTAAATGGATGTCAAAAAAATCGACAAATGAAGGTGAAATTTTTGTGAATTGTTGTAAAATCCGATCAATAAAAATCCACGCGTCAAATTTTTCATTTTTTTTCTCATTACAGTGCAATGTCATCATGAACTTACGGGAAATTCTGGAAGTATAAAATCACCACTATATCCACAACTGTATCCAAATAATAAAGACTGCTCATGGTTGATAATCGTTCCTATAAATCGTCTTTTGCAAATAAGGTTTCAAGATTTCAAATTGGAAAAACATAGCAAATGTTCTTACGATCGACTTGAAGTCTATGACGGTGGCAGTCTACAATCGCCAAAACGATCTTTCTGTGGCGATAAGAATCCAGGTATTTGGTTTAACGGCTAGCTTATTATGAACAATTTATTGGCTTCACATTGATATAAACCACTTCAGTAATCATTTGCTTGGAAAGACATGTAGGTATAGTAACTGCTGCATCAGTTGTAAATGTTCTTTCTGTTGGATTTGTTATAACTGTTGTATTTGTTATAACTATTGTTACTGTTGTATTTGTTATAACTGCTGTATCAGTTGTAAATGTTGTATCTGTTTGATTTGTTATAACTGTTGTATTTGTTATAACTATTGTTACTGTTGTATTTGTTATAACTGTTGTATTTGTTATAACTATTGTTACTGTTGTATTTCTTATAACTTTTGTATCTGTTATATTTATATAACTGTTGTAACTTTGGTATTTGTTACTTGTAACTGTAAGGCAAATCAATAAAATAACATAAAGTAAAGCACAACAAGCCACAAACAAATAATAATTTTCTTATGTTAAACATAAAAAAATGTAGAAAAGTTTTATGCATTGAATGTTGAAGCTTCGCTATCTTTTAGAAAATTACCAGAAATTATGAAGATTGTATGGGTGTTAATGTTTGAATTTTAGGTACAATTACAGCATTCACAAACCGCTTCTTGATCAAGTTTCACAGCGACGCTTCGAGAAGTTATCGTGGTTTTAAACTTCAATGGTTTACATCAAAACGACGTTTGTGACGGTAGATAAAATTATTAACAATTTTATATCTTAAATATCACAAAGATTTATATTGTTTAATGGTATAAATGATTATGAACAATTTGATATCGACATTAATAAAATCATAATAAATAATGTAGGTTTTACGATGTAAATTGTACGATTTCACATGTAGAAAATTCAATCTGTATTTTAAAGGGATACTTCTACATATATATAAGCATTTTTGAAAAAATGCCCATATTAAGAAATGAATAGTACATTAAATATAATTATTGCACAAAGCCATCATTTAAATTAAAACCTGTATAATAAAAATAATATGTGTAGTTTAAATTTATTTTTGTACATACAATTATTTACACGTCAGTAGCTATGTTGTTTTTAAAAATATAACTCTGGAAATCGATGATAACAATTTCAATACCGTTTGAAATCATATATACTAGCAAATTGTTGTTGGTGTCAGTCACTTAACCATAATTTTATCAACTCAAAGACACAACAATAGCATCACTTACATTAAGTATCATCATCCTTAGTATCAATTTGCATGCTATTTGAGTCAAACAAACCATTGACAGAGACATCTTTCAAAGTGTTCTCATTTTTCATCAAAGTTTCATTAATACATTTTGTTTTGTCTTTTTGTTGTTGTTCCAGCAGTTTTTCTTGTTTCAATTTTTTCCGTTTATTATAGGCAACCTTCTTACGTTTTAATGCTTCTTTGCTCTTTGAAACATCTTCCTTAAATATTTGTTTAATTTGTTCTTCAGTTACATAGTTACTAGACTTCAACAATGTCAGAAAAACTCCTCCACTTGTTCGCCTAAAGGAAGAAAAGATGAATAAATAAATACAAAATTTTATTGGTTTCTTTTCTTTAATGTTTAAGCACCTTCTTTCTCCATTGCTGGTTCTCATTCCTCCATTTAGTTGAATCCGTTTTGTCTCGTTAAAGAGTTCAACAGTTTTCTTTGCACCAATCATTTTGACAGTTTCAATGATCAACGATAACTTTTGCTTAAAAGAGCATAAACTAGGATTAAACAATATATTTTAAACACTATCCCAATGTACTTAATATCTTACTGTCTTAATTTTGGTTATTTGTATTAAGTATAGGCAAAATATTTTGTTTCAAAAGATAACATACTTCTTCAAGTCGTTCAGCTATTTCTTTTCCAATTTTTACTGGATTGTCGTACAATCGAACCTTCAAACGTCTGCAGAGATTTTTTATATTTGGTCTTCTTTGAACGCTGTTTTTTCTACCATTTTCTACCACCAAACATAACAATAATAAGAGAAACGTTTATAATAAGACGCTTTATTTAAGATATTTATTAAAACATTTCAAATCTTACTATTTTCAAAATCTTTAGTGTTGTCTGTTTTGGAAGCTTCACTGGTTTCATCACAAAAATCCATAAATTCAACGTTTTCATGTCGGATACCCAAACGAGATTTAACAGAGCCTCTGGAACACTGCATTGCGTCATTATTCAAATCATTTTCATCCAAACTTTTTAGCAGTTTTTGTTTAGCTTCTTCTAAACTCAAAAAATCTCTAGAATCAAAATCAGGCATGACGGTGGACTTCTGTGTATCATCTTTCCTCGATTGTTTTGTTCTTACAGAGATTTCTTTATCAAATTCATTTTCATGTACATCAAGCTCCAAAACATCGTCCATTTCTAATGATTTCTGGACTCAAAAAGAAGATTTACCTTCGGAAGAAAGATTTACAAAGCGCTAGATGCTATCAATATTTACACTAAAACCGCTGACCTAAGTACTGCATTTCTGCTCGATGGATTTTGCGCTAGATGGTAGTAAATTTGTATTTAATTTCCGCAAACAACTTTTCCAAGGCGCATAAAATTATATTAAAATTTTATATGGAAGTGAAAATATTTCATATTTACCAACAAAATTAATCCAATACATGTATACGTGGCTATAACCTGCAAGAAAATTGACGATTTAGATGGTGAGTAAAGCAAGACTCATTTTTTAAAGCTATCTTTGTGAATGACGCTTGTTCATGAAAAAAATTATTTTAACACGTGGCTGTTTCCCTTTTTTGCACAATTTTAAAAAGAAGAAAGGATTTTTCTCATGACATTCAGTATACTTAATCGTTTTCTAAGGTAAGTAATTCAAAGTTCTCTGTTTTATTTAACTTTATATTATACATCAACATTTAGTCTACAAAGAACTATTAAAATGTGACAGTACAGTATGAGTTTGTTTTATTTATCATGGCATGGCAACTCGCAAGAAGCATTTAGGAACCATGGTATATTGTTTTTTTTTCACAACTCTAGAAAGTATGAATGACTTTGAGGATTGTAGAGATGTGGAATTTCAAAGAGCTTTTGAGGATGAACTTTATAAGGACACTTTTTCTCTTGGAAGGTAATGTTCTTGTGGAAAGTTTTCATTAGCTTTAATAAACATTGTTGGTTGACAATGAATAAAATTTTGTGTTGTAATGGCAAAACCTCTCATAAAACCACTCAAACGTTTTAACCTGAGCCATTCTTAAATTACAACTCATCGACTACTGGCAGTGCTGAACACCATGATTTTCATCATTAATATTGAGAACAAATTTAACTTCACTTTTGAGCTGTTTTAATATATGAAAAAAAGTTTAAAAGTGTTGATCAAAACACATGAAATGTTTTATTATTAATTTCATTCAAGGTACAGTGACAATATCTTCACTATATAGGGAAGACTGGGTTTCAATATTTTTGTTGTTCATGTGATAACCAAGACATTTACCATAGCTCCTTTTTTTCTAAGCTATTTACTTTTTATTTTGGTGACAAATTTTAGTGATGAAAACATTGACAGTGATGTGGAAGCAGAGCTGTATCAAAATGTACATTTTGCCTCTTCATTGGTGGAAAAAAATAATGATGAAGATATCAAAGGTAGTTTTTTTTGATTGGATATCCATGTATCTTAGAGATCTTAATTATTATAATAAAAATTTTATATAAGTACCCAATTTTGGCATGTAACGATGTGTTAAAAAATCCTATGCATTGATTGCAAGGCAAATTATTTTAAACAACACAAACGTACATTGACATTTACTATTGGCATTCTTTCAAGTGTCCTGTACATTCCCCATGTCTCCTGTACATTCCTCTCTGTGTCCTGTACATTCCCCATGTCTCCTGTACATTTCTCTGTGTGTCCTGTACATTCCCCATGTCTCCTGTACATTCCTCTGTGTGTCCTGTACATTCCACATGTCTCCTGTACATTCCTCTGTGTGTCCTGTACATTCCCCATGTCTCCTGTACATTCCTCTGTGTGTCCTGTACATTCCCCATGTCTCATGTACATTTCTCTGTGTGTCCTGTACATTCCCCATGTCTCCTGTACATTTCTCTGTGTCCTGTACATTCCTTTTGCTCTAACAACCGTCAAATCTTTTTCATTCTTTTATCTATTTATAGAAGTTGAATTCATCTTTACAAATGACAATCAAAAGAATGAGCATGCCAATAAAGTTTGTAAACTCATATACTCTCCATAAATATGTTAAGAAAAATATGTTTATTAGTTTATTTGTTGTTTTATAGCTGTGTTTTGATGTTCCTGATTTACTGAATGCAAAGGAAAGAAATAATGTTAAAACTAAATATTCATCAAACAGTGAAGAGTGGAAGATTTTAGATATTGATTTGATTGTAAGTATAAGTACGACAACAAATTAATGGTGAGCAAAACAGTTTTTACACTACCTAAAATATAAACTGAGATAACGTGTGTCAGTGTAGGTAGTGATGAATGAACAATAAAGAACAAAAACATTCTTTACACTACCTAAAATATAAACTAAGATAACGTGTGTCAGTGTAGGTAGTGATGAATGAAGAACAGAGAACAAAAACAGTCTTTACACTACCTAAAATATAAACTAAGATAACATGTGTCAGTGTAGGTAGTGATGAATGAACAACAGAGAACAAGAACATTCTTTACACTACCTAAAATATAAACTGAGATAACGTGTGTCAGTGTAGGTAGTGATGAATGAACAACAGAGAACAAGGACAATTTGTTATTTATAAGTGAGCTTTGTGACTTGGACAAAGCTTTTATGTAAGAGGAATCTAAAATGAGTATTCCTACCACCAGCAATATTGATATATGTAACATTTGAATTTTGTTTTTTCAGCCGTTTCGTACAAAGAAGCATACCTACGTCCGTTTTTTCAATTGGAATAAAAAAACTCACAGGACATTGGAAGTCACTCAGTCAAAAGTACTTTCCAAATTTCCTTATCACACGTTGTAGCTATTTGTTGCTAAGATAATGCTCTAAAGAGTTATTATTTTAGAAAGAAATCGTGTGTTGGCTGTGCGGGGAGACTGGACACCACGTAAAGGCATGTAATAAGGATGTATGCTATAACTGCCGGAAGCCTGGACATAAAATTAAAAAATGTCCTAGACCTCGTAGGAATGGCCATAGCACTTGCAATAGATGTCATGCATTTGGTCATTTTGAAGACGTACGATTTTAATTACAATTGTGGTTTTTTTCTTCCATTTCTTTGTACTATCTTCAAATCATTTTTTTACGCCCTTAAATTGTTTTTTTTTGCTCTGATAGTTTTGTCCAGATCGTTGGCGACAGTATCACTACACTGTATGTACATGCTTAGTGCTGTATCTTTAAACTGTTGTCATCCTTGAATAATGCAATGTGAGTTGTTTATCCAGATTGCTCAAGGAGAAATGGTTCGTGCAAGTGGAAATCCCCTCAAACATAACAACATTTTCTGTTATAATTGTGGAGAAGAGGGTCATCTTGGTCACGTAAGTCAATTGGATTGCTGACTATCGTTGGCTAATTTCGAACAAGCTTTTTCTCATGTAAAATGTTGATTTTTGATAGGAGTGCATTGAAGGAAAAAAGGGGTTCACTGATTCGTCCTATCCATATGTTGTTAAATATGATCAATTTACAAGTAAGTTCGTTTCAAGAAATGTAAACAGAAACAGCAACGAAATAGAAATGCAGTTAAAAAATACGCCGATAAGAAAATCGAAGACAAACAAGAAATTTGTTTTGGAACGAAATGATGAAACGAAACATTCTCCCCAAAGAAATAAAAGTAAATTTATTGAAACGATAATGATTGTGGACGACGATGAAGATGCTAGCAATAAAATGAATGCTTGTAACGATAGAGGTACTTAGATGTATTTATATTTGCATTGTTGGAGAGTTTTGTCATTATTGGTTTTATAATAACCCTTTCACAAATAATTTTATAAGATTTTGGTCTCCTGAACGGAAGAAATAATAAGAAACGAAAGAGGAATGATTTGGTTACCTTTGCTGAAGATGAATTGTTGTTTGCTAACAAGAAAAAAGGCGCGAAAAAAATGTGTAAAAGTAACACAGAAACTCACCATGTAAGAGAATAATCATTTATTAATATGGATGAATGAACTCAGTATATATATATATATATACGTATATATCTAGAATTAAACACCAGAATTATTGTTCATTTTATGTCTGCAGGGAATTATGTAGACCTCATAGATCTATCTGTTGCCAAAAGTATTTGTTTAAAATTGCATTATGTTCTTTATAAGTAGTCTCCTTTGTCCTTTAGCACTTGGCCATTGTTTTATCTTAGAACACATGTTTCCTGAAAAATGGAAAATTATTTTAGAAATGTCTTTTGTTTCAGGAAAACTTGACGGAGACTCATTCTTTTGTGGCGAAGAGCTTAAGCTCAAGTGAAAAGGCTGAAATAAAGCGAAGGATTAAAAACGATGCAATCAAGGGAAAAATTGTTGTTGTTACAGAAGAATCAGAGAAGAAACTGCGGCGTAGAACAAAAGCAAAAAAAAGAAAAGATAAACATAAAGTTTATGTCAACTTCAATGGATTTTTGTGAAAAAAAGAATTTTTCATGGCTATTGCTGTAAAATATATTTTCATCATATTTCGTCATGACTCCTCTTTTCTACATTCAAAAAGTTATAAATCCTAGATTACTGTAAATCCTATTTCTTCAAGTTTAGCGCACTTCAAAAATGACCTTCGGAACAAAAGGGTAAAGCAACGAATTTGTGGTTTTTCAAACCTCATGGGAAAAAATATCCAGGAAAACTTCATCCATTTCATCACTAAATTTGTACCATTGCCATTTTGTCTTTATCCATCTGGTATGTATCTATAGTTGACATTTGGGTTGTAAAATACGATTATTTATACTCATTGATCACAATATATTCAAAGTTAGTAAATGTGAAGAATATCATCCAATCGTCTATCTTACAAAATGTCACGTGATATCGTTCAACGATATGAGAGGCTAATTCTTGCTACCTGTTGTTGGAGTACTTAGAAATATAATGGCTGACAACGTTAAAGCGAAAGGTTTGTTTACATTTATTAACTTACTAAATTTCATTAGTTCCTACGCTATTTTTTGACATTCATTACTCCAGGATACAATCTTTCGTTGCTTCATCTGCAGGTCGTGTTGTAAGTTGTAAAGTATTGGAAACATCTTTATATTGATGTAAAGGACCAGTTGTCATTTACCTAGCGACATTTGAGTTGTCATATTACTAAAATCCTTAAATCAAACCACTTTTTTTGTTGTGTATTTACTTCTATCGTACGAAGCAAAGTTCTTGCTCAGGTATTGTACTGAAATTTCTTTTGACTCGTTTTGTGTACGAATTGAGGAGAGTATTTTTGTATTACCAACAAAGTAAGAATGCTTTGGATTCAAAATTCCAGTTGCTGAGTTATAGATACTTCAGTTTATAACAAAGTTGATGTATTATTACTGAGGTATAAATAAACGTCAATATAAATTTCATCATTATCTTTATATTGTATAATCTTTTAATAAGGTATTGAATACAATATCCAATACACGTTTAAGTACAAAGATATTATTTATATGTAGGACGTGTTTTCTACATGTATTGGATTTTTTATTTCTAACGACATTTGATTATATTTTTCTTGAAGTTTCGATTTTGTATATTATTATAGTTTTACTTTCATGCTCATTATGAGTGCTTTTGGTAAAAAAATGTTGTTTTCTAACAAAATATCAACGAAAGTCTGTTTTTGGCTATATTTTGAATTTTTGCATTTGAAATACAGGAAATGGGTACTTGTAAATACTTACGTTTCATGCATGTGGAGTCTACGATGTTTGCCTTCTTCAATACACCTGAGCACTTTTAATAATGTTTTTGTTTTTTTGTACAATAAATATATCACTTTAAAGAACGGATGAGCTTTGAAATTGAGCTGTTGCGTTAAAAGTACAAACTTGGTAGTAAATACCTTAAAAGACAAGCTGTATTGAAACTAAGTCATCAATATAGACAATAAAAACAATTTAATTATGATATTCACATTACCTTACTGATTAAACATACTTAGTTATTGAATAACATTTAAATGCTGAAAGGTGCTAAAACAGTTAAATATCTTAAGCAATACTTTTACAGACTTCCATGACTATTATTGTGTTGTGCTGGTATGAAATTTACTGAGCGACAATAGGTCAAACTTTCGTGTTTTTTTGCTTTTCTTAAGACTGTGCGTCATTAACTAAAGAAAAAGCTGTACCTAACCTGATGAAAGAGTCGATTGAGAGAGAAGCTGATAAAATTTAACTCAAGAATAAAAATGTTGTGACCCAAAAGATGAGGTGATGAAATATTTGCGAAGTTCCAATAATTCTGTGGAGAAATTGCAGAAATCTGTAAGTGTCTTAAAAAAATTTGATATAAATTCCCTTGCATTGTAAATGGAAAGCCAGCTCTGTGTCAATGAAGCATAATTACATCACATATTTCTCTGAAGAGACATTTGGTTTTGTTATAAGGAGAGCCAACCCTATGATATTTTGAAGAGAGAAGTTTTGTATTGATATTTATTGGTGTAAATTTTAAATTTTAACATATTACAACATGCTAAAATGTGTTATCATGATCTATTTAAAAGTAATACATTTTATTTCAACGTGTGTTGCATTTCTGTCTTATTAAGGAATACTCAACCAGTTCAACAAGAGGTACCCTTGAAGAACAAATGGCCAAAATGAAGAAGATCATGTGGTCACCACTCAGTCGACGTAAACATGATGGTAGACTTTGTTTCTCACAAATTTATTGTTTCTTTTTGCATCATTATGTGTTGCTATTACTTTGCCTCTTTTTTCCATTTAATCTTATGACGTTTGTTCAAAGGATTACTTATTTGTTGTAAAGTTCATATGACATCAAGGCTTTCAATAGGAATATTAATTTGGCATCTATTTGACATTGGGGCATTGTTATTGATGATGACCAAATTTGTTGTAGATAAAAGCAACAAAAAATTTAACTTAAGGCCAGTTGTGTATTATTTTTATAACATTCCTACATTGTTTGGGAAGATTAGGGTTTCCTGTCTCCTTTCCCTTTGAGAACTGAGAACAATGTGTAAACGCTTTTAAAATAGTACAGTTTGAAGAAGGTCAAAAGGAAATATGAGTACCAAGATGAGCATGTGTGTGAGATATTTACTTGCAATGAAGCATGCATGCAAACATGAAATCGTTTAAGCAATCAGTCTCTTTGCAAAGATACCATAAACAAATGTATGATTCATTAAATTTCATAAACTTAAACATTAGCAGAATAAACCAATACATAAACTTTCAAACAAACTTTGAAACATTAGCAGGATAAAGCTAACTAGCTGCAATTATTATGTTTTTACTAGGAACTACCAACCCAAACATTACAAAGACGTTTGGTGTGCCTCTTGATGAGTTAATTCAAAGAAATTATGATGATGCTGAGATACCTTATGTTCTTGAGCGAATAACAGAGTACATCACATGCTATGGTGAGAAATATGAAAGCTACGTAATGTTGTGCTCTTTTTGAGATAATTATTATCCATCAAACAAAGCTGTGAAGTTATCATTTTCAATATTTGTGACTGCATAAAATAAAATACTTTATGGTGGTCACCTTTCTCCGCTGTGTCCTGCTCGGGTAGCGGGAAAATAAAATACTTTATAGGAATGTAAAATTAAGATGAAAAAGCTTAATTTTAAGTCTTCTCTCATATTGGAGACCATAGGTTGGGGACACAGAAAAATATGCCCCCTTGACCTCCTTCTTGTCCCCTTCCCTTCATAACCCCTTTCCTTCTCAGTCCCTCCCCTTCTTATCCCCTCTCCTTCTTAACCCTCCCCTTCTTGACCCTCTGCTTCTCAGCACCTTTTCAGTTTCATCCTAATGTTGTGGAATATATTTCCATCTTCCTCCACCTCAATATTAGTTTATGACGCACTAAAATAAAGCAGTATGTCAACATTTCAGTATATTGTCATTGTTATCATTGTTATTTTCAAAGGTATGAAACAAGAGGGAATCTTTCGTGTCAATGGAAATTCAAAAATCATGGAAAAATTGAAAGCTGAATTTGATAAATGTATACTGATAACAAAAAATCATCATTGTAAATTCTTATTGTTTTAATGTAAGTAGTTTTCTTGATAATTGTTTAGCTGGTGATGCAGACTTGGAAAATACTGGTGATGTTATGTCTGTTGCTGGTTTAATGAAAATGTTCTTGGTTTGTATTTATAGCTTGTGTAGTACAAGAAATTTGAATTAATGATTATACTTACTGTATGGTTATTATTTTCTTTATATTCAGAGAGAATTACCACAACCTTTGATTCCTAAACATTTCAAGAAAGCATTTCTGCAAGTTCATAAAGGTACATAAAAAATAAGTAGCATTTATGCATTCAATATTTTCCTGTGTCTTAATTCTTTATCATCATAAAAATAGGCTACTTTAATTTCCTATGACAGTATGACACACAAAAAAACATTTTTTCCACATTTTGATGATGTTAAGAAAGCAATGAAGAAACTTTTCATACTTTTTGTAAAATTTAGAATGTATGAGGTGATGGAATGTGTTCAAAAATCTTAATAATAATGTTTTTTATTTAATATAGAATTTTATTCAGAGAAGGATGTATGCTGCAGTCGAATGAGGTTTGTTATTTTATCTTTAAAATAGTATTTATGAATATTTTAATACCTTCACATTTTTATTTCCAAATGCTCATGTCAGTGATCAATTATCGTCCTCATTTTTCTGTAGAAACCTTGTTTCTGAACTGCCCAATTCTCGTCGAAAATTGTTAAAATTTCTATGTCGTTTTCTTGTTCTTGTGTCCCTTTATGAAGGTGAGGAATTCACCATAAAGATTACATCTTAATTGACTATACATAACAAATCATTACGACATTTTCTCTTCCTAGTAAGCCTTAAATTCTCTTATTCCCAAATGATTCTTTCCTTTTTGGTAATAAAACGTGTATGACGCACAAACATCATTCATTATGTCATTTTGAGCATTATAATTTGTTTTCAGATACGAACAAAATGAACGCAAAAGCTCTGTCTATCGTATTTTCACCCAACATGTTTCGTTGTGTCGATGGACTGGAAGGATTTCGCGAACAGGCCGTTACAAATTGCATAGTTCAAATGTTTATTGATGAATATGACCTTATATTTAAGGTAATGATATTGGTGTTCCCGGATTTATCACAATTATACGTATGTACTCGTGACATTGCAATGTTACATTACACTCTGAGTGAGAAATAACTATTGAAGTGTGTAAACCATTTTTTTTACACTTTTTACTTTTTTTTTTCAGAACGACGATGAAAAATCTCCATCAGTGAGGAATTTGATTCAAGTCGAAGAAGCGGAGTAAGTGTATTACCTAGTTTGGTTTTGAACTTCTTAACTTTTCCAAATTTATTCACTTATTTATTATTTATTGGCAGCGAAAACAGTTCTATGAAAAGTCAAACCTTGCCGATTGCTATTCAGAGACATAAAAGTTTAAAAGAAAAGGAGGCAAGCATTTTTTTCATTGACCAAATCGCAACGTGGTTGAAGAATGAACGAAGAATGAACTCTTTTTATTACTTACCTAAAATATAAACTAAGATAAAGTGTGTCAACGTAGGTAGTGATGAATGAACAACAGTGAAAGAGAACAGTCTTTACACTATCTAAAATATAAACTAAGATAACGTGTGTCAGTGTAGGTAGTGATGAATGAACAACAGAGAAAAGAACAGTCTTTACACTACCTAAAATATGAACTAAGATAACGTGTGTCAATTTAGGTAGTGATGAATGAACAACAGAGAACAAGAACAGTCTTTACACTATCTAAAATATAAACTAAGATAACGTGTGTCAGTGTAGGTAGTGATGAATGAACAACAGAGAACAAGAACAATCTTTATACTACCTAAAATATAAACTAAGATAACGTGTGTCAATGTAGGTAGTGATGAATGAACAACAGAGAACAAGAACAGTCTTTACACTATCTAAAATATAAACTAAGATAACGTGTGTCAGTGTAGGTAGTGATGAATGAACAACAGAGAACAAGAAATCTTTACACTACCTAAAATATAAACTAAGATAACGTGTGTCAGTGTAGGTAGTGATGAATGAACAACAGAGAACAAGAACAATCTTTATACTACCTAAAATATAAACTAAGATAACGTGTGTCAGTGTAGGTAGTGATGAATGAACAACAGAGAAAGAGAAGAACACTCTTTACAATGCCTAATGATATAATCTTTTGATGACGTGTGTTTAAGTGGTAGTAAGGAGGAGGATGTATTTTAATGACAATCTGTGATATGAAGGTCACGGATAGTATCATAACAAGTGATCTTACGTACTTTTCAGCCTGTATCATTGGAACCTTCAGAAACCATACCTCATTATGCTGAATATCGTTTTGATGATGATAATCATATTGCGCTCGTTTCTCCTCGTTCACAATATGACGATTCTCATATTTATGCTTCTGTTAACAAATCTCAAAAAGAATCAATCCTTTCTTGTTCAATGTAAGTTCATATACTCGTAGGTAATAAGTAATTGATAATGATTAATATTTTTTCTTCATTTATCAATGGAAGGAATTTACGTTCATTTTTTTTAGATTAGATCCTTCATTGGACGAAGTCGAACCTTACATACGCTCAAATTCACCAAGTTGGCATAAACCTGACAAGTGAGTTTCGTAATTTTACAAATATGTACGGGACACTTCAATTTCATGTCCATTATACTTTATGTGCTTCATTTTTTATGGGTTTTTTTTATCAGTGAATTATTCTCGGCGAAGTTGGACTCTTTACCATCTTCAAGAAAAGTGTAAGCACTAGAATTATGTAGAAATTAATGGCATTATGCAAGTGTAATATAATGTACATGTATGTTCACACGAATATCCCATTCTATCCTTGTTTTTTACTTGGTATATTTAAATGAAGTATGTTATGGTGATTGTTATTGGGATTATTATCTAGATATATGGAAAGAACCATACAGGAAAGCATTAACGAACATTTGTTTGGCAATAATTTAACTTCAACAAGTGAGGTACGTTATTCTCAAATATTATTAATGCAAGTAGCGCAGAACTGTCTTTCTGCTAATGTTTATATTAAAATAACAATACATAACCGTTTTTTAAAATTTATTGTTAATGTCGATTATTGTCTATTATTTATTTTTAGGAATCAGATAAATGGGACTCTCCTTGTGAGGAAGGTATTTCATAAAAAATAAACCAGATAAAAAAATTTAATATAAACATGCGTAAATAAGCATGTTTACATATCCTATTTTTTTTGTAAATCATCAATAGTTCTGCAATTTTATACCTATTCATTTTGACTGTGTTTCATATACAGCTCCTCGTGTACCGATTAAAATACCAGAATTGCTCTCCCTTGATGATGTCATCACAAAGCCTCAGAAACGAAAGAAAAGACGAGGTTCTAAATCTTCCCAAGAGAGCGCGAAAACTTCAATAGAAGGTGTATATCGTTGACACATTTACTATTGAAATATTTCCACCAATGATTTTGAAATCTACCATTTTATAGATTCAAAACAAGAAACTTTAAACGTTAACAAACAAAAGTCATATCAAGAAAATGAAGTTCGTATTTCAAGATCCCCAAAACAACGTTCAAAGATATACGACATCAAGAATCGTGAACCTTTAACGATTAAAGTTGTAGGTTTTTAATGAATTATAACTTTTCTAACTCAGAATATAATTCAAAAACGTCGCATAGGCAAAAATCAAAAATAAATTACTCCAAGAGGAATTCTTGATTTTATTCATCATCTTTATTACCATTGTAAATAAGTTTTCTTGAACTATTTTAGGCTGCTGCTGCTGCTGCTACAGACGAGGAGCGAATTTTAAAGCAAGAAAATATGGATCTTGCTTTTTTGGGATCGCCTTTAGTGTTGTTCTGTGTAAGTTTTAACAAAAAACATCGCATGGTAAAATGTGGGATCGCCTTTAGTGTTGTTCTGTGTAAGTTTTAACAAAAAACATCGCATGGTAAAATGTGTTTCATTATCAATTAATTTTCGTTCAGTTGACAAGAGACAGAGCACCCCCACCCCAAAAAAGGAGACCACCATCTCTAATCAAGAGGTACGGAATATAGTAGAAACTCGTCTTGACGTTTGTTTTGTATTCTTATTGTTGTTGCCAATTATGTATATATATATATATATGTTAAATATTGTTCTTGAACATCGTATTGTTGCTTGCAATATAATATATACTTATGTATTTATAAATATAAATTAAACTTTACATAAACAGAAAAATCAAGAGGATCGATTTCAAACAATCTGATCCAGAGATAAAAACAGAATTGAAGGTGATGAATTTTTTGTTCTTTATTTTATCCTTCATGCATCATGGCATAAAATGTGTTTTATTTTTTCAGCAATTACCACGCAAGCCTCCTAGTCCACCTCCAAGACCAAATTTATCTCCAAGCAACTCTTTGTCACTAGCTATTGTCTCTAAACTGGAGGTTAGAAATTTTTACTTTCTATCTGTGTTTAGTCAAAGGGTTATTAAGGCCTCCAGCTCTGTAAAATTTTAGTGTATACTCAATCAAGTGTACTTAATTAATGATATTTCTGTTTTATCAACAACCAAATACAGCTGATTGTATTTATACCCATTTAGCGAAGAAAGGCAAACCGACCTGCTGCTGAAGTTGCCAATAAATCATTGGTTGAAAGAGATTCCGAGGTATCTTTCCGTGAAGTAACCACTTTATTTTTAGTACTTAGAATATAACTAACTGTTGCGATGATTACTTTTTTATTACGTAGCTTGACAGCGAAGGCAGTAGTATTCCGACTGACTCACCCCCCGGGGAAGGACTTCATATAAGGCTGAATAATGATGTACGTATATATGATATTTTCTATATTTCATTTTGGGTATATTGCGTCCAATATTTAATCCTTAGAACAGACTGGTTATCAATAATTTTTGCAAATTTTATTATAGGAACATGACCCAGTTGTTCCACCGCTTGACCTGTACAAGATTGGTCAAGGAGTGGAAGGTGCGTAAACGATCATTTTTATCATCTCGAAGTAAATCAAAACTGTATTGTTATTGAAGTAAATCAAAACTGTACGTTGCACGTATGTTTTTATAAAAATCTTCAATGATCGTGTTATTAATAATAAGTTTTTTATACAGATGATCCGATGATATCACCACGAGAAAGATATGACAGGTAGTTATAACCTTCAGTAGACTAAATATTGTTCTTTAAAATATTTTTTATATCGTTATTCTTTACAATTGTCCTTAGTGGAGCATTGCTTTTTGATGATGCAATGATTTCTCCTCGATCAAGAAGAGCTACTTTAGACATTCGAGGGTAACATTGCTATCTTATTTTACTTAAAGTTTGTTTTATGGTACTGTTTACATGAATGAAGTACACCACGGCACAAAGTTTTTAATGATGATGTTGCATGATAATGTTGAATTTGTGTGGTTCGACATGACGTCATTATTAGATTTTCTTTGATTATATTGAACTATTTATCTTCGCAGATATTTTCCAGAAAATCATTCATCTCATCTTGATAAACAAGAGAACCTTTACGCGGACAAAACGTAAGTAATCATTATCGTTTTATGACAATAATTTCAATCAATTATAGAAATTTTTCTAATTTCTTTTTTGGATAAAGTACTTCATCAAAGGGGGACTCATCTATGAAAGAACTTGGCAAACGTTTAAAATGTAAGTTGTTTATCCTTAACAAGCAAGATTTGAAAAGACACGGTTTAATTTGTGACATATTGTACTTTAGCATTAAAGAAAAAAATCAAAGATTTTGAAGAGAATTTTGAGAAAGAAAATGGCTACAAGGTTTGTTATGAAATCTGTATCTATCTGTCTGTTAGTCTCTCTGTCCTTCTGTTGATGTGTAGTTCTAACCTCTTTAAAATGCTGATTTGCTTTTTTTTCTATTCAAGTTGAATTTTACCATACGTTGTTTCTGGAATTTTACCATACGTTGTTTCTGGAATTTTACCATACGTTGTTTTTGGAATTTTACCATACGTTGTTTTTGGAATTTTACCATACGTTGTTTCTGGAATTTTACCATACATTGTTTTTGGAATTTTACCATACGTTGTTTTTGGAATTTTACCATACGTTGTTTTTGGAATTTTACCATACGTTGTTTCTGGAATTTCAGCCAACTCAAGCTCAAGACAAAGTGCCCATTAAAAAGTACTTGACTGAATTATATCGAACGCAGAAGTTGATTCAAGGTATAATGGCTAAAATATATTGGAGTTTCTGCAGCATATTTAGTTGCTCTTAACGTGCAAAGCTTCTAAATGGAAATTAAATCTTGTAAAACCTCAGTTTGTTTTAAGTCTGATTTGTACATTAGACCAAAGCTATCGTTCTTTTGCTGTTTTTAGAAATGAAAGAAAAACGAGGCCAAGGTTTGAATCCTCTCTTTCGTTTTACTGTCTATTTTCACGTTGTATTTATTCCTCATACCATATTATTTACTTTTAGAAAAAACGTCTGTTGATGTTACCCTGGAAAATTCATCAATGGTCCAAGGTATTTTTAACTTGTTTTATATATAGTTGACCTCTTTATACAAATGGAATTATTATAAATATATTTATTTAACTACTGTTTGCTCTTTCAATATAAAAATTTTATAGTCTAACGTACTTTTAGATCAGTTGAATGATGAGTAAAGTTTCTCTTATAGTCTTGGGTGATGAACCACTTGAGTCCTTATTGACAACACTTCCAGTCACAGTGGAACAATCTTTAGACAAAGCTCTAAAGAAATTGAAAGATAAAAGGGTTATGAACGGTCGTCCTGAAAATATAAATGTAATTATTTTTCTATTTTTCACATGTTTACGTGCACGCAGCACCAATTGAACCATTTTATTTATTGTCGATTTATTTATAGGAAATGAATCGTGATCAGCTACAGGATGAGAAGTTAGTTGTACAAAAAGCTTTATTACAACATGAAAATTCATTTGGTCGACCTGTAAGTGTAAAATAACTTGAAGAAAGAATTGTATTTCTTTCTTAACTTTTACATGTTGACCATTGATGGAATTTGTCAATTTGATAAATTGTTCGTATGCAAAGGTTTGGTAGGGGGGGGGAGGGGAATTTTTGTTGTGATAAATGTCAAGGGTCCTATTACTTTCATATATCTACTATTTGATTATTTTGTTATTTAATGCGAGCAGCATTGAAAGCATTTAGAGAATGATGTTATTCTCAAGTTAATAGAACACATGAAGTCTTATAAAGTTAGTTATGACGGAACTCAATGCTTCTTCTGTCTGTTTTAGAAAACTAAACGCGACAAAGATATAATGAAACCGTTATATGATCGCTACAGGTCTATCAAAAGAAAAATAGCTAATCATAATTTGGTATGTTATATCACCGATGTTGTATCACTTTAATGATAACTTCATTTTTGTTCAAATCATTTATATAATTGCAGAAGGAACTTTCAGAATCAATAAGCAACCAAACGACGATTGAAGCCGACAAAAGGTATAAATGTTTTATATGACATTATTAATATTCTAAAATTGTATTTTCAATATTCTAAACTCTTAACAAGTTTTGAAAAAAACCTTGTATTGTATAACTTTTTTAAAAATTGCCTGTAGCAAGAAAATGTCTCCGGAAAGACCAAGTAATGCCGAGGCAGTATATGTTTATGAAGGTATATTTCAACATATGTTTAACATCTCTTTTTTAAATCATGACTGAAGTTTTCTTTTTAATAATTGTTGTAACCAGCGTTTTTAAGACAGCAAAACATTTTATTTTTGTGTGTGTGACGTTGCCAACGATTAAAATTAATATTGCACAAAATTTGGCTTCCATCAAATATATCCTTCATTTATCTATTGGAGTGTACTTTCCATTTTAGATGATACCGTAGGTAGTAATAGTTCAGATTCCATGTCAAGATTAGTCATGTCATTGCCAGCAAGGACTAGCAAGGTTTGTAAATTTTCTGTCATTACGAGATATATAAACATTTAATTTTGTTCAAATCAAGACTCAATTTAAAATTGTACGTTTTAAATAGGATTTTCTCGACATCGACAAAGATGAATCACCTATCTCCCCCCTGACTGTATGTGTTGATGAATGTGAAAATAGTGGGCTAGAAACTGTTTTATCAGAGGGGGTAGAGGAAGATTGTAATGATAATAGTGAACAAGTTATCACTTCGAAAGATCCTTATGCTATCTTACATCAAGCTTCAATGTAAGTGATTTATTTTTATATCGTAGAAATAGCAAAAAATATTGTTCTCTGTTGTTCTTTCACCACTCTTTACATTGACTTGAAAAATTGTAGTTTGCAACATAATACTTGTGCGAAACTCTTAATGTTTTTATACTGCTTCAACTAATTTTGCATTATTTCACTCAAAGTGTAGAACTATTGGAACAGCAGGCTTCGGCCTTAAAACGTAAAAAAAGACTTCGAAAAAAACTCAAAACATTTGAAGATAGCTTCAGAAAGAAAACAGGCAGGTTTGTCGTTAGTTTTCGAGTAGAATCTGGATTGAAATCATGTGAAAATAATGTTGTCTCATTGTTAAGATTTTTACTGCTTTGATTGTTTAGAAAAGTCGAGAAAGATGATAGAGGTAAACATGAAGAAGCATACGAGGAATACAAGGTTAGATTGACTAAATTGTTATGTTTTTTATTACAAATATCTCTTAAAGCTATTCATTCTTTATGAAAATGAAAATTTACTTTAACTGAATTATTTTGTCTTGTTTGAAATATTTTGTCATAAAATAGATCTATGTTTAATATCTTGAATGAACAATTTCGGAATAATTGAGCTATTCAATTTATTGAAATATTTCATTTAGTTGTCATTTCATTTGTTGTTGCTGCTCGTGAATTAGCAAGACATATTCGTATTTTCAGTTTTAATAGTAAAGTGTTGTTTATATTTTTCAAGAAAATCAAAGCACGTTTGAGGTTGTTAGATGCACTGATAACGAAGCATCAAGGAAACAATACAATATAGTTATATATAGTCAAGGATGAAAGGTTGGAATGTTTTTTATAGCACGCAAGAATTAGAGAGTATGATCATTTGTAATGTAAATAGAGATAATCAACACGCATTCATTCATTTGTTTGATTGTCCGTTTTAATTTATTGATTGTTATGTCAAAAGAAATTATATTATTGAACAGCTCTGTTAAAGTATTCTACAGCACACTGTAAATGAAGTTTGTTATTTTGACTTGAATCGTTCAACTATCGAACGTAACATTATGTTCGTCGATTTTTCGACTTTCCATTTTCGTGGTCAGCTCAAAATTATGCTTCTGTTCAAAACTTTATAACCTGTATAGAAAAAAAGGGAAGGATAATTATCTATAAATTTTTCTTGCTGTCTCGACGACGAGTAATGAAAGTTTCATCATGTTTTTGCCAACCACACAAGGACACTAACATCACGAGTTTTAAAATGACGAATTATTGAAATAATTATTGAAATTGACGAATAAAAGCTCCCATGCAAGAACAACTTAGAGATAACGACTGATAAAATGACAACTTATATGTATTGAAGACTTTTAAATAATCTTTCTACTATGAAAACATAGACAAAAATGTAGAAATGAAGGTAGACCTAAAGGCTAACACGATAATGTACAATGTTGCTCAACTGTGTGGAGTAAAAATTCTCGGAAGATGATTCACAAAGTGTTGAAATGAAAAGTTTTTTGTAGCGTTTCCCACCTATACTGACTAATAAAAGTGACACATTTGTTTTGGCTTTTATGTTACATTCCAAATGTGATAGAAATAGAAGATAAAATTCACTTGTGCTGATTCTGATGAGTAAATTTGCATATTATCCGTCTAATGCTTGAGTGTCGTATGGAGCTCGGGCAAAGCCGTGTCATGCCGTGATACTTGAAGTATTTTGTAAAAAAATATGGTTGAATTGGGACGATGGTATGTTGAAATAGATGGTAAAAATTTGCAGAAATATAAAGATTATAAAGCAAAAGAATTCGATGCCAGTCAAAGTGATATTAACAAATCGTATACTAGATGCGATTGAAGCAGTATTTCAACTAGATGGAGTTTCAAACGAGTTTAAAAACCAACTTCAAGGATGGAGACAAATACAGGGAAACTTGAAAACAGACGAGAAAGAAAGCAATGATACTTTGTCCATCCCATTTTCAATTGTCAAACAGCTTTATGAAACACTAAAAAATGGTGAATTTATTTTATGTCTATAACACATGGATAAGTGTTCAGGCTTTCTCTGAACTTTTTTTTGCATTGTAGCTGGAAAAAAGTTTTATTTACACAAATTATTAGAGGAAAGCGGTTTATATTACGAAAGAAATTCTCCACCAGAAAAGGTAATATTATTGATACAATGTACTTTAAACATTTTTTCATTTGAGCAGAGATAAAAACTTCAAAATAAATGTGAGAAAACTAATTATAAGTTCAAACTTTGGCTCAATGATAGATAGCCATCTCTGATGTACATTATTTAATGTGTTCTTGTTGTTAGAGTCCAGAATTGATAAAAAGACTACAGGAACTTCAAGCTGAACAAAATAATCTTCGATACAAAGCAATGGTGAAAAATGTTGATAAAGAGGTTTGTGACTCTGTAAAAAAGTCCTTTTGCATAAAATGATTTACATGGAGACATTAACAAAGATAAATTTTTAGTTAAGTTATAGAGATAAGGAGACCCTTGGATTTGAAGGTAAAATTTCAACTTTTAATTACTTAGTTCTCAAAGTTGTAACATGAATGAATAAAAAACATTTTTTTCTAACAGTCCGCTCAACAAGTAGGCAATTGTCAAGTGTGATGAATTTTGTGTTGTCTGTTGGTGGAACATTTACTTTTGGCTTCATGTGCTCTCAATATGCATTTACAACCATTGGCTTGGTAGGAGCTACAATTTGGATATTTTATAATATTTTTATTACAATAAATTATGAAAAATGTTTGTAGATGTAGATTGTCTCAAGTTTAGGAGAGTCCCGAGAATTAAGAACTGTTGGTTTTGGTGTTGACTTATGTTTAGACAACCTTAGCAACGGTCATTTTCATTACTTCACTTTGAAGATAAAAAACTACTGCTTAAGATGTGGAAACATCAGTCAACATCAACAACAACAGTCTTTCTCACAACTTCACTAGCATGGACAATCTATATCTATATGCTTGTTATTATTTACTGTCAGGAGAATCACATTTCAGGCATTTTCACATAGATTGGATGTAATTTTTTAACATATACTCACTGCATTACTGATAAAAGACTTCTTTTTTTTGTCTAGAGAATAATGTTTGGTATTATATTGGCAAGTGTTGTTGCGCTTGCAGAACTGTATTTCATGGCAAAAGGGTCAGAATTTTAGTTTTATTGATCTATAACATTTTTCATCTAAATTATTATCATGTTCACATCAATTCAATAATGTGAATCATTGAGTAAAATCTATGTCTTTTATACACTAAAAAGCACAAATATTTTGTGTTGTTTTTCATTTTTAATTTAGTGCTCTGAAATGTATTTGCACACAAAATTACATACTGAGTTGATTGACCATTTGTATGAAAATAAAGATGTAATTTAGAGTAAAACATTTAGGAATAGCTACAACGTACTATGAAGTTAAATCAATTTACTTGCAGACAAGTTGGAATATAAAGGTATATTTTGATCAGCTTACAACCAAATATAGTCGAATAGTTCGTCCATTTATGCTACAGCTGCACTTTAAATATATTTTAGTTAAGAATACAAAAAAATTCAAGCACAAAAGTTTAAACGAAAAAATTACGTACATCAAACAAGCTTACAATATTACATCCTGAAGTTGATAAGGATTTTTTCCCAAAATAAATGTAGCATAATTCTTTTCATATATTTAATGAATAAGGATTAATTTAATTATGTTATTATGACTATGAATGTGTTCATGAAGTTTGAGACCAACAATCTTTCTCCGTTAGTATAAAGGTAACGCGCGCTTTTTTTTGCTTTCTGATAGTTAGAAACGTTTTTTGCAAATTTGTGAGTATTTGTTGAAACTTCTTTAATTTACAAATTTCAACTATTCAACTACAACTTGTTTTAAGTTAAACATTCTATTTTTATACTTAATGTTTACATATATCAGAGATAAAATATTACGAACAGAAGTGTGGCGGTCTCAATAAAGACATTCTAAAATGAAATTAAGCAAACACCGACACAACACGAAGAAATTATAGAATTTATAACACGCATAACGGCATGAGGCAATTGTAAATTACAAAGGAAACCAACCACTGTACAAAAAAATATAGCCGACTGCATTGCTACTTGATGTATGTATTGTTGAAAACAGCAGGTTCACCTGACTGTCGCGATGTTTGATCTCAAAAGATGATGAAGATAAAGAAACATTTCATTATTATCAGATCATCAGACGTTTATTCACATTCAGACGAAAATATATCTGTCAACGTAAAGTACGCTAAGGTAACAAGAAATTACATTATTATATTTATAACATTGATGTGGATTGGGCACAACTGGACATACATTAAAACACACTCTGCAGTCCTCTCATGTTAATAGCATTAATAAGCACAAGCATCTTTATTGAGTTCTTACATATTAAATCTAAACTTGCATAAGATTTGAAGCGCTTTGTCGTTAGAAGTTCACCGTTACAGGTTCTTCATTAATCGTTATGCACCAATGTATATATAAATTAATTACTATTTCTCTGTTGTGCTGGTCAAAGTCTGCGTTCATAGAAAGTTATATAATACCACGTCGATACTTGTATGTTGATAGAGAAAGAACTGAAGGAAGAACTTCAACGTTCTTATAGTCATTCACAGATTGATTTTTACAGTAATTTACAATAATCGATCGACAGCCTTAATTTTAATTCTTACTAGTAAACTAAATTATTAACACTATCAACATTAATGATACAAAGCTTTTTAATATATTAGCTAATTTCATCATATTTTTTTAAAATTTTATCTTGCAACTCCACGAGTTTAGTATACCAAAAAATCTTCATCAACGTTGTAGAAATAAAGTAAATGATTGAACCCAATCGTTTGTAATGACCATAATTTCTTATTCACACTAATATTTTATCATCGTAACTACAAACAACTTTAGTCACACTTTAATAATGAAATAATGTTGATAAAATGACACTCTATAATGGGAAAAAAGTAATGATATGTACAGTCTCTTAATCTATGTTGTAATTTAGTTGCAAAAAATAGTTTTATTGAATACGACAATTCTGACAAACTCTGGAACATTGCAGTTACACTTAAGAAGACAAATTTACTTCTAGCTTAAGCGTTGTGATAAATTTTGACCAAATTTTGACCTTTTGAACTGCAATAATCATCTCTGATTGTGGGTTTTCATGCAGGATGGACGATTTAATTGTAATGTATTATGTTGAAATTACAACTGTTAATTTGGTCTCTCTATCCAAGAACAGCTTTTCCAAGTGCAGCTTTTCCATTTAACCTTGTATCGAACAATTTACGAACACAGTAACAAATTTCATTTATAATGCACTTACGTCAACAATCGACACATTCTTGTTGTTGTGTTTTTAGGTTAACGGAAGCGGCAACGAGGCTTGATGTTAAAACAACAAATCCTTAGATTATGAAGCAGAGAATATATTTATAACAGTTTTGAAGGCCTTCGCATTTTGACATCACTGAATAAGGTATTAAATTGTTTCTTTTGAAACTAAAATAACTCATAGTAATTGACATCTCATTAGCATATCGTGCGCTCCTTAAATTGGCTACGAAAGTGTAGAGGTAGCAGATAAGATAAAGTGTGTTGTTTTATTGATTATATTTCAATGAACGTTAAGCTAGTGTTTTATCCTCGACTTTTTAGTGATACTGTTTGATGATATTTTATATCTATAATGTCAGACAATCATTTTTATATAACAATGAATGTTTAATCGTGTGTTGAAGAAAATATATAAACATTTATATAATTAATTATTTACATTTTACGTTTATTTTTCAATTTCATAAAATGTAGTATTTTTTGGTTTGTTTTAAACGTTTTACTTTAACAATTTCATGTTGCAAACAGATATTTTTTATGATGACGCTGACATGCACCAGCTGTACGTATATAAACATAATAAATGACCTTTTATCATTTGTAAATGAACTTTTACTTCTGGCTATGAGATAGAACAAAATGATCGAAAAACAAAGCTGCATTTAATTAGAAGCAATGCATGTCATCACTTTGAAAAGCGTCCATGAACATTATTTTAGCTGGTTTTAACTCAAAACAGCTGTTAAGATAATTTACTTTGGTGGAAAAATAAGTTTGTGATGGTTTCAATTTGTGGTTTCAATTTGCTTCCTCTACAAAATTACATTTTCAATATGAGAAATTAACACAATAAAAAGACTACGCTGATTAAATTAACTATAGTTATATATGTATATCTATGTAGTACACACCTAGCTTTCGTACCGAAAAAAAAACAATATCTATACCTAGTTTGTGGTGTGATATTTAATTTAGTGAATAGATGTGTCTAGTGTCTAGTACATCTTGCTTCATTTAAGAAGGATAAAAGACAGGAAGATAATAACGATTCATATTTCCTTAAGAAAACATTCGCCATTTTAACTCTCCTGTGGGTATTTCAGAATTTTATTATTTTTGTTTTTTGTTCTTGAAGTGATCAGTGACAAAAAAATCAATAAAATTACCCCTATGGATTTTTTGAAAGAACAGTTTGAAAATAATAATTTAAGCCCTCCCGGAACGAAGCGAAGTTAGTTTACTTAAGTGTAGCGTTCTTTTCCCATTAAATGACTATAAAAATAATCCTGGTCGATGACTAGTAATATCATTTATAAGCTTAGCTATAGATGGATCGGTGGACATCATTGATGGAATGTAAATTGCTTTAAGAGACAAAACAGGCATAAGACTGCTGTATCTCAGCACCTCCTTTTAATCATGCAATGAATCTACATTTTAAAAATATGTATTCCTAATTTTGTGTTAGTTAAAAATTGTTTTATGCCACGAACTATTATATCAAAGATCTAGCTATGTATGTCGACCAAAAAATGTCTATATTTCGGGCAAAAATAAATGACAACTTGGCTTTGTCGTATACGTATGCAGAGATAAGATAAATTTATTGCTGGCAGAGTTTCATATAGAAAATTCATTTACTACAAAACTCATTAAGAACAAGATAAATTTATTGTTGACAGAGTTTCTTATAAGAAATTCATTTCTTACTTAAATTATTGTGAGATAAAGTCGGCAAAGGAAGCCGAACAATGCTTCTAATGCTGTAAATAATGATGTGCATTATCAAAAATAAACAAAGTTCTTAACTTTGGGAAAAAATTAAGCCTTATACAAAGCATGAAATAAGTAAACACGTATTTTGTTGTCTTATAATCAACTGTTTTTAAATCTTGGAAGAATTGGCCACAATACGAACAATTTATATGACAGATATCAAACTACTCCTAAATTTCAAAAATTTACTTCAAATATCACTGAAGTTTTCAAAGTTTATCGAAGGATGATTTATTGAGATTGACATGACCTCATATATGGTGAGATACTAGAAATTTTCTCATAGTTGTGTTCTTTATCTCTTAATGATGTAGTAGAAGTTAAAGAAAAAACCGAAAGCATTTATGCAATGATAGCACTACACCAAAACGTGAATTATATCTCTTTTCTGTAGACAAAATGGTTTGTGTTTTTACTTTGTAAAAGTTCTTTTGTGAAATAACCGCGAAAATGTTCAATATACTATATGTTTTAGTACTACGTGTTTGTTCATCATATTTACATATTGTGCATGGCTATAAACAATAATATACAGTAAAGTTTGCTGCTTTTAATCATAAACACAGCATGTTTATATAAATGTATAAGTATATTTACAAGTCCTCATGATAATTACAAAAAATATCAGTGAATCGTTAAATTACTAGCTGTTTCAGAAAGAGAATTCTGCCCTACCCTGCGGGTCGGAGTTACTGCCAACTCATTTCTGTAGAACAATACAGCAATAAAAATGCTACTGCGTCATGCTGATTTTATATATTAAATATAATTTTATGCATACTTATCTTCATACAAAAATTTGTTTAACCTTTTATTGTGAACAAATACCAGGAACAATTTGCTAAATTGTCGGATGACAGTCATATTTCAACAGTGCTTTGCATCGCCCCTTTTCCTCGTGACTCTTATACTTAAAAAAAGGTTTATTTTGAAACAATTTAATGAAAAACCGCTTAATTTTATCAATAAATATCTACTTGAAATTAGAGAGCTTTCGACAGAGAGTGCTAAGAATTAGAAAACTAACATTGACATCACTTGTGAGCCTTTTTACTTTATAATTATTATCTTATTTTTATTTAGAATTTATGTCAAAATATTAAATAATATTAAGTTTATTGTGTTTCGCTGAAGAAATCGTACTACAATGATATTTAAATTCTTCTAGAAAAGGACTTTCATTCCGTAAAAAGCATTGTATTAATGTTTTAAATATCTTTGTATTCAAACACAACATTGACCATTGTGGGTGTTTGGACAATGAAAGAAAAATACGGAATTATATGAAAGAATATTTGTTTAAAATTGCCATAATTTTAAAATACACGAACAAAGCAATAAGCTAGCAAAGCAATAAACTACCAAGGCGTGCCTGATGCTCCCTTGAATAAAGTAAGTTGTAAGTTCTTTGAAACTGGTATGATTGTACATCTTAAATGCTTAACGAAATTTAACCAATAAAGACACAGGTCGTAATTATATATTTTCAACGTTAGGATTCACTTTATGATACGTTGAACGACGTGTGAATGTAGTGTAGAGATAGTTCTCGTTAATTCTAGGTATTTCTTTACATTTTTTATATTGTAGTTTATATTTTACGTAATTTAGTTAACGACTATCCAAAAAATAATTGTTCATTTCTTACAATTGTCATTGACAGAAATTATAATTTAGTTTATGGTCGTTAATGCATCTAGGTTGAGTGTTTTCCTGTCATACATGTTCCCATATGAAGTTGCTATGTACATGTGTATACATTTAGTTATATAAGTATTGAACATATACATATATCTCTTATAGATCACAAAGAGTTATGGTTATATACATTTATCGTTATTATAAATCTGTAAATTGTTCTTTAGATCAAAGTAAAAGTTGATATTATATAGGTCTTTGTCTTTTAGACTTTTACTTTCCTCCATAAATACATCCTGTTGTCTTTCGATTTTGTAGCTTAGTAGATGACAAACTAAACAAAAATCTCTCAAGATTTTTATTACTTACACTTCATTTTGTTTTTCTTTGGTTTATACGTTACATGGAAACAAAAGTAGATCGATATATCAAAGCAACAACATCGATCTTTGTATTATTTAATGTTGTTTATTCATTGTAATTGTGATGAGAAGATTTAAGTAAAAGAAGTTGAGAGTGATATAAGCATTTTGGACAATATATTCTTTCAAAGCAAGTAAAAAAGTAAAGGAAATTCTTCAAATAATTCACTTCAAAGTTCAAATTCTGCAATGTACTTGTCAATTTCGTTATTCTTTCATCGCAAAAGAAAAGTTGGAGCTGTCATATCGAGATGTTTAGGAATCGTTTGTTTGTTATATATCATCTGAGTAATTGTACATATTACTATAGATATTGTATCACATTAAAAATCATTTTAAAGTTGTATTTTAAAAGTTCTAGGAGTCGTAATCAATAAACCATTATTATGCAAAGATGTCAGAACATACATTTCAAGTGCTTCATTTATGTTAACAACGTCATTGTAAGGAATTCCTTTTTGATTGGTTCAAATATATTGTTATGGACCACCTGCACAATAATTTGAGGAGGAAAATAGAAAAGCAAAAAGAAAGAGTCAGTAGTGCTCTTTCCGTTTCTTTTATAGTTGGCGTCATTCTACTTTGTGTTGTATTCTCATACATATATATTCGTTGTTTTCAGGAAGTAAATCGCTCGCATTATCAAAGGTCGCCAAAGTTTTTACAGATGCGAAAATTGATCAGCAACAAAGGCAATTAATAGCAATTCAACCTTGAAATATACACTCGTCTCAAATGATTTAAACAAAATAAACGGGCTAAAGACTGAAAAACATTCACAACATACTGTCGTATATAAAAATGGAAAAAGGATTTCTTCATTATCGTGGTATTATATGGATGATGATGATGATGATGTGTTCAACGGAAACAAAAAATTTCTTACCCTCTATACAATGGACACCAGAAAATCCACTGTAAGTCATTTGACGTATATTGCTGTGTATGTAGACTTCGATATGACACATGTATAGCACAGTCACAGAGTATATGTTTTATATCATCTGTGTCTGTGAGCCATTTGTCAATCCTTGGTTCTATTATTTACTTCAAATAAGCTTAGTGAATAAGTCAACATTCGTACATGTTACTTTGAAACAAAACATAAAAATTTTTTCGTTTGAAATTGTATTTTAAGGAACATACATGTTTATTAATAATTTTCTAAGTATGAGGAATAAAAAGACTTATGCCCAAAATAATGAAATATATTCTGTTCCGGTGTATATCACAGACAGAAAGAAACTCAAACAGACGATCATCTTATTTTATTTCTCGAGATACATACGATGGTAATATTTAGCTAATTTACAATCTGTTTAAAACTTTAGGAAAGTCGAATGTGCAATTTTACATAGTTTGCTTTAATTGAGGTAATATTATTCCATTTATTACAGCGTCTGTATATTACAGCACATGTTCCAAGCTTTCGAACAATTCTAATGACTGTTTAATGCTTTGTACAGTTCTCATTGTTCCTTACATTCATTAAGTGATGTTTACTTAAATATGCCATAAAATTTTATTCCCAAAATTGGATTTTGTTTCATGGCATAAAATATTCAACTGTCTGTTCCACGGAACTGTGTTGACGTGTTAATGATAATTTCGCCCAGCTGTACATGAAACGAGATGGATCGTGTATTATTAATATATCAGACTTTCCTGAAAGTTGTGCAATAGAATATTAATGCCGCATCCTTTGAGCAAATCACGTATAAAAGAATACATATTTTTTCTAACGTATGAAAAGAGATGTATTTTGAATATTCTCGTGAAATGTATTTTTGATAAGAATTCAGAGTTATAAAAAGGGCTTACGTGTAAAAAGATCAATCAACAAAAGACAGACACGAAACAAGATAAATGTTGTTTTCTATGTGTAAATAAGACTTTAAGGATGTTGATTAATTAACGTACTAAATAAATCGACAATACATCTCTACATAATAGAATATTGGATTCAAATTTCTATAATTTTATCACTGGAGAACGACATAACGCAGCAATTTCACTTTTTATCTTCACTACAAACTCATAAACTTTGACAAGCGGAAAAATCCTCTTATACAACCATCAGTTACCATGTGCGGCGGAAAAATCCTCTTATACAACCATCAGTTACCATGTGCAGCAGAAAAATCCTCTTATGAAACCATCAGTTACCATGTGCAGCAACATCTAAATATTCCTTCTACTGACTTATCGACGTTTAATTGTAGCTTAATATTGCGGCTAACCAGAGTAATTACTTCTTTTGTGCGTGCTTTGTGTATAGTTTGTCGTTGATGTTTTTTAACGAAAACATCGTCAGATTTTTCACAGAAATAGTAACACTGTGTTGATATAAATTCTAAGATAACACCATTTATCATACATTTATGTTTAATGCTGATAACGTGCAGAGATAATTTGTTAGGAATTAAGACTTATATTTACATAATGAAGAACACTTTCTTGACAATCAAAACAATAACGAATATTGCTTCGTGCATTACAACAATTTTATAAGGAAAAAGGTAATATAAAGTGCTTTAAATTGTGGTACGTAAGTAAAGTAATATTGGTCAGCGAATACTCTCATGCGTATTTAATTTGGGTTTTACTTGAAATATTTGTCTAGCTTATAGGGATCATTATTTATAAAAAAGATAATTCACTTTCTAAAACCGACAAATATGTGGTACAAAAACGTACTTTTATGTCCAGACACGATTGTTCATTGATTATCTAAAGAAAAATCTCATTTAAACATGGTTTTATTATTTCTTCTTTTTTAAGCAGTAGACGGATGGTGGATATCTTTATCAAATATAATTTTCTGTATAAATATGTTAAGCTTTGAGTTATAGCAAAGTTTATTTAATGGCTGTGAAATATTTTACTCCAGACTTTTCCATGTCACTAGTGACATAAAGGAATGCATATCCCAATTGAAATTTATCTTCAAGGACAAATTTTAACTCTCTCATCATTTAAATATCATGTTGTGAAGAACATAGGATTATTTTAAATAATTATGCATACTTTGTGTACATTCAATCATATAATAAAGGTGGTTCTTGTTCGTCGTGTTCCTCAATTTAAAACACATTTGAAAACTTCATTTTAGATTTAAAAACCTTAATGGAGAAGCGTTCACAGTGAATATTGATGATGAAATGAGAATATGGTGTCCGCGACATTACACTCAAATGACACAAACCAAGCAGCAACTTAGTGCCCATAATCTTTATTTTTCCCTTTATAAAGTCGACACTAAACAAGAATTTGATGAATGCAACGCGACAAGAGGAAAACGTTTGCTATATTGCAATGATCCATTTGATGAAAACCTTAAAAATCAAAAGGAGCTACAGATATTGTTTATGGCTATTCCATTCTTTAATTACATGGAGGCATATCCACCTGGAAGAACATATTATTTTATAGGTACTGCTGTTGAAATTAACTATTATGAATGGTTTTATCAACGTTTCCACTAATTTTACGACTCGTGTTGTGGAATTTTAGTAAGTGTCGTCGAATGATTCGTTTTGCTGTTAAATTGTTTTAGGAACTTCTGGTGGAACAGAAGAACAATTAAATAATAAAATTGGAGGGAAATGTACTGCCGATCAAATGAAACTTGCTATATATGTTTGCAAAAGAGAGGAAAATTGTGAAACGAGAGGTATGATATTGTGTTAAGCAATTAATTATTCGTCTATGATATCAATCGATTGTTTCTTGTTTCTTAGTTTTAAATGGTGGATGGTCACTGTGGACGTATAATGAAACAACAGGATTATGTGAAAGGAACTGTAGTAATCCCGTTCCACACAATGGCGGAGAAAAATGTAAAGGAGAAAGAAGAGTGGAATGCTCCAAAAGTAATATACGTTACTAAATATGACACTATTTGCATTGGAAGATCTCACAAATTTATTTTTCCTATTTTTTAGTAATAAACGGGAGAGATGTTAATAAGAATAAGAAACCGTCGGAGAAGATGATTCCTACAATAACAACTTCTACCTTTACTGACAATGAACCATTTAAGAAAATGATGAGACAAACAGAAAATATGTCAATGACTACTCCCACGTCGACTGTTAACATTATAACAAAATTGGACAGAAATGACTTAGGTATTAACATTATTTTAAATGTATCTACTTTAAATTTTAAAGTGAGCAAAGAGTTTGGTTTGTGCAAGTTTAGGAGTTTTTGACGCCAAAGAGCAAAAAATGATAATTATAAAACTATTCATTGTAGCTAGTGAGCAAAAATAGAAAAATGATTTTTAAAACAGCGATATATGCAATGTGTTGAATAGTTTAATGTAGCTACTTCCTTTGGTCATAAAGTGACCTAGTTATTTATTATTTACTAATCCACTAAATCTCTTATTGCAGATGAAACAAAACCGCAAGCAAGAAAAAATGACAGCGTCAATTTATCAATAAAAGAAGCTGTACTTACGTTTGTTGGTCTCGTTTTTCTTGGTTTTGTCTTAGGCATATTAGTTGTTTTGCTAAACTCTATTTTTGTGCGAATATGTCGAAGAAAGAAAAAGGTAGATATAAATTTTATATAAGTTATAACTACATCTTTTACTAAAAAAACTGTTTCTCAAAACTCTTCTTTTTTTTTTGAAAGAATTACAAGATCCAATTAATAGAGTTTGAGGTATCATTATTGGAACATCAGGTTTACATCATGAGGTTTACATCACAAGAAAAGCTGGTAAGCAAAATTAATTGTGTTTATAACCAATGACACCTACATCAAATATAAAGAAATTCCAGCTCTAAATAACCGACATAACCACGAGTAGATATCACTTGCACTTCTATGATGACATCGTTGTATAAACTCGCGTCTCGAGTCATTTCGTGATCTTTCTACCCGAAATTTGAACATCGAGAGAAGAGTTGTTCACAGGTCATCATACGTAATGACCAAATAAAAGAAAAACCATTAATATTCAATTGCAAACATATGATATGAAAAGCAGGATGCAGTACACTGTTTATAACATTCGTTTAACCTCCATATTGTTTTAAAATGTTTTCCTTTGAAAAACACAATCGCATACAGTTGTAAATAAAATCATTATATAATTATGATATCTTTAATTTATAAATTGTCAAGTAAAATATGTTTTGTACTAAATATATACATATGTAAAAAATTGTAATATATAAAACTTATGTATTTTCTCGTTTTGTTCTATTTTAAATTCAACATTACCTACATTGACACACGTTATCTTAGTTTATATTTTAGGTAGTGTAAAGATTGTCTTCGTTCTCTGTTGTTCATTCATCACTACCTACATTGACACACGTTATCTTAATTCATATTTTAGGTAATGTAAAGACTGTTCTTGTTCTCTGTTGTTCATTCATCACTACCTACATTGACACACGTTATCTTAGTTTATTTTAATGATGTAGGACTTCTCATCAGTTCAAATCTCGTTTCCTGTATGATGTAGTAAAGATGTTTTATACTTTCATATACTAGAGCTGTACCATACATAAAACTACTTAGTGAAGTTATTGTCTATGTACTGTACACAGGTATAAAGGTCCTCGACGGTTCGTCCTTCAAACTCGGGTTTGCACTGATCTTCTCTCGAATTCTCTCAAATTTGTCTAATGAATACATAAGATTGCAAATACAAACATCATAATGACACATGCTGCACATTACGACACACTTTCTGTATATACTTACCACGCTTGCTCTATCTTTGCACACGTTCTGTATATAATTACCACGTTTGCTCTATCTTTGCACACCTTCTGTATATACTTACCGCGTTTGCTCTATCTTTGCACACGTTCTGTATATACTTACCACGTTTGCTCTATCTTTGCACACGTTCTGTATATACTTACCACGTTTGCTCTATCTTTGCACACGTTCTGTATATACTTACTACGTTTGCTCTATCTTTGCACGATTTGATTTGCATGCCCTCCGTCACTAGACTGAATATACTTTATATGGACATGACACGGCTTTGCCCGATTTTCCTACTACACTCAAGCGTTAGACGAGTAATATGCAAACTTAGTCAATACTCAATAAATTTATATTTTTTATGTTAATCTGCACAAATGCATATAATCTTCTATATGTATCACATTTGGAATGTAAACTAAAAGCCCAAAAACAAGTGTGCGACTTTTATTAGTCATGCAGTATGTGTGGGAAACGTTACGAAAAGTTTTCGTAAAAACTCTTTTTGAATCATCATTCAACAATATTTGCTGAACACGGCAGAAAAACTTTGTACTTCATGTAATCTCAATCAATAGTATTTCCTCGATAAAGTCCAAATTTAAGTTTGTCAAAATTGAATTTTCCACCTTTGTCAGCAGTCTCTATTTTCTCTTTCTTGCTCGCATTTTTATGTTTATCTATTTCCATAAGAACATCCATTAGTTTTGTTTCAAACTTATCTTTCCTCAAAGCAAACTTTTCCTCCTTATTTTCTTTATTGACAGGAGTAGTATTAGAACTTTCTTTTGAAGCACTGCTGAGTATATCGAAAAGTTTCACGGCGGTCTTTGTTGAATTTATTCCGTCCGGTAAATCTAGACCATTTTCCTTTTCTTTAGAGTCTTTAATTTGATGTGAAACATTTCTGATGTTATCAGGCTGTTTCATACCTAAAATATTGACTGGAATGGAAGAATTTGAGACTTTTTCTTCAACTGTTTCGTTTCTTTTTGTCATACTGGTTTTCAAGAGTTTGGTGTACTTTTTAAGAACTTGTAAAACTCGTTTTAAAAACTTGCTGTTATTGCTATGAAGAACTTTGTCCTTCAGAAGTCCAAGATCAAACTGAGCGGAAGTATTGTTTGAAGATTGTCCAAAGATCATCTTACTTTTAACGAGAAAATTTTTCTCCTTCTGAGCTACATTCCCAGACGAAATGTTTGATGAATGTCCTATTTTACTATCTTTTTCTGCAATAGTCACGTGTTCACTGCCACTTTTTGTGTCTGAAATAATTAATGGTTGCGCAACTGGTTCTTTATTAAAGGTTATATGACTACCACCTGGTGATCCCATAGAGCCCAGTTTCCTTGTTGGTGGTGCAAAATTTGTTGAGCGATGACGAGATTTATTGTTGACGTCATCGTCGTAGAAAGTTAATTCTTCTTTCATTGTGCGTTCTTTTAATTTATCTTTCAAGTTCTTGACGTTTTTCAGAAAGTGAGATAACTTCAAAGCATTTTGTGTCTGTGGTGACAGACGGTTATCATCCATTACTGGTTTGAAATTACCATTGGGATACGTTCTCAGTTCATTACTGTAGGTTTGGTTTCGTACTATTACCATATTATTTATATGATTTCGTTTTCCTTCTTTAACACGGGGGATTTTATTTTTTGTACGTTGTCTCGTTGTGACTGGCACATTGTAATGAACATGATATTGTGATGGCATAATATTTTTAGCTTCTGGGTTTGAATCTCTAATAAAAGTAGCTTGCTTGTTTCTTATTGGTTGTTGTATTGCCTGTTGCATAGAATCTCTGTTGGGCTGTTGATCTATATACATCGATTTACTTGCATACTGGTCAACAGTTCTTGACAGCTTTGGGTCAATAATATATCTATCAATAGGATGTTTAGGTGACATAAAATATCTCGTTGACTTGGGAAAAATTCTGAGTCGAGGTTTCGTGTATACAGGCTGCTGGGAGATGATTGAGTACTGTCGGGGACTATACGTTGAAAGTCCTGGAATATTTTCCACAAAAGGGAACGATATGGATGATCTTTGCTGTAGACTTAACAATTGTTGATTTCGAGGAGTATAAGTTGATAGCTGATTGGGATATATTGGAGATGGAGTGATCTGCTGTTCACTGAATACATAACTTCTGGTCTGTAGAAACACAGAAATTGATTAATAATAAGGCCAGCTTTTTTTTGTTGAGATCTCATAAAAATTACATTTAGCACTGTCTACCTTTGACTGTGTTTGTGGATATGGTATTGTGTGTGGTGTAACCATCATTTTATTTTCCAACTGTGTCAAAGGATGAAAATGTGCCCGTTGATTCTCATGTTGAGCTATGGTTAGTTGTGGCAGACGGTATGTCACCATTGCTTCAGGATATTGTGGTTTCAATCGATCTATAAAAAGATTTAGCCATGTTAACAAAACATGCAATATTACTAACATGATCTCCAGGTGCAGCAATCATATAAACACGACAACTCTGAGAATTGATTTTTGACTTTTTTTATTATTGAACGAATGTCAGTTAGTTTCAAAACTTCTTATTTATTGAATCACGTTAACTTTATAACGGACTATTCCTCCGTGGTTTTCATTCATACCGTTGGCATCATAATCTTCAAGTAAGACAGTTCCATGAACAAAGCTCCTTGAACAAACAAAAACGAAGAAGAATAGTTTCATTTTATGGTTTTCTTTTTAGGGTTTTTCTGTCGATTTTTTTGTCGTTATTGACGCCTTTCTCTTGCTACTGATTTTTATGCTGTTTAACTTTTACTAAATTTTCATATATTTCGATATTTTTGGAATGACGACATTATTGTGTTCACATCCATTTTTTATTCTTGTGATATCTTATCTGTCGAAGGGAGCAACATCTTCGAATATTTTTAAACCAAGTATTTTAAGTTTTTTTAATAGAATATATCATCAATATTTTTTTTATTTTCTGTTGATTTTCCGCCTCTAATTTTTAATTGTTATACAACAATAGGTACCTGTTGTTCAATTTTCTGGTTGTTTGGTGAGGTTGGGTGTTAGATTATTTTTGAAAGAAAATTAAATCAAATAGAATTTTATGATGAACGTAAAGTTCAGAATGCCATGGTTTTGATGAGGATTTAAATTTTTTTGTAAATTCTACAAAAATGAAAATATCAGTGGCTAAAGTTTGCGCTTCAATTGACGTAAAGGTTCGAGATGAGCCCTCTTTCTTTATGTACGTTGACACTTTGCTTACATGAAAAACGCTTTGTCCAGAATGTCTGATTTCAAAATGGATTTCTCTGCTGTTTTGTCAATTTGAAAGTTCATATAGACAAAAGTGTGCTTTTGTATTCAAAAAATGGCATATGGTTTGTTAAGTGCTGGAATGAAAGTGTGTTTTCGTCGTGTGTTTCTTCAAGATAAGGCTTGGAAACTTCAAAGTCGTTTAAACAGGCATCGATTTAGTGGGTATTTAACCTAATTTTATGTAATAACAATGTATTTTGTACGGGTATTAATTTCGTCATATGATGAGAAAATCTACAATCATTATTTAGGATGTGGTGCTCTCGCCTGTTAAATATTCCATGTGGTGTTTTTTCAAAACATGCTATTCGAAAGGTCACATTCTTTACCAGTTTTACAAACATTGTGAAAGTGAAGTGGAATAAAGTTGTGACCTCCAAACATCTTTGGTTAACATGTATTGGAGGATTGTGTCAAGAGAAAACTCGCCCTGGCACACTGTTCTGCACGACTAAACTGCAGAAATAATGAGAGAAATATAAAGCAAATTGATGAAAGATCAAAAAAATCTTCACAACTATATTTTATTGATTTTCTTAAGTTCTTACTCCCAGATCTCTGGTTATTGTTGTTGGCCAGTTTATGTGCCTTTGGTGTTGCTATTGTTAATGTGAGGTTACCTTTGTTTCTTGGTGAACTAGTGAATAAAGTATCTTCATTATCTGGTCAAACAGCTGCTGATTATGCCAAGATACTAAAAGATCCTGCAAAACAACTTGTTCATATTTATCTTGCGCAGGGAATTTTAACATTTGTTTATATCAGTCTTCTCTCTTCATTTGGTGAAAGGCTTGCAGCCCGTTTAAGAAATAATCTATTTTCATCATTAGTGAAACAGGATGTTCAGTTCTTTGACAGTCATAAGACAGGAGAACTTATCAGTAGGTAAATATAAAATATTTTTATTTGATCTTATCCACTTGAAAGCCCGTGTTTCTTAGTGCTTTTTATTTTTCTATACACCTTGTCATTATTTAGGTTAAGTTCAGATGTACAAGATTTCAAGAGTGCATTTAAACAGATCATATCACAAGGTTTACGAAGTGCTACACAAACAATTGGATGTGTTATTACTCTTGTTATGTTATCACCAAAACTCACACTTTTGATTGGTAGCCTTGTTCCATCTGTTATCATATGTGGTACACTCCTTGGTTCTGTCCTTAGAAAAATGTCTCTTGAATCACATGAACAGCTTGCCACTGCCTTGGCTGTTGCAGATGAATCTATTGGTAATGTTAGGACAGTGAAAGCATTTGCAATGGAAGAAAAAGAAATTTGGTAATAGACTACATCTTAAGCTGTTCATCTTTTTTTAATTATATTCATTTGCTTTTTTTATCCATGTCTAACATTTTCATCTTTGTGCATTACAGTGACAGTTCCATGACAATTATATTTATCTAATTTACTTTAGAAGTCTTTAGAAGTCAATAGTTAATCAGAGTGTAAACATATTTTGAAAGTTGTTCTTGTTTTTCAGTTCATATACTAAAGAAGTCGAGAAGTCACGAAGACTTAATGAAGCGCTAGGAATGGGTATTGGTGCCTTTCAAGGTCTCAGTAATATAACCATTAACTCTCTGACTTTGGTTGTTCTCTACGTTGGAGGATCATTAATGATTAGCGATCAACTTACACCAGGAAATCTTATGAGTTTTTTAGCTTCTACTCAACTTATTCAGCGGTAAATATTTCGTTATGAATTGTTCATCATGTTTTAGAATTATCCATTTACGAAGGAAACTTTATAACATCATTCATTTTGTTTACCTTGGATAGCTGTAACTCCTCAGAATCGTACGGTAATTTATTTTTATTTTAGCTCAATGGCAAATATCTCCGTTCTTTTTGGCCAAGTTATTCGTGGTATAAGTGCTGGATCACGCGTGTTTGAATATATGGTACTAAAACCAAAAATCAGTGATGAAGACGGTCTATGCCCAGAGTTAACATCTATGTTAGGGGAGATTGTGTTTAGTAATGTGGATTTTGAATACCCAACTAGGCCTGGTCAATCTGTTCTTCAAGGTCGGTATGCATCATTCTTATTTTTAACTGTGTAGACAGACATGTTATAACATATGCATTGACTGAGTTCTTCTCCTTGGTATCAAGGTTTAAACTTGAAGGTACCTGCAGGACACATGGTCGCATTGTGTGGTCTCAGTGGATCAGGGAAATCAACTGTCGCCTCGCTCATTGAGAGATTTTACGATGTAAACTATGGTTCCATTACAATTGATGGGCACAATGTGAAAACATTAAATCCAGCTTGGATACGAGGGGAACTTGTTGGATACATAAATCAAGTGAGCTTCAACGAACATCTTCCATCAATAATTTATTATTTGATTGATGATATATTAAATGGCTCTTAAAACATTTGCACAGCATGAAAGAGAATTTTACATTTGCTCAACGAACATCATCCATCAACAATTTGCTATTTGATTGATGAGATATTAAATGACGCTTGAAACATTTACACAGCATGAAAGAGACAATTTTACATTTGCAGACCATTAAACTGACAACTTTGATTTATATTTATAACTTTTACGTATATATGACTCTTCAAAATAAGAATAATTACAGCTATACATTCCTCACTTGATGACTACTGCTGAGGTTGTTGAAACGTCTGTCGCCATCAACACCAATAGTCCTTCCCAGGACTCTACTAACCTGGTCTGCCGACGTCTATAAACATGATAGCAATATAAGTAATGAAAGATAATTATAATTTTGTCAATGATTGTTGCAGGAACCTGTACTTTTTGCAACATCTGTTATGGAGAACATTCGTTATGGCAAACCAAGTGCCACTGATGCGCAGGTATTGATATTTTATGGGGGTGATTTTTAGTGATTTTAATTCGTGAATCTGTTGTGTTAATTTCAATTTCACACGCTATCAAGTCGATACATATGTGTTTGTGAAATGTGTCTTTGACGTCACATACATGTGCTTCAAGGGGGGTTTTAGAGGACTTAACTACAGTAACGGACATACAGACCTTGCACGGTAAGGTTTTAGAGGACTTAACTACAGTAACGGACATACAGACCTTGCACGGTAAGGTTTTAGAGGACTTAACTACAGTAACGGACATACAGACCTTGCACGGTAAGGTTTTAGCGGACTTGCAAATTGTACACGACATCTTTTCTTTAATGAGACATACTTACACAGATACATGCCAAACAATGTGAAGTGAACATGAACTGTAGTTTACTTGTTATCTATAACTAAATGTTTTCACTAGGTATTCAAAGCAGCAAAACAAGCAAATGCGCATGACTTTATTGAAAAATTTCCCGATGGATATGAGACTATTTTGGGAGAACGAGGTGTGACAGTTTCAGGGGGGCAAAGACAGAGGTGAGCACTTTAAAGGCAGTTTCGGGGGGGAGGAAGGAGGTATGTACTTAAATAACAGTTTCAGGGGGGAAAGATGGGTACTTTAATCAAAAGTTTTAGAGAGGGTAGACAAAGGTGGGTACTTTAATATCAGTTTCAGGGAGGACAGAGGTGGGTACTTTAATCAAAAAGTTTTAGAGAGGGGGAAATAAAGGTGGGTAATTGAAAGACATACGACAATTTTCCTCTTCGTTTTTCTATTTACAATTTAGAATAGCTATTGCTAGAGCTTTGTTAAAGAATCCTAAAATTTTGATCCTTGATGAAGCCACAAGGTTTGTTAAATGTATTGATTTTATCGTATTGATATTTGTTTATATGTTGTATTGTCATATTTTTGTTCTACCTAAGTGCATTGGACGCCGAATCAGAGCGTGTTGTACAAGAGGCTTTAGATGAATTAACTGAAGGACGTACAGTATTAGTGATTGCTCATCGTCTAAGTACCATCCAAGAAGCAGGTGAAAATCTAACAGAATTTTTGTATACATGATTAAATATAGACACTTCTGTTTTATTTTTATGAAAATTTTTATCAGACTCGATAGCTGTTCTCTCAGCTGGTAAAATCAAAGAAATCGGATCACATATTCAACTCATGAAGCAGAATGGATTATATTCTGAGTTGGTTCGACGGCAGACTATTTTATTTCATCATCATCACCAGTAAGCATATAACGTTATTATATATATTTTTAATACATATACGTCTACTTTACAAGATTGAATTTACCCACAATATAAATCAACTACATATTAAAGCTATTCATTATCTTTCGTCTTTATAAAACGATCGATGTAAAACAAAACACATCATACAAACAACATATGTATTTATTTTTCTGACCAACTTTGCGTCAAACTATGCTTTTCATAAAATCAAATGATAGGTTTTTTAAAAGAATATTTTTTTCATCCCCAAAAGACACGACCTTTGTCGTTTGTCTTGTTGTAGTACCAAATTATCCCTTTGTCCTGGACTTCTTGTTGATGCGGCTGAAAATAAACAACAATATAAAGTTCTGAAAATTTAAATATGTTGTCATGTGTTGCCATGTGTTGTCATGTGTTGTCATGTGTAGTCATATGTTACCAAAGTTATCACGTGATACCATATTACGCTACCAAAGCTATCACGTGATTCTATATGTTGTTATATTTTACCATTTTTCTTACTTGCTATTTTTTACGACACATTTATGTTTCTGTAAGGCTCGTTTGAACGTATTTCTTCTGTTATTTACGAACACTCTTTCTATCACAACTGGGACTGTTTTACTGCGTCCCTAATAAATGAAGTAAATGTTTCTTTATGAAAATAAATTTTGAAAATTTGTGCATGAAACAATTAAAGTTTGGTTTCCAAAAAAAAAACTCGATCGTTGCTCCTCTATGGAGATAAATCATCAGTTTAAATACGCAGTTACCTTCTTGGCAAAAACCAAAATGTCACCATCCCTTTTAAAAATTTTGCTGCGACAATTTTTATGGAGAATTAGTTGAGTAACTTTGTCCAATTTCTTTGAAGTACACTTTGATTTTGAGAGAATTTCTCCACCATAATTTGAACCGAATCGCTTGTATTTTAAACGAAAAGCTAAGAAGAAATGCATGGGCATAAGTATAAGAATGTGTTGTACATTGATTCATCATCCTATGACATAAGTATATGAGGACATTAACTACATTGATTTCTTATAAACTGTCTTTATTATGAAGATCAAGTACATTGTTTTCGTATTTACCCTCTTCACTATGACAAGCATAAATCGAGTAAAACATATAGTCTTGAAAGACGTACCGTAGTCGTATTTTTTTAATTCCATAGATTTTAAATTAAAATTTCTCTCCCGGAAACGTTCGCCAGTTTTCAGTCGAGATGTACTACACCTTGCTGTTATTGAATAAAAATTACAATATAGGATAGCAACATAGAACAATAGATAAGAACACTGACAAAATTCATCACGGATATCAATCATTATAGCTAAATAAGCCGAATAAATATTTCCTTCGTTATCATTAACTTTATTTTATACTTAAATAACATGAGTCTGTTGATGGTGCAATGAATGAACAATGGAGAAATAACAGATTTTTATATTAAGTAGCTAAAACTTGCTGAGAAACATAGCGATTTAAACTGTAAACTGGAGAATACTAATATTTTATAGTTAAGGTATCACTTTAATTGGTCATAATTGGACTCTTTCAAGTTAACAGCAACTGATGATCCTGTTAATGTAATAAAGATCTTCAAAACGTAAAATTTGTCACGCGATCATTCATAATGCTCTACGTAATTCCTGTAAATATTAATATCAAAGTGAATTTGAAGTTTTTAGACCAATCACATGCCTTGCCTACAGTTTGTTTATCTTTGTCGTTGTCATTCTTAAAATTCTATCTACGAATTTTCTGTAAATTTTTTTTCTCTAAAATTTCAAGATTTTGTAATGTGAGAAGAAACATATAAGGACTTATATGTGCTTATCCTTCCGAGATTGCCATATAAATGATAAGTGAGATTAGTTTTATGGTCGGATACAACATCTAGCACTTTTTTTATACGATCTAAGCCAATTGACTGAGGAAATGGATAATTCAAACTATTTGAGAAAATGCTCGCAGGGACTTGCCCATCAAATAGTTGGTGGAGTTATGTCATACAAATATTTGCAATGTTGACAGAAAAACAGCGTTTGTTTTGTATTTATGGTTTCAATTTAACTAGTGGTATCAATGTACAGGCTCTTAAAGCATGACGTACTTGACCTCCCCCCCTTAATTTATTGTCTCTGTCTTAAGTGATGTGAACGTATGTTTCTTATAAATGAAAACAATCGCCTTTCTAGCACAGTTGTCTTACTGTGATAATTGTACTATAATTGAGGCAACTCTACACTGCCGTGTTTTCAACTTAATGATATACTTAATTGATTCTATATATTTTTGTTGATAGCTTGATGTGCGTCATGGTGTGTTGAACCAAAAACTTTACATTTAAATTTCATGTCTATTGCATCAATCTTTCGAGCGAGTTTATTATTTTAAAACAAATCAACACTTTGACATCCTGTAATCATTTTCATTGAAAACAATAGATTGTTTTTCAAGCAAGATCTGTCATCGCGAAAATTTGCAAATTTAAATCACATTTTAATAAAATACGTTCATCACGATCCATCTATTGTTCATTCATCACTACCAACACTGAAAACATTAGTTTATATTCTAGATAGAATACAGTCCTGCATGTGCTAAATGGGAAGGTTTATTTCTTACCTTTCTTTGTTGAGACAAATGCCGTAGGATCGATGCACATTCCTTCGTTTCGATATGGTAAACTACTACAATTCAATTGAACTGGCCAAGTCTCGTTAAACCGTCTTAAGCTTGGCGCACAATCGTTATAAATCATTTCACAAAGGCTCCGGCAAGGTGGAATTATTGGTCGGCAACTCGGATCATCTTTGTCGTTCGGATTAACACAAATAGGCAATAAAACTGCACATAAAAAGAACACAATATCTCTGGAACATTTATTGTTCACTAGCGTTTGTATTATACTTTGTTCTGTGAATAGTTGCACCTGATATTGAGAGGAGTATCCAAAGAAATTTGGCAACCTAGTCCTATCGTATTTTGAGGTATTCCCTCTACACAATGGTACAGTGATTTTTTGACAATTTGGTAAATATGGTGGATAACATTTACTCCAGCCAACACAAGGATTCTTTGCGATCAACATCATTTGTATCATCAGTAACACCACCCAATAGCTCTGATCCATAACTTGATCTCTTTGATATTTTTAATTGTTAAAAAATTCGAGCAATCAGACTTTATAGACAGTTCTTACAAGTCTTTATCAAGCTCCTGTGCGATATTGATCAAAGGATTCTACCCTCCAAAGAAAAATCTTGGATTCTTCAAAAATCAAAATAAAACGAATGTTGTTTTCAAATCTCAAATATTAACTTGTGTATTTCAACAGTGGAAATAATTTTCTGTTAACAATCAGTGTTAGAGTGTAGATTTACATTACCTGTGATAAACGTGAAACTAAATTATATCTTATTCAAATGTTGATTAACCGTCCCTTAAATATAAATTTTACCTGACAAAGTGCACAAAATCACAAATGCCTTGAGCAAAATAAGATTATCGCAGTTGTGCCATTCAACATTACTTACCTAAACTCGTGATTAATATTGTATCAATGTAGTTATCGATAATGCAATAGAATGTTTTGACCAGACACCTCTAACTGTTAATGCTTATCTGTTTTCGACAATCGTCGTGAGCAATAAATAGCCTATCGTCAACTTCAACTTGTTCGTTTTGAATGACAGTTATGAAAACGCTATAGCCTAATTATGTGCTTTAAATAACACTGATTGGTTTTTACTATTTATCTATTTTCACCTGGGCATTAAAGATTCAAGACTTAAGAAAGTGGTGACATACAGGCGACAGATGGAATTTACGTGGATCGTGAAGAGGTTCGTGGTTTGATCAGATAAGCTAAATGATGGCGAAAATCCTTGTAAAATCTCCGTCGACCATCATATTTGCTTGAGAAGCTCAACAATGCATACATTTTTTCAAACATTTGTTAAAAAAAAAGTTTGTGGATAATGTCGAGTATGTTTGAAAGGAATTCAAAGTAACAGTAATGGTGTTCTGGAGACACGATAAGGCGTCAGTAAAAGGCGAGATCAGTGTACGCCCCTTTCAATTAATAATATGGGATTGTGTTGATGGAGGTTTTAATGTCGAATGTTATTGACGATATATAAATGTGTGCATTATGTGCATTTGTTCCAGGCCTTTCGCTCCAATGACTGCAACTTATCCCCATCCCTACTAAAATGTTGAAGATGTATAATATTATATAATATGATGGATAATATAAATATTGAAAAAGACTTGTGTCAAATTTTGATGTTAATGTAGTTTACTGTGACCATTAAGCAACTCTTGTGTTGTAGCTCGTACCTCCTTGACATTTAAATTGTGGATATGATGACCAAATAACCTGTCAACATACTACAGTAAAAAATGCTGTGGAAATTTGAGATGAAAAATGAAGCATAACCCAATAAAAGGAAATCTTGTAAACTTAAGTTCAAGACAATTAAAAGTGTAATATTTTTGTTTTATTTCAGAACCATCATCGTTTTATTCATTTTTGAAATAAAACCAAAGTATTACACTTTTAATTGTCTTGTTTAATAACTTGACTTAAAGTTTACCAGATGTCCTTTCTCGGATTATGTTTTATTTTACATCTAAAGGAATTGAAATTTGAGATGTAGTATTTAATTAGTTCAATTGTGGTTTCCTGTTTGGTTTGAAGCATCGAAACAGGCACGCTCGACGGAGGGGCGTGGGAATCCTCAGTTTTATAGGGGGGGCGACAGTGCCCTTGAATAATGTCTAATTTGCACTTTATTTGAGAAAGTTAAGTTTTCATTGATATTAAGCACAGGAAAAGGAAAAAATCACAGTAAAGTTCATCAAATCTTTGATGTTTTACGATAGATTAAAGCTGTGTTATTTGATATTTCTCAGTATATGGACATCATACAAAGAATCAACTATTTTCTATGCTATATGAGATCAATTCATTTTGTTACAGTATTCGTTATAAAATGTGTTGGAGATTTGTGTTGTGATTACAAAAACGAATGCCAAGACTCGAGATAAGGAGGATATATTTTGATGACCGAGTCATACTAGGTATGTAATAAATAGTTTTTTTTATGTCCTGCGCAGTAAAGGCAATAAAGAAAATGCCAATTGAGACTGCACATGTGTATCTGAAACAGATGGTTTTCAACAGATGTCACTACGTTGTCTTAGAATGTTTTTTTTTAGCAATATGTTTTCGTAAGGCTTTTTATTCTGAGGACTAGTTTTCAGGATAATAAACCTAAATCAAAAAATTAAATTTCTCTGAAGTGCTCGTTTATTATTCAAAGATGTATTTGTTTGTTTTTGGCAACCCAACATAAAAATCTTGGAACAAAATAATTGCTGTTTTGAAATCCATTGACTGCCATTTATTGATCTCTTCATTCGTCACAAGTCAATAATTGATCTACCTTTGACGAACATATGGACTCGGTCTGTTTTTTTTAAATGAATTTTCCCAATTTTTACTCCCGTTGACAAGAAATATGACACACCCAACTTATAAAACTCCACAATCCATTCCTGAAATTATGAACTATGATTAGCTAAATATTTAATAAGATATTAAAGAAATATGTAAAACAGCGGAATTGTAGTCTAAGGAATTCATCCTAGTTTTTTCTTGATTTGATAAAAAACAGCGATAATGTATATATGTGCTTTGTTCGTATGCGACTGTCGACTGGTATTATTAAATCAAAGGCATTGATTGTATTTTTTTCAAAGAATTAATACGTTTAAATGAAGTATGATTCTTGTACAGGAATTATATGTGTTATCAACCTTAGAATTCTTAATTCTCAGTAGGTGTACTGTGATGAACAAAAGTAAACCGACATAAAGAAAACGAAATGAAATATATGGTTAAATGACATTTGTGATTCACGTTATTCGTGTTTGTCACGTGTCCTCCACGCGTGTTTTACAGCTGGCGCGGCCATTTTGAAGATTGTTTGCTAAATATTTGAACTGTCATTTATGAAGTCGTTTTAAAGTTGTATTGTCTTTTAACTTACGATGTGAGAGGCCGGAATTGTTTAAGAAACTAAAGAAGGGAATTGAAAAAATAAATAGCTTGCTTGGGAACATTCTTAGCGCGACTGAAATGCAACTTTGCGCCATTGCACAATATGACTTTCAATGAAAATTGTTTAAAGTTTTTGCGTGCAAAACATTTGTTATTTTGAAGCTAAAATATGCAAGCAAGCAAAGGAAATCAAGACAATTTCTAATCGAAGAGGAAATATTCACAACCGCTGAATTTTCGGAAATATTCTGTTAATTTGAAAATGTCTGGCGATTCGGACACGTCCGTCCAAGTGGCGTTGAGGTAAAGACTTTTATTTATTTAATGATTCTGTATTTTTTTTTCAATATAGATATTCTTTATACCATTTTAAGTCTCGAAATGCTAGTACATTCTCGTTTGCCGATATGGTGAGCTCAAAAATATTTTAGCCGGTGTGAAGTTGCGTTAAAAATAATATAAGTTTTCACCAGCTAAACGAAAAACTAAATTGGTTCATTGACACTTTGAGTTTATTTGTATCTTTGTTTTCTTGTACATAGCTCTCGTTTTTAATCTTCTACAACTAAATCTTTTTTTGGCCAGGATACGTCCTCAAAGCGCTTCTGAAAAGATTGAAATGTGCCGAGTTTGTACAAATGTAACACCGAATCATCCTCAAGTTGTATTAGGAAAAGACAAAGCTTTTACATACGATTCAGTCTTTGATGTTCATGCTAAACAATTTGAAATTTATCGAGATTGTATTGAAGGCTTAATAGAAGGGTATGTATTGTATTTTTTATCAGCCATTACGTTTTTGATGGGATATTTAACTTAAATATCTTTACCAATATCATTGTTTACATTTTGGGGATTTAAATCGTGAGAAATCACTAACTTAAGCTTTGTGAATAAACGAAAATTTTCCTTCTCGTTATCCATGTAGATGTTTTGATGGTTATAATGCGACAGTATTGGCATATGGTCAGGTAGGTTTTCTCTTGTTTTAAAATAAAGCTGTTTCTTTTTTTTCTTACTTTATTTTGCATCATTAATTATTAAAGAGAAGAACATTAGTGGGCTATAAAAATTTCATTTTTGGTTCACCATCAACCACATTAACTTTGACTTTCTTGAAAATACATAAGGCAAAGCTCAATCAATATTAGATAACAAAATAATTCATTTTAAAGAAAGAAATGCATTGGTTGATCAATATTAGATAACAAAATAATTTATTTTAAAAAGAGAAATGTATTGTAAAAAAATTTCCATAAATGTGTCTTTATATTGTAACAGACTGGTGCTGGTAAAACATACACAATGGGAACTGGTTTTGATGTGAACATCAGTAAAGAGGATGAAGGAATTGTTCCAAGAGCGGTTAGCCATCTCTTTGATGGCATTGATAAACGCCAAGAAGATGCAAAACAAAATAGTGAACCACCTCCAAATTTTAAAGTAACTGTCCAGTTTATGGAGGTAAATGAAAACAAATGTTTGTATTTTTTATTTGAAAGTTTAAAAATGCAATTCAATGTGTTCCGTGTCTTTACAGCTTTACAATGAAGAACTTATTGATCTTTTTGATAATGAAAATAGGGTAAGTAAGGTTATAGAATAAATGGACAATATTCATTTCATCATGTTTTATTAATGACTTAATACATCATACCCTACTGTAGGGAATGTCTGGTAAACACATAAAGATTCATGAAGACTCAAATGGTGGTATTTATACTGTGGGTGTTACTATGAAACAAGTCACATCAGCTAAAGAGGTATTGTATATGGACCACATTTTTTCTTGGAGGACATTATCTAGAGGGGGTGCTGGGCAACCCTTAAAGGAGAGGAGTAAGGCTACATTTGAAAAACTGCATTTGTGAAAGTCCGAAAGAGCATGCTTAAATTTTCTTATCTATCTGTAAGTTGACTAACTATGTTGCCCATTAAATTAATATGATCATGAATTTCTCTTTTATTTCAGACATTGAATAGTCTGCAACAAGGTGCTTTATCAAGGACAACAGCCAGTACAAACATGAATGCTCAGTCATCAAGATCACATGCAATATTTACACTCCATATTACACAGCAACGTGTTGTGAAAGTAAGAATCAACAAAATGCAATAAACCTCTAAATGTTACGAACAAGTTTGAATGTTAGTGAATCTGGTGGAAAATTCTCAAAATTAGTCATTAAATGAACAAAACATGTTTTCTTTCTAGCTTAGCAATGATGAATCATTAAATAATGGTAACCAAGGACAGGGTTTCGAATATGAAATGCTGACAGCAAAATTCAACTTTGTTGATCTTGCTGGCTCAGAGCGTCTCAAGAGAACTGGGGCAACTGGTGATCGTGCTAAGGAAGGGATTTCAATTAATTGTGGCTTGGTAATTTGATACATACTCTATGTTGTTCTTTTCATTTAATAATGTTGTTAATTTTACAATATTGAATGTTTTAGTTAGCATTAGGAAATGTGATCAGTGCTTTAGGAGATAAAGCAAAACGTGGTTCACATGTTCCATACAGAGATTCAAAGCTTACACGATTGCTTCAGGATTCTCTTGGTGGTAATAGGTAATTGTAAAATTACACAGAGATTATGTTACATCTGAATTATATTGTGTCAATTCACATTTCATTGTTGCTTTCCAATGAAAACATTACATCATTGTAAATATTTTAGTCAAACTCTTATGATTGCATGCGTCAGTCCATCGGATCGAGATTTTATGGAGACATTAAACACTTTAAAATATGCTAACAGGGCAAGAAACATCAAGAATAAGGTTTGTGTTTCTAGGTTATTGGATGGTCATTATATGAAGAGTGTAAGTGTATTGTATATATTAATGATGGTGTAATTGTTTAGGTGGTTGTCAATCAAGATAAAGCTAGTAAACAAATTGCAACGTTGCGAGCTGAAATTCAAGCTTTAACAATGGAGTTAAACGAGTACAAACAGGTTTGATTATCATCAATAAATTGTAACGTTATAATATTTATTGTATTTTAAACACATGTATTTTTAATTTTTGTTGAATGAATAGGGAAAGAGAATTGCTGGTGAAGGTGAAACACATATCAATGATATGTATCATGAAAATACCATGTTACAAACTGAGAATGATAAGTAAGTGTTTATTACACTATGATATGGTTGTAGTATATAAAGACTCTATACTTTACTTGGATGGTCATAGTGTATAAAGACTTTGTTCTTTACTTGTATTGTTGTAGTATATAAAGACTCTATACTTTACTTGGATGGTCATAGTGTATAAAGACTTTGTACTTTACTTGTATGGTCATGAAATCTTTTTGAAATGTTGGCAAGAACGAGCTTGAAAATTTTTAGTTTTTCCATTGAATATAGTTGTTGATGATAGTGTTGTAAGGCAGTGATTGTTTAATAAGTTTATGTTTTTTTTTCAGATTACACATGCGTATAAAGGCATTAAATCATACAGTTGAGGAGCAAAAGAAACGAATCACAGAGTACATGGCAAACAAAGGTGTTGCAATGCTTAATGGAGGTATGGTTATGTGAAATATGTGCCTTTTTCTTTCCTTGAATATTTTAAATAATTTTATATAGTTACAATGTTATAGTAGCTTCGTAGATGTTTAATGTTCTTTTAATTTCATCGACTTTTTATCCTTATATTACGTAGATATGAAGGGTGGTGTGGAGGAATTGATTGCTGGATATGTTGAGGAAATTGAAGAATTGAGGTATGTTTTCTTTTACACTGATGTAATTTAATCCTTCGATCTGTTCTTTAAGAAGGTATAGTTAGAAGGCACTATACAAAAGAACGTTAAATTAGTTTGGGTGGTTTAATTCTATTGATTCTGTATTGCTTGTTCAAAACAAAAAAATTGTTGTCTTTCTGAATTATTGAAAATCTTCATACTTCACAGAAGTCGTCTACTTGAAAGTGAAGCGTTGGCTTCTGCAGTTGCTCGCCGTTCAGTTACAACAGCCTCTCGTCTTGGTCGACCCAATTTTCCTGATCTACCTGAACAGAGTGAGACGATCCTTGAACTCGCAAAACAAGATCTTCACTCTCAAATGCAGAAAGCTAAGGTGACGTATAAAAACGCATTTCAAAAATCATCTTGTAACAATAAACCTACATCTCGCGCAAGTTTTAAATCTCGTAAGATTCCTACGTCACGTGTGACGCGGGATCTCATGGGAGATTGTGCCCATAAAAAGCGGTGCTCTAAAACACCTGCGCCACGTTGTCACGGAAAAACGTTCAAACGCGAGAATTTAATTGTACGAGGGATAAACAAGGTGAAGAACGGTCTTTACGGATTAAAAGTTGTTCCCAGAAGACTATTATCAAAAAAGAGTCCAGCCAAGAATTGTTTGAATGCTCGCGGGCTTAGTTATCAGACAAAACCTATCTTATTTGATAGACGTAATGAAAGTCTGACGCGAGATTATGTTTGTGGTTTTGCTTCCAAAATTCCTCTTCCTGTCAGCGATTTTCACGACGCCAAAATGTGCAAAGTATTTTAGATAAGAGTGAATACCACAGCAGCACAAGTACATTGAGAAGTAATCAAGAGAAGAACACAAAAAATGATGTAACTTGCCTGCACAGGCTAATGGTGAAGTGAACAAAGAATTCAAACATAACTCTATGTCTTGTGGTAATGCCAGTGAAAACAACCTATATGATATTCAAACAAATGTATTTCGTATCAAATCATCACGTGAATTGAGTGTAACTAGTGCCCATTCTCCAGTCAGTTGGTGGGGATCAAGAAAAGAGGATAAATATGGGAATGTGGATGCTGTGAAATCTTCTTATAAAGACGTAAGACGTATATCAGAGACACTTTGCATTTTACCAGAAAACAAGAGTTGGTTCTCGGAAAACATTCGTCATCCTTCGGAAAATGCTCCATCACGTATTGATATTTTCAATGAAATGATGCTTAACGTTCAACATTCATCGCAAAACAATCGGCCCAAGTCGCTAGAGCTTGACGCAAAAACTCTAAGTCTACCAGAGCGACGTCATCGTCTAGAGAAGGATCTTGATGAACTTATGGATGCAATGGAGAAGGTTCTTGGTAATTCTATAAACATGGAGTCTTATATAGGTACTTGGCCTAGGAAATCATCACTGGAAAAACCTAAAGCTAGAGCTGTAATATTTGGACGACCTGTGTTTGAAGCTGTGATTTAATCAATGTTTATTTGAATTGATGAATTGAATTAACTACATTTCCCCTTTAAATTGAGTACTAAGTTGTATAGAGTTATTATAGTAGAATCATCACATCAATATAAATTATACAAATATTTAATATAAATGATAAATATTTATTGAATTCAGAGTAAAGTGTAACTTTATAAGAAGAAGAAAATGGGACTCTTCTAATATATTATATATAAACGTATGTTCATTAATTGAATAAAAATATATATTAATAAAAAATAGCGACAGTTAGGGTTCTCCGTAGGTTTATTCTTATTATCCAAACAATTACTTTGTCCGTTTTATGCATGATAATATTTTAACCTAATAACGTGTTTGTTCAAATTAAACGTGGTATCTAAATAGTAGTATAAGGTTATAGTGTGTGTGATTATGGTTGTTGTGTGTGGGTGTGATTATGGTTGTAGTGTATTGCAGGCTATTGTTGTAGTCTGTGGCTATGGTTGTAGCGTGTGGGGCTATGGTTAAAGTGTATGTGATTATAGTTGTTGCGTATGTGGCTAAGTTTGTAATTTGTGGCTATGGTTTTAGTGTATGTGATTATGTTATTAGTACATGTGGCTATGGTTGTAGTGTGTGTGATTATGGTTGTAATGTATGTTGCTTTTGTTATAGTATACGTGGTTATGGTTGTAGTATATGTTGCTATGGTTGTAGTGTATGTTGCTATGGTTGTAGTGTGTGTGATTATGGTTGTAATGTATGTTGCTTTTGTTATAGTATACGTGGTTATGGTTGTAGTATATGTTGCTATGGTTGTAGTGTATTTTGCTATGGTTGTAGTATATGTTGCTATGGTTGTAGTATATGTTGCTATGGTTGTAGTATATGTTGCTATGGTTGTAGTATACGTGGTTATGGTTGTAGTATACGTGGTTATGGTTGTAGTATACGTGGTTATGGTTGTAGTATACGTGGTTATGGTTGTAGTATATGTTGCTATGGTTGTAGTGTATGTTGTTATGGTTGTAGTATACGTGGTTATAGTTTCAATGTATGTTAGAAGTATATGTCACTATGGTTTTATGGATGCTGGTAAAGTAGTAAATTATACAGCTAACATTAGTAGTATAGTATGTGTAAAATTTATATTTATAAATAAAATATGATTGTATTAGAACTCAAGCAGTAGTCCTTGTTTAAATGATAAAGTTATATCAATTATATTTTATTTTTTTCATAACTTTTGTTATATAAAGTATTCAGAGTACCTACCTGGCGAGTATTTATTGTGTCTCAGATGTTTCTTGTACAGAAGAAAGACATCCCCACAATAATTTACGTTTAATTTTTGCAACAAAGTGTAAAATATTATAGAAGTTTTTCTTGTTGTCCCTTCTCCTTGTTGAACATCTTTCTCTTGTTCATAGTTCTTCATCTTGCATTTAACATCGAAAGTTTGAAACTTGTAGCTACTTTTTGTATAAAATACGAGATAACGTATGAAGACTTAAAATGGTGTCTTAAAACACAAGCTTGAATTGTATAAAAACTTTTGTGTATTTTTTAGGAATTAAAAAATATTTCGTCACAAGAGAAGAACTCGGCTATTGTTGATCTTGGCAGCGATGGTGAAAAAGAGACTGGGGCTGAAAGTCAATCCGACGACGACGTTGAGGTGAGATCTTATCTCATTAGATGGCGGATACTTTCAATATTTTAGTCGATGTTTCTTGTAGATTAAATGTTAATGAGTCGTGTGTTAGATAAGAACAAAGTACGTCATGTCATTAATAAAAGATTGATGGTACTGAGATAAACATCTGCCAATGATTAACAATTCTGATCTTTTTCACTTGGAAACTTATAATATTCTTTTATCTGCACTGCACAGCTCTGTAAGCTTATACCTGTTCTTCCAAACGCAAAGAGCATAACTTTTCATTCAAAGTTCTGGGGGGAACTTGAATAGACAAGCTTTATTTTAACTCCATATTTATATAAGTTGTCCTCTTTTTTGCACGAAGTAAAGATTAAGCCTTATTATCCTGTACTAAACAAAGTTTCTTCACTTAACATTTTATAGCTATGCGCTCAGTATAATATTGCAAAGATCATTTCTTTTCAATCCAGTAATACTGAAATAAAAATCTTACCTAAACTTCAGTTAAAAACTTTATAATTTATTCCATATTTTTCTCTCCACCTACCTACATTGATCGATTATCACCGCTTGTCGTTTTTTCTTTTCCAACTTTAGTATTTAGTCTTCAAAGGAATCTTTGTGTGTGGCTCTTTTCCTTTAATCCTGTTTTGCTATAGCTCAAAATTGGCGTAGAGTTTGGTTTTATTTATATCTTTACCTATTTAAAACAACAATTAAAGGCGTGGATTAAGAAGATATTTTCAATATATTACCACTCTTTTTATCTTATTTTTTGACTTTTGTAAAGCAAATTTCACCAACAACATCTGACAGGTCTTTTCCAATGTAAACCTGGCGATAATATTTATTTCCCAAAGGTGGAGAATTAATTTTGAAGAGTTTATGTCGTAGCAGCCACCGGCCTCGAGTCTTCTTTAAATGAGACAGATGTTTTTGTTTTGTGATTTTTCTGCCCTATATTAATTATTTATTGCATGAATCATTTTAGAGAATTTTGAATTTTTATTGTTGCGATTTCAATCAACTAACAGACTTGTGGTTTCCCATATAAATTATATATTGTTGTACATTCATCATTACCTACACTGACACACGTTATCTTATTTTATATTTTAGGTAGTGTAATGTCTGTTGTTCTCTGTTGTTCATTTATTGATAACCAATTGCATTGATGATTCTTCTCTCACGATTAAATTTTTTTTTCAGAACGAGGAAGAAATTGACAAGATCGCGGAAAGTTCTTCATCTGAAAGTGAAGATGGTGACGAAGAAATAGAACGCGGCGAAAGGCAAGAGAATAAAAGTAAGTTTATATACATTGGGGATTTACATCAAAATTTTTTTGTAGTGTCTGTTTAATGAAGAATTTCTCAATTTTTCAAGTCAAATATCGCATTGCTAAAATCCTCACTTTTGTAGATAACTTACACTTAAGCTGTAAATTTAAATATCTTTGTGGAAGTTGCTCTATTCAAAACTCCGATCAATTAGCTAAATAAAGGAAACAAGTGCATGTTAATAATCATCAGTATTTTCAATTAGACAAAGAGCTTCTTCGTGAAGGTCTTGCCGACTTGTCAACTGAGATCAGCATTAAGCAAAAACTTATTGAAGAACTTGAGAGCAGTCAGAAAAGATTGAACCGCATGAAGATGCATTATGAAGAAAAACTAAGCTTGCTTGAACGCAAGATTAAAGAAACTGAGAACGAGCGTGATAGGGTCCTCGAGACGATACATGAACATGATAAGGAAGCCGAACAGAGGAGTGCAAAAGTAAAAACAGATTATGAAAAGAAGATTAATAATTTCAAGGATGAATTGAAGAAATTACAGTCTGCCAAGAAAGAACATAACAGACTCATGAGAACTAAGACGCAAAATGAAACACAACTAAGAAATTTGGCGCGAGATCTGGACGAACTGAAAAAAACCAAAGTGAAATTGATACGACAAATGAAGGAGGAAGTAGCAAAGGGCAAGAAACGTGAAGCAGAACGTGAACGACAAATATCACAACTTAAAAAAGAAAGTCGAAAACGAGAAATCCAAATCAAAAACATGGAGTCAGAAAAAAAACAACGAGAACTTGTGTTGAAACGAAAACAGGAAGAGGTTTGTGCTTGTCATTATAAAAAGAAATTAATAAAAATAAGTAAATTGTAGAAAGTTAAATTACTCCTGTTGGTCTCAGGTGAAACAATTACGCCAGCAACATAAACCAATTTCTGGCAAACTTGGCAAGCAACGAAAATTGAATCCTGTTTCATCCGTCCCTGAGATCTCACTCTCATCAACCGCTACTATGGTCGTCTCTGGAACTGGTGTTGAAGTCCAGCACGTAGATAGATCAGAGCGTGTTAATGGTGTTGCAAGAAACACACGTGTAGCAGGTGTATTCACGAACTCGCGAGGCCCAGTGATAACGACGCAAAGTCCACGAAAAAGGCTGTCTTCTACCCAGATCAAAAAGACTTGGGAAACAATTGAGAAAAAGGTTATATTTTTATGACTATTTATTGTTTAAATTGTACATGATTATTGGTTGAATATAGCTCTTCTTTTACTGCTTTAGTTAAAATGTAATGAAGAACTTTCTATGATTGATGTTCATGTTTTTACCCTAGTGCTGTTGTATAACCTTTAGTTATTTTACACACAATCTTTTGAAGTAATCCTTTAACTCCGTCGAAATAACGGCTGTATATCAATGGGGTTTTTTTGCTACAGATTGAAAGAATTGTGGTGCACAGTCAAACTGTTTCTTCAATGGAGAGTGATATGGATCGTTGGATAAAAGATAGAGATGAATTGAGTAAAAAGATCGAAAATTGTAACACTATGTTACTTGAAGCAAACACTGGAAATGTAACGACAGACATATACTTTATGTCACACAATAGTTTTTCTTTCTTTCTTTTATATATTTCATTTTTATTTGAAATATCCAAAACTTTCTCTTTGTGTAGGACGAAAATGTAACAAAAGATCTCAATGAACAACTGGATGCACTCAAGGCAAATCTTGAATATATTCAAGACAACATTACCGAAGCACAAACGGAAATTGCCGATCTCGAGGTAAGACAATGGTGAAGGTTAAAAAGCTGTGCATCATAAGACAGTTTGATTGTACGAGTATATTTTATAAAGATTTGTCCATTTAAAATCTTTATAATTTTTGTTGTATCTTTGTGAGGATGACGGTGAAACCACTGATATTACTGAAATAATCACAAAATGTTCAGCTCATGAAGCACGTCTACTTATGGAACATTTCTTGAGCAAAACTATTGAATTGGTAATCTTTAGATATTTTGTAGTTGCATTAAAATTTTCTACACTAAAACCTACTTTAAATACTTGTGGGTTTTATTTTTTAGAGTCGTGAGACTGTATCTAAAGATGTCACAATTAAAGAAGTAGAAGCAAAATTAGAAGCATTACGTCAGCATAATGATCTTCAACAAGATCTTTTATTAAATTTACTTCGTACTCCAAGTTCAGATGACGTATCAAACAATACAAAAGATCATAAAGTTTCAGAGGAGACTGTTGATGAACAGGAAATGACTAACTTTGTTACTCAAGGCAGTACTTCTTTTATGGTAAAACATTTAAACCTTCTTCCACACTCTTTTTTTTCATGTATTTTATTTAGAGATTATACATTGCACGAAAAATATACGATTTTGCTGCATGAACTAACACCTACTTTAAAATCAAAGGAAAGTAATTTCAATATTCTAAATTTAAAAATTTTTTCAGAGCAAATCTGAATTTATTGCATTCATGAAAGATGACATTAATCCATACGGGTGAGTTAATGTTACATAAATTATAGAAATTATTCACATTATCGTTGGTCATTTTCGTTTTATTTTGTAGGAACAAAGGAAATTCTAACAAGTCGTTAAAAGAAAAGGTGAATACAAAATGATGATAGAAACACATTGTTAATAAAGTGTTTGCTATATGTGATTTTTTATTCAAAATTTCAGTCACGACGTCGGAGTTCAACACAAAAGGAACTCTTACGTGCCCCAAGACTTGAGAAACATGAGTCCAAACTACCTGTATTTTCTGACATCATAGAAGATGACGAAACCAGTGCTCAGCCTATAACGAAAGACGCTGTCAATCCCTTTGATCTTAAACATGAACTTTTACAATTAGAGAAAACTAGAAAATCTAAAGAATCACCCGATGGCAACTTAATGGCCCCTCCTTCATTGGATGTACCTACAGTAACCACAAGTGTCCCGCAAGATCGTCCCCAGTCTGTCACCAGCTCGTTCTCAACCTCCTTCATACGAGGCACTTTTAAATCAAGGTCAGCACGAAACTTTCTACGGCCAAAGGCTCCTCTCTCTAGTGCTAGTATGACGACATCTACCGAGTCTCGATCCCAACCCACCTCTCCAACGCTTCAGCGCAGGTCATTTGAAGATAAAGGAAAGATGAGCAATGGACAGTTAGTATTTTTTTGTTTATGAATTCTTGTATTGTTTCCGGTGAAGTAATTTCATTACAATACATCATAGTATCTCAACAACATGTTTGAATTAACGATAGAATTAAATCTTCTACAACTGAAACACGTACTAAAATGTTTATTTTACATAACAAAACATAACCGAAAATAACAAAATACTTCATTTGGTGTTTAAAGAGGAAAAAGACGATTTGGAATATCGTTATTCAGACGTGGTTCAAGGTAAAAATTGCTATAAATATATATAGATCAACTACTGAAGACATCTGTTTGCATAAACTTGTCCTCTGTTGTTTCCAATTTTAATAATATCACACAAATATAAATGTTGATTTTAAATCAGTTTTAATTATTAAAATTGCAACAAACTTTTAAAAATACAATAAATACCGTCTTTCACCAGCTCATATTGATTTGTAAACTCCGTCATTGATGAGTAACCTTTTACTTTATTATAGAAATGATGCAGAAAATGTTTTCTCAAGATTAACTAGTACGCTACCACAAGATGCCAATCCAAACACGTACGTTTCTTTAAAAGACAGACTCTACAAAACAATCGTTTATTTATCTGTGTTTTGTTTCTGCTTCAGAGGGCGTATGTTACCTGTAAAACCACCCACAGGAAGACCAGGCACCATGGTCTGTGTTTACGCTTCTACTGGACACAATTCAGCCGTACTCTGTGTATGTGTCAGTGAAACTATGATGTTTACGGGATCCAAAGGTGTGATTTATATTACTACGTAAATTGTTATAACAGTGATGGCATATGCTAAAATTAACAAAATATACAATGTGTTGATATAGATCGTACTGTCAAGATTTGGGATCTTAAAACAGGAGAAGAAACAATGTCTTTAGCACAACATAAACGCGATGTAACCTCAATAAAGTATTGCTATGAGACCAGACGCTTGTTTAGCGTTTCTCAGAATATTATTAAGGTGAGTTGAAGCAATATTCCTTCTACGATTTCGTGAAATGACTTAAGGAAACGAGAGAAGAGTGCATGTTCTAAACTGCTCTTTTAATTGATGAGTTGACATATCTTAGATAAATTATATTGCAACTTTACCTAAGGATAAGGTCTTGTTCATTTAGTACAGACAAAACTCTGACGACGCCAATTTCCTTCGTAAGTTCTATCCTGTTTGTTATGGCGATTTGCAACAGATTATTTTCAAATAAATGTTTCGAAGTTCTTTGAAAAGTTGTTCACAAATCCACAAATCATGCAATTAAATTGAAAAGTCCATCATGCAAATATTTGAAATGAGGAAAAATTATGTATTTTCGACTGTAGTACTGAAAGAAAAGTTCAAAAACTTCATTTCCTTTTTTATATTTTTGAAGATATGGGACATTCGATTGCCTCCTGCCAAATGTATAAAAAGCATAATGTGTGGTATGATGTCAAATGATTCCACTATAAATGATCTAACAGTTGATCATTCTGGTCGTCTTGCTTTTGCTGCTAATGGTAACAATGTAAAAATATGGGATCTTAAAAAGTAAATATATTTCTTTCGTCTATTCATTGATGTCTCCGTAGAACCAAAACATAAGTATTATTCATCAAATTATTTGTTTGAGTGATTTATTCTTATTTTCAGTTATCAAATGATTGGGAAGTTGGGCGGACACACTGGACATGTTATGTCTTTACTTTTACTGGGGAAAAAAGAACCATTCTTGATGTTGACTGGATCTAGAGATCATTACATTAAGGTTATTTTATTTTATATTGTTCTTTATATTGTTCGAGACACATCAATTTATCATATCTTTTTCTCTTTGCTCGCAGATGTTTGAACTTCGTGGCTCGTTGTCTGGAACTCAGGTTATGATTTTCTAATATTTAAGTAACAGGAAAGTGTTTGTCCATTTGAGTCTTGCGACCAGAGCCTCTCCTGGACGATAAGGATTATGCAAGAAAATAGGCGCTGTGAGAAATGTCATAAGCTAACAAGTCATTGTCTTTTTACAGAATCCAATACAGACATTTGAACCACCTCACTATGATGGCGTCCAGTCCCTTGCTCTAGAGGGAAATAATTTGTTCAGTGGATCACGTGACAACAGCATCAAGAAATGGGACTTTTCCTCACAACGAGTTCAACAAGTTAGTAAAGCGTTAACTAATCGAAACAAAACATAAAATGTGGAGCATAAAGTAGAATTTATTGATCCACGCCAGTATATCAATAAAAGAAAATGTTGCCAACATTTTCTATCGGATCAGAGTAGACGTTTAGCTTTTGTGTATTTCAAAAATCTGTATTTACACGTCAACATTATATGAACGAGAACAAATTATGCATTCTTATATAACGTTGGCCTTTGTTTGTAAGGTTGTTTCATGTCTGCCTTAGTTGATTGATGCGTCCTTTTTTTGTCTTTCAGAATCGCATATCCGCTCACAAGGACTGGGTTTGTTCTCTAGACTTTTTGCGTTCGCACAATGTTTTGGTCAGCGGTTGCCGTGGTGGTATACTAAAGTTGTGGGAGCCTGAAACCTGTCAGGAAATTGGTGAGTTCACGAGTTTGGAGTAGAAGAATGGAGAGAGTTGCTGTTTTGTTGCTATTTGTTTGAAAAGTTGAAGGAATGGGTTAATCTTCATCTACTAGCAAAGAAAAATATGTTTTTATGACGATTAGTCATGAAAAACTATAGGATTTCAAAGAATAACTTTGTATTAATTGTAGAAATCAACTGTGTATATTTTCAAAGTAATTTGCTATTTTACATGAAAATGTAAGTTATTAAATTGTTTTTTTATGCCTTAGGTGAAATTAAAGCACATCGGCATCCCATCAATGCTATTGCTACAAATTCATCTTTCTTGTTTACTGCATCAAGGTAATAAACCTGTACAAATATTTATAAATTACTCTTTAACAAAATCTTCACAATTACTGTTTTCTTACATTTTAACATCTCTAATGTTCGGTGAATATTCCCTAATATTTATGAATTTTAGTGATCGTCTTGTTCGTGTTTGGAAACCTACAGATGTTTTGGACGAACAGTTAAAGGGAATATATCATGTTTAAAGATAAGTAGAAATATTTTGTAAATGACTAAAATATTTATTTTATGTATATCGTAACTATATAATTTGTATAGAATGGCCAATATACTATTCGATATCGCTCTTGTTTTTCTATACACTCCCCTGACAATAATGTACATAAAACACATGCATTTATCTACTTATTAATTTATCTTTATCAGCCGAAACGAATAATTTATATTGATTTATAAAATTTATTTATAACACAAGAATATTTCAAAGTTGTATCAATAAATTTATGTGCAAATTTTTGACATATTCGTGTTTTAGGAAATGAATCACTCGTGTTCAAGGTTTATCGCATTGTTTAAGGCTTAGTTTATTCATTGTATTGCATGGACGGATTAACAATGGTTTTTATTGGAGGGGGGGGGAGGGAAGGGTTACTTTAGTACTTTAGTATTAGAGATTTTTAAAAGTGTGCTCCATTCACAACAATCATGCTTTTGTTAAATTGTTTGGTATTGTAGTATTTTGTTGAAAAATTGGCACCGCTAACTTTTTGAGTTTTAGAAATTGCCAAATTTGACAAAAATATCAATTTTCAAGTCATTCATTACTGACATTTAAACAAGCACCGCTTCACATCTACTTGACGGAGTTAAATTCTTTCAGTTCAACTTTTAGAGTACAATTTCTTGAGTCTATTCAGTGTGCAAAACCTTCTACAACGGCAAAAGCGCAATGATTTCACTGTTGGCCAGAAAAACCCCCGGAAATATGTAAATCATCTTCATTTCAAAGAAACATGTAAAAAAAGCACTGAGTACCATCTTCTCAGCTGGGATCAAATCTGGAATAAATTATTTCATATTTTAGCCAATCAGAGCTCGAAAAAATTTATCCTGCAACAATGCTAGTATCTCATAGAAATCAGCCAATGAAATCAGACGACCAAATGAACGTCAATCACTTTTCCAACAGCCAGATGCCCCAAGAGTCGAAAGAGAAAGGAAGGTTTGTAAAATTTTTATTAAATTATTTGAAAGAGAATTTCAAATGTCGATAAATTTGATGGCAAAAGGCTTGTTTGATGTATAGTTACATATTGTTTTACTTGAAAATCTTTTCATCGGTTATTTTTGTGCCATTCGGCGTTTCGTATCTTCACCGTTGTGTTTACTTTGCCAGAGAAGCTTGTCAGTACAAAAACGACAAGTTTGTGTGTTTCAAAGTTTGTCTTTCGGTTTTAAATCAGTGTGTAGCGTACTGCCAGTATTTTGAATGTTTTGAAGTGAAATTTTGTTGAATATTCTTACTTTAAACATGTATTTGTGAATCGATATATTTTCAACAACCAACTTGTGCGACAGACATCTTTCTCGTTTCAACGCAAAAATATGAACAAAATTTTCAATGGTAAGTGACACAGTTGCAAAATGAGTGATAAGCAGGACATGTCCTATTCCTTGGGTTGATTTTTGTTGGTAAAAAGTGTGCTTTTAAGCACAAACTTTGAAGATATTTGAAAAATATGAAAAGGATGGTTCTTGTTGGACCTTGGACTTTCAACGAAATTGGCGCCTTTTTTGTTCCGCGTGAAAATAAAGAAACTGGACACAAATTATGCAAAACTAACCAGCTTGACTATTATATAAACAAAGTTTTGACCGAAGAGAGAAGTGGGGTACAGGCAAAAACTTTCATTCTGACGTTTGAATAAATTAGTTCAAAGTAGAGAACATTTTAAAAAAGTTGTTATTAAAAGTTATTAACTGTTTTTACAGAATTTTGCCAATAAATCGAAATTACAAAGAATTTATAAGTTTTCGCCATAAAATTTATGATATAATTGATTATAAGGTCTCAGTCTAAACATTCGTACATTTTGGAGAATTTCGTGTTATCTTGAACCTTTCATTTGTTTTGTAGTAAACAAAGAGAGCAACGGTGGCGCATTATGATTCATGCACTACATAATGTTTGTCAGATTTAATCATAGTTGTCGTTGATCAAAAACATAGTCATCAGATTAACTCACGGCTATCGTAGATTACATGCACTTTATGGTTTTTATGGATGTACATAATCGTTGTGGTGGATTTCGACAAAACAATCTTAGATTAATCAGTTGAGGATTACGTCAATCTACAAATGAAGACCAAAGACGACGTTTCAGGTTTGTGGTGTTGTACTTAAAATACAGGTTATCAACACTAAAAGGAAGATGATTGGACATTGGTTGACTAATATAACAAAATGAGTTGTTCATTTAATTCCTGTTGTTTTTTCCGGTTTTATGCATAGTGCAGTGCTTTTTGCGGTCAAAACATTACATTGGCGAAATCTTCTATGTGACGTGTAATGTAAGATTATCATTGTAAAAAGTAAAAGAACCAAAACGGTTTACAAGTCAAATGTTACAAATGTCCGATGCCGGGTTTTCATTCTTTTGATCACCTGGATAAGGATAAAATTAACAAGAAAATTACGTAAATGGTTTGAACCCGGGAGTATCGTTACATGTTTGTAAATGTAAATCGTCCAGGTTGGTATAGTCATGAGAAGGACTGTTTTTGTTGTTGTTGACTGACGTTTCGACAACTTTAGCGGTAGTCATCTTCAGAGTCAAAAGAGATTTTTTTGACTCTGAAGATGACTACCGCTAAGGTTGTCGAAACGTCAGTCAACAACAACAAAAACAGTCCTTCTCAGGACTATACCAACCTGGACGATCTACATTTAAAAACATGTAAGAAAATTACGGTCAAAAATATGGCGAAACTCGAATTACAGATTGCACGTTAGAATAGCAAGAAAATGACGATCCAAAACTTGGCGCAATCCGGCATACAAGCTGCATAGCGCACATTAAATTAATTTAAAATAATAACGGCTGAAATATATTCTTGCTTGATAATGCTTCATCAACAATTTTCACGTTTTGCTCATGCAAATCGTTTATATTATGAAGGCTTAAAATGTTTACCAAACTCTGGAAAAAAAGTGATTTGCATCATCAAGATGAATATGCAACAAAAATTGTCCGAATGGTATAATGAACAGCGAAGCAAACTAGGTGCATGAAGCTCGGCATTTCTTTTGCTAAATAGCTGTCAAAATGAATGTTATGACAATGGGAAATCCATGTTAAATTACTCACTGTTGTTTAACTTGAGGAAAAATAAGTCAGAGCAGGAAGATAGTTTAATTATTCATGACTTTGCTCGTCTCCAAAATCAAGTCGAACATCTTCGTCTATTTTATTCATGGAAGATGATTTGATAGCGAGACAAATTACTCCGATACGCAGGAAGGTATATTCGTAAACGGTACCATGATGGTATCTAGGTGATCGAGTGTTGGACACAAGAAGGATTGGCTGGCACACTGTTTTGAGTGTTTGATTTAGTATTACATGAAGTTAATCAAATCTACAAGACATGTTGAATTATTTGAAGACTTTTTCGTTTCAAGTTGGTTTACCCTATATTTTACTGCTGCTTTCGTGTCTTATGTTTGACGAGGCCATGAAGATTTCGTGGATCAACACTGAACCCTATATTAGGGCGCTTCTTGACAATTTTGGTCATGCATTCATTGCCTGCTTATCTTGGTTGGCTACTGTTGGTGTGAGTCGTCGTGGTATTATTCAGGGAATTGGATGCGGTGTTCTTGCTTCGGCTGTGGATATTGATCATTTCTTCTGGGCAAAATCCTTCAGTTTACAGGTTTGAGGTTTTATGTTGTAAATATCATTTGACAGCAAATATTAAAGCTATTTCTACCTAAATTGCAACATCACCCACTTTACTGTGCTCTGCAGCACTCTGTCAATTTTTTACTTTGATTAAAAGTTTGTTTTTCGTATTAGGAGGTCTTGTCTTTGTCATCCAGGCCACCCCTACATTCAACATCCATCCTTATCCCATTATTACCTTTGGTCAGTATTTTGTCCTACAATTATGCATCTTTATCGATATTACCCTTCATGGTAACTGTCTCGGTCATAACACATCACTTGAGAGATGGTGTACGAAGAGGTTTATGGTTTTGGCCAATGAATAGCACCCCTGTATTACCTTACTGGATTTATCTACTTGTCATTATGCTCTTGCCAATGTTAACATCGGTTGTTCAACATAAAACATGTGTGAATAATACTATTCACACGTGGAATTGTGTAATTGCCCAAAAAATGGTTCATAATACTTATGTACTCAGGTGTACTTGATTTTAAACCTATGTACTCATGTGTACCTGATTTAAAACCTATGTACTCAGATATACCTGATTTCAAGCCTGTGTACTCGAGTGTATTTCAAACAGTGCCACTCGTTTCAGATTATTTAATGTATTTTTATGACTTACTGGTCCTATATGCATTCCATGTGAACTGTATGTTTCCCATATGCCAATATTTATTATAAAATATATTACAGAATTGAAACTCCATGTCTGGTTAGTAGGGGAGTAGATAGAATTTGTCTTTAAAGTTATCCATTGAATACATTCAACACTTGTCTACTAGATGCTATTTAAGTTCATCCAAATAACCAAACACATTTCTAATTTTCTATGATAGCAAACTTTAAACAATACTGTTTTTAATAATGATGTACACTTTGTGGGACCTGAATAATATAATCTCTATGAGTGTTTATCTGGTAAGAGTATAGGTATCTAATTTTCTAAGGTGACTTGAGTAATCAAGCGTTCTGTCATTATAATATTTTACTGGATATATTGTTGTTGCTGAGAGATATTCATCTAAAGTCCTTTCAGCACATTTTGCAACAAATCGTATAAATGGACGCACATCTCCACCATTGGCATCTTGTAAGCAAGCATAATAGTCATGTCTTTCTGACACTTTGATTGTTACAGGTGGAAAACCTGCCTTCATCAGAATTAAATTCATAAGTAAACGAGCTGTCCTACCATTGCCATCTGTAAATGGGTGAATATAGACAAGTCTGTAATGAGCTAGGGCTGCAAATTCTATTGCATGAAATTTGCGAATATTAGGTGATTCAAGCCAGGAATCAAACTCATCCATAAACTGTTCAACATCAGTTGGATGAGGTGGAACATGATTGCCCACATATACCTGAGTGCTTCTAAACTGACCAGCTTCCATTGGATGTGCATGCCCTAGCACACGTCTGTGTATTTCAATTATGTTTTGAACTGAGATGCTGTGTGTCTCTTGCACTAATGTTGTATTGATATATTTAAGGGCTTCATCTAAACCAAGAATTTCATTATGTTCTAATACACTTTTTCCATTCACTGCCATTTTTGTTTCTACTACTGATCTTGCCATGGATAATGTCATAGTGTTCCCTTCAATGGCAGTGGTATGATGTATATGTTGATAGTAGGCCTCCTTCATTGCTCGCTGCAAAGCAGCATTCTCCTCTGGTATTTCATACAGTTTATAACGTTTATCATCAATCCTAGACAGCATATCCTGGTCCAATTTCTGAACCATTGGAAATGTCCTCTGTCTGTTTTCTAAAGCTTGGCTATGTGATGGGTTATTGATCAGTGCTTTTGTATAAAGATGCTCAGCTTCAATAAGTTTCTCATGCTCAAGAAATTCACCATATGCATTCAAAATATCTGCATTGCTAGGTGAAAGTTTTAGTGCTTGTTGGAAGAGTTTCAAAGCCTTTCCAGATTTCCCTTCCTCGTTCATTTTTAAGGCCATATGAAGAGCAGCAAGAGCTTCTCCATTGAGGATCACTAAAACAATGTTGGATGATTGTTATGTGCAATAAAAAAGAAAAATCAACAGTTGCTGATTGTTTGAACAAATCTTTCGATGAAATTTATGATCAGAAAATGATGTAGAAATTTAAATGTTGCTGTTGGTTGCTAAAAGTATTCACGGTATGAGCTAGTATGAATGAACTCGTCTGTTTTTATATGTTCGGTAATATTAGCTGAAAAGTTAGGCCTTACATGCTTCTGTCTCCGTTGTTGGAGGTTTTATATGTGATAAAACCGGAAAACGAAGTCTTCTTTCCCCAAAATTCAACATTTCGTGAGAAGCGGTATCCCTTCCCAGTCCTGTGTAGGTCGTGATCAATTTTAAGTTGACTAAAATCCATGACACAAAGCACACAAAGGCAACTCCAACAACGTAGATTGTAGTCGAAATTGGTTTTCTTTCGTCCAATGACTGTCTTTCACTGTGTGTGTTCATCATTGATGGTTTTTGATGAATTTCACAGAAAATATTTGACGACTGTAATTTAGCCATGTTTACATTTTGAACGAATTTATCAACAGGAAGTAAAAGTGCAAAATAGTAAAAATGTTACGTGTATGTGGATGGTTTTGATTGGTCAATTTGGTATTGCAACTTTTGCAAGTTGAAAACAGGTACGCTCTACGTACATGAATCTTGTAAGGTTTGCTGAGCTGAGGGTTGGCCGCACTGGAATTTTTGAATTGGAACTATCTAAATAAATTTTAATATTATCTACGTATTCTTATATAAGTCTATTGTTGTCTCGTGACACTCTCTGAAACTTTGATCGAAATAACCAACAGAACAGTTATCTTTTACAGGCTTAAATATATCAAGTCCTCTTCCGATCTTCACAGTCCAACCATTGTCAAATATTATCTCTCTATCATGCAAAGTATCAGAGTATGATATCTCCAGGTTTATATTATATTTTTTTAAGCTATCTGATAATTTTTTTAACTTTTCTGCTTGCATCATTCTGTCTTGATGGTAGCCTATTGATTAAAAAATTGTAAATTATTGGATCAAATTGGGGACTTATCTTTTTAATGACTTTGACTAATGAACAAATAAACAAAAAAGAATACCTGTCACAAGGAAAATTTTCTTTACTGTTTTAAGATGCACTAGCAACTCACAAAATCGGACAAAGTTTAATATTTGATGATGTGCTCTCACATATGGATCTTCAACCCTCACTTCTGTCAGCTCTCCAATCAAGCACTTCTCAAATATTTTTTGATAGGTATGACCCTGCTCACCATCTTTGATCTCGATTTTCTCATGGTGTTTTTCACACTGACTTTGAACCAATGGTTTAATTATTTCACCACGTCTTAAATATTCATCAAGTTTCTGTCGTAATGCTTTTTTTTTAACACAGTCTGTTTCTTTTCGTAAAGCAATCATTAGCAAACTAGTTCCTTCTTGATAGCAGATCAAAGCTTCTTTATAACGATGACTGTTGTCTAAATCTACAGCTCTTTTTAGCACTCCTGTTGCTGCCTCTAGATCAACCATATTGTTTATTTTCTTTTGTTCTGCATAGAATTTTTACAAATCAAATTAATCTGAGTTCATAATGCAATTACAGGGACAGTTATTAAAAACCTGCTTAAATTGTAAGATTATTGCATGAGTGGTTCAAATTTTCTATTTGGATGAATTCGTATTCTTGTCAAATACAACTTTTGGATTGGAAGGTTGATCCTGATAAAATGGAAGCACAGAAGACAACTATACTATAGATTACACTGAAAAAAGTAGACAGTCATTCCTTAAAATGGAGGCACAAACCGCAATTCTTTAAATTTTTATAGCAATTATTAGTTTCTACAGCAGTAATGGAGGAAAACGATGAAAGATATAGTCGTCGTCCAAAAAGTACGTACTAAACCATTTGTGTTTATAAGGTGATATAAAAGAAGATGTTGAAATCTTCAAATTACATTTTTTTTAGATTCAGCATTTAAACAGCAAAGACTTAAAGCTTGGCAACCCATTTTAACCGCTCAAGTGGCAACAATATTTTTTCTTTTTATTTTTGTTCTATTTATTACACTGGGTTCCGTTCTTCTTGTCGCTTCAAATTCTGTAAGTATTTTTATGATTATTGAAACAGTTTTTGTAAACTTTCAAATTTAAAAGCAACTTTTCATATTTTATGCCATGTTTGATGAATGTTTGTGAACAAAATTAAAGCATAACTGAGTTTTCACCTGGCGTTTGTCTGAATATCCAACAGCTTTCGTTATCATACTTACGCTTCATGAAATTTTGAGTCGTTTACTTCAAGATCATTTAACAACTTATCTGAACAATATATTTGTCATTGGGACTGATATTTTGTTCTTCCTAAATTGTAGTAACTATTATTTAACTGTACGTTTTCACTAAAAGGTGATTTTTCGTCATTATATTTTCTTGCCTATGTTGATATCTCTAATGGCTGTTTGTAATGAAATCTTAATAACTTTATCATATATCTGTTTATTAGGTCAAGGAAATAACAATTGACTATACTAATTGTAAAAAAAGTCACAAAGAACAAACATGTGCAGAGTACATTGAAAAAAATGTGAATGCCAAGCGTGATAAATGTGTTTGTTCTAAGAGGATTGAGTTAAATGAAGACATTGACAAACAAGTTTATCTTTATTATGGCCTCACTAACTTTTTTCAGGTTTTTGTATCTGTTGTATTGTATTATTGATTCAAATTAAATCTTTCAGTGAATCTTTCATTAAATGTTTCATTGAAAATTTAACTCCTTTCTTAGAATCATAGACGTTATGTAAGGTCACGGGATGATTCACAGCTACGTGGTGATCTAAGCCGATCTGTCAGTGGTGACTGTAAACCATATGATGAAAACAATAAAAGCATAGCTATAGCTCCTTGTGGTACTATAGCCAACAGTTTATTTAATGGTAAGTAGAGCTAATGATGATGTTAAGAGAGTACTTTTGTTGCCTTTTTCCTAGTAATGTTGATGTAATGACTTTTACTTTTATAAAAAAAAGTTTTAATGAAACTATTGGAGAAAGTCATGTCTTGAAACATCCCGTTTGAAATAGTTCATTGTTCAATAGAGTTAATAGAAGTAATGCAATTAGTAAAAGTTTATAAATAGTAGGTTGTTCTTGCTAAATCTCTTAGAATAACATTTTAGAACTGATACCTGGGATTAATATATTTTGGTTTGTATATTATTTCTTGTGCTGATAATGGCATTTCAAGAATAAATAATCGTCAAACAGATATGGGAATGTAATAAGTTATAAATTAATTTTTGTTTTAGATACATTTACTCTGTACCGCGAGACAAAGAACGAAAATGAGACAGTTAGTTTGACGTTCAAGAATATTGCTTGGAAGTCTGATCGTGAAACAAAATTCAAGAATCCAAGCAATATGGATGAGTTTAAGAACTTTGCCAAGCCTCCTAACTGGAGAGAACCTGTTAATGAATTAGACGAAGATGACAAGAGCAATAATGGTTTTAAAAATCAGGATTTTATTGTTTGGATGCGAACAGCAGCTTTTCCGACATTTCGTAAACCATATCGAAAAGTTATTCATGAAGGTCCTTTCCAAGATGGTCTACCAAAGGGAACATATGTCTTGAAAATCCATTACAGTATCCTTTATAAATCTGTCTGTGATTTAGGAATCAAATGAAATATATCAACAAAAATAAAACCATGTGACTGTTGCTAAGGGGGGGCAGGATGGTTGCCATGGTATGTTGCTAAACCCACACGCTGTTTTGTCCTTTAAAGGCTTTACCAGTGACCTACTTGCAAGAATCGACCATCTTGCCTATTGAACTCTTTTTATGCTGGATCTCTAAACTATGATAATCTACCACAACTTGGCAAAAAACATGGTTTTTAAACTCGAACTAACAGTTTTTGTTTGTTATAAGAAAAAATGTTACGAAATTGCGAGTCAGTACAGTAGTATTTACAATCATTTACTGTTAGAGCAAACGTCTAGGGATTTTTGGTTATCACAGACATCCACATTATACATAGTGTTTACCTTGACCAAATAAACTTAGATTATCCTGTGACTAGTTTCGATGGTAAGAAAAGATTTATCATCAGTAATACGTCCTGGTTAGGTGGAAAAAATCCTTTTCTTGGTATAGCGTACCTGGTAGTTGGGTCTCTCTCAGGTCTTATGTCTGGAGTGTTTTTTTTTATTCACTTAAAGGTGAAATCAAGGTAAACAAAATTTTATTTAAAGTTTTTCACAAATTCAAGGCAAACATTTGGTTCACGTTTTTTTTTACAAAATGTAGCTAATATTGTCGGAAGACGATTATGCAAATATATTCTTTGTAATAAAATTGGTATTTTCAATGATATACACGATTTATTTGTGTTCATCAATGATATTAAAAATTAAATTTACATTAAATTTGGTTCACAATAATTTTAACGTAATTTACAAATAAAACTAAATTTCCTTATTTTTTTCAGGCGGCATGACCATGTTACCGACGGCGTTTCCTTGGGCTCCATGCGCCATTAAATACAATATGAAATAATTTAAATTAAATATAAATAGATAGACAGAAATACTGAAATTTTCACACTTAAAACTTGCAATTCATTAAACTTCTACTGCCATAATGCGCCTACCACAATATTTATTTTGTATCACTAAGTAAATCTATTCAAAAATACAACGAAAGTTTGTTGAATAATTTTGTGGTCAATTGATTTGTTTATCTCTGTTATTTTTCAATGTCATGATGTCGTTGTTTTGCAGCTCATGGCAAAGTAATACTTATTTTCAATTAAATCAAGTTTTTTCATTTTATAGGGCTGACCACATCTCGTAGTTGGGTTATAACATGTAATGTTTGTACATAAATAACTATGTATTATAGTAGTTTTGAACGTTGTGAACTATTACTCTTGTAAAAGTCAAAGAAAGTTGAGCTACAGTTCCATTGTGATTGGCATTAATTTTTGTCTAAAATTGTTCTACCTGCCGATAGTTTTTTGTTAGAATTTTTTATTCTAATTTTTTTAAACGTGTCATATTCCTGATTATCATGCTACATCTAACATGTATATCATATCTTTTTTCTCCATTGCATGTGTATCCATCAAGTTCCCTTTACTATGTTGTTGTGTGATTGAAAAACTTTATAACAATTTTTGTTCTTCGGTTACGATCTTGGGGTTTTGTGAAAACCACAAAGACCGATCTCAGTATTAGTTTTCTTTCTTTTCCATATCCGACTATAATTTATTCTAGATTATGTCTACTACTTCTTTCATCCACGTTTAGAGCATAATTCCTGATGGCGTGATTCTCACGCTCTTCATTCGTTTTCAAACAAATACAATAAATGGTGTTCAGTTTGTTTTCTTCACATATAGTCAGCTGCCTTAGTTCACATGTTATATAGGAAATCACAGAATATATAATGTTATAAAACTAACATAGGTCATATTCATACATTAAACAAACACAGCATGGTTTTCAACGTTTTTATTAGATGCGTTTATTCTAATAAAAAGTAGAGAACAATAACTAACAGAATTGTAAGATAGGTCATTACAATACAGGGTACACACACACCACTTGCACATTCCTCAAGAAATGAATCGACAGAGGAATAGGCCAATATGTAAACGCACAAAAAATTCAAAACGTTGAATCAACCTTTCTTAACTTGTTGACAAATTTTGACAGTCGATGCTTTTCAACTGATTTTGTATCAACCATAAAGCATGTTGTAAATGTGCTCAGAAAATGGCTTGTTTTCAAAAAATGTTCAGGAAATTGAAGTATTGTAATAGACTGGACAAGAACCCTTTCAGAAGATGAAGCATATGGGAACAGATTGAGCCACTTCAAAATAACTCTACAGAACTTTTTTAATATTTGTCAATATTTTGTCGCCCGAGGTTTATTGATGTCTTTTATGCATAGGGATTTATGCTGATGTGTTTTTGTAAATATTTGAATACAAAAGAAGCGGTATTTAGAATTAAGAGCTGTTAGCTACGAGACTGTAGAACTAATAAATCCTAATTGTTTATGGCCGATATCAACATATCTCGATATGTTATGTGAGTCTTTGTATTTACCACCCCCATGGATGAAACTGGTTGATAATTTTCACAACATATGTTGCCTGGTGAACTAAACTATCTTTCATGAATGCATATAAACTATTTTAATTTTCGTCACTGTTCTATGTCAATATTTTCAAGGAGAAAGGAAGCTCTATACATCAGTATAGTACGTTCTGCTCGATTGCTTATTGTTCTATATTTATTCATAACGAAGACAGGATGTGCAAAAGGTATAATTATAAACAAATGTAAAATGAGCAAGCAAGTGTGAATCATTATCAGCGAGAAAGTTGCCTATCTGATCAATCGTCATTGCCTGGAAATCAAGAAAGATTGACAGAATGGCAAACGATACTTTAGCATCAAAAGCTACCGAGTTGTTTAATCTTTGTGACCATGAAAATAAAGGATACATTACAGAAAGGGACCTTAGTATGGTTGTTGAAGAACTTGGTCTATCTTTGACACAAGAACAAATTACGCTTACCTTCGTTAAATTAGATAAAGATGGCAATAATCATCTGACTTTGGCTGAGTTTATCTCAGGTTTTGACTTATTTCTGGGTGCCGAACGATCAGATACAAATTTCAATACTTTAGATTACTCAAAAGGGCATCAGTTATTTAACATCTGTGATCGCGAACTTAAAGGATTCATAACAAAATCAGACTTGGAGCGCCTGTCTGATGAGTTTCAACTTACCAAAGAACAACTTGGCGATTTGTTTGAAAGCTTGGACCTTGATGGTAATGGTCGTTTAACGTTAGAGGAGTTTGTTGCGGGTTTCGGTAAATTTCTTGATTTGAACGATACTCGTGATGACGAGACCGTAGGAACGGTGCTAAGTCCTGTTGAAAATGAAAATACTTATGAGAGCGATGGAAACTTTTCGATAAACTCTCCAATGCTCGCTGAAAGTATGTTTGAGGAGATTACTGAGAAGATCGGCAATGACTTTTTATACGGGTAAGATTGAATTTTTTTAAAAGATCTTACTATTTTTACTTAAGGAGGAAATCTTAGATACTCTATTAAAGCTGAATATCTTTAAAGCTGTGCTATCTATACACATCATTTTTTGTGTGTATGTCTTGTGACTAGAAATACCGTCAAAATTAAAGTTTTCGTGGGATGGTTTCTTGCAATAATATTACTGTAAGCCTGCCTATGGCACAGCTTATACAAAATTACTTATAATTTACAGAGTTTTGTCAAAAGACCAATTGCTTGAACTGTGGAGAGCGATTTCTTCAAATGAAATAGTTGGATTTGAAAAACTAACCGAATTTTTGAGCAAAGTTTCTCAAGAAATTAAAAGATCTCATGCACAGGCGAAAAATGTTGAGGAGACATTAAAAGGGTAGGAAACATTCATGTACTATCGTGTTGTTGAAAACAGTCATGCACAACAATTTTTCGTGATTCTTTATAAAAAGACTTATTTTTTATTAACCTCCTACATATTTTTGTGGTTCTAGAAGATGGGATGTGTTTCATCTGTTGTGCACGCGATAATACTACCTTCATTAAAAATGGGTCATTTTTTTCTCATTTGGTGGTTATAAGACGTAAAATTTTTGTTTTTTTATTTTTCCACTTTAGACAAGTTGAGGCACGCGAATATGAGATTCAAAAACTTTACGAAAAGATGGATGACCAGCTACAAGAGGAACGCATGGACATGAGCTCACATGTAAGAAAATAAAGTAAGCATTTTTAAAACTCACAGAAATTTTTAAATCTTGATTTTCTCCATGTTTTTTGCGCAGCACGAGAAACTAGAGAAAGCGATAAGAGAAGAATTTCAAACTGAAATGGCGATGAAAGAAAAGGAACTTCAGGAGTTGTTAGATCAACAGAAAGAAGTAAGCTAAAAAAAATTGTCATTTAAAAAACACTCATAATTTCCATTTCAATAAACAATGTTTTCAAGCTAAGTGTTTAAATTGGCATGGTGCTTTTGATGAATACGTACAATGAAGAAACTTTGGTCGTCATCTTTATTTTTACGTTGATGATTTTATATTCTTTTGTTTAGCTTGAAGAGAAGATACATCATCTAAATCGTGTTGATGCCGACGTTAGGGAAGAAAATTCCAGATTGCACGAGGTAGAAAATGAACACAAACTAATATATCCCCATGATTCCAATAAGTTAAAACTATTTATGCGGCAATTGTTGTTACTAGTAATCACGTTGTCTCGATATTCTTTTACGTTACATCACCATCTCGGAATGACAACTTTAGATTGTCTAGAAAATAAAACTTTTCGGATAATATATCGTACCACTCAAAAATGAGCAAGATTTATAAATTTTCAGGCTAATATACAACTTCAAAATGAACTTGACGAGTCCAGCAGTAGTTTGGAAAATACAAAATCATACGTTCAACATTTACAATCTTTGACGAATGAAGAAAGGCAAGAACGACAAAGGTTTGTTCTTTTACTTCTTGAGCTATTAAATTTGAAGTAAATATGTTTAAGCTTGAGTATCTCTAACGTCAATGATGCCTTAACGCACTCGCATTTACTCTTCATGTGAGTGATATTTTCATAAAAAACTATGAATCTTTCTATTGAATGGGAAGTCAAATTCTTCATGGTTTTAAAGTAATTAAGATCTTAATGGCAATGTTAATTTCTTTTTAATGACTTTATGTTGCAATTGGTACTGCTTTATACAATCTGCGCCGTCTTCAATGAAATACAAAATACTACAATTTACATATATTAATATGAATAGCGAATATGATTATATTGTCAGAGATTTGAACACGTTGTGCTCATATCAGCTTTACTACCATCTCTTTATCTCTGAGTATTTCAAAATCTAGCTAGTTATTAAACAACTCGCTAATAACATTTTAACAAACTATAATTTTTGAAGACCAACTTTCTTCATTTTACAAAAACCTTAACAATCTCTGATCTATATACATTAATTAACTGAATTGTTTGCATACTCCCATTGCCAACTTGTCGCATGAATATTGCAAAAGTATCTTTGTTTTGAATTGCTTCAAATGACGCGTTCAGCAAATATCAAAATTTCTCTTTGATGTTGGTAAATGTATGCAATATTAAGTTATTGACGCTTTTTATTCAACTTATGTAACACGACACTGCGGAATTTTAATCTTGTCGAATTAATTTTGATACTGAAAAATTTTGCTCTCCTATTAAATGAACGAAGCATTTCTGGTATGTGTCATAGCGTCGCGATGTTTATCTTACATTTGCTTGGCGTATAAAAACAACGAGTTGAGGTTTATGGCGCCTTCTTATTACAAGATTTTTAAGTAAAAGAAAAGTCGTTTGCTTTCCTCAAAAAGGGATTTACGAGAAAGGCCTTTGCGAAAGTACTTTGCTAGAAAGGATCGTAAACGAAATGAGCGTCGATTTATCAAAGGTATGTGGATTACTGATGTGCAGTTTTAAATAAAGGAATTCAATGTTTATAGTAAATTCACATACAGGGGGTTACATTGTTAGACTATGTTTTTCTTCTTTGATTTATTCTATTCATATTTTTTAACTCCCTTCACAACATTGGTGAAATGAATCTAATTTGTCGTTTCCTCATGTTTAACTGCCGTTGTAATTTGATCGACTGCCCATATAGGCATGCCCATTTTTTGTGTGATAATCGCAATACTTACCCAGACTATAATGTTTTAGGTTGGGCTTCACAACTTTTTCAACTACTATGAATTATAGCTTTTCTTTTGAATTTCAACAACAAATATTATTTAATTTTATATGCATATTTACATGTAACCATATATTCTCTTATTGCTTTGCCACATATGACGTGTATCAAAATGGAAATGTGTATATTTGGATTGAGAAATCTTCACATACATGTAAGATTTAGCCAGGCTATGTAAGATCATGCTTGCAAAAGTAACTAAAATTAAACCAAAATACTTTTTCTCGCTGTACTCCATTCAAATACCATGAATGCTCTTTAATGCGCACTTGAATTGTAATTGAGCGTTTCATACATTGATCACAAGAGGAGTACAACGTTGTCAACGCCATATTATTAAAATATTTGGTCAAAGACAAAGTTCAAAATTTTCATAATAGTTTGTTCGTCAAAAATTATAGTTATTCATTAAAGAAACGAAAGAAAGATCTTTCTAAAGACAAATGTCATGTAACTGGCAAGTTTTTGCTTTGCCGTCAAACATTTAAACAAATTATGAGATTTGGTTAATTTGTTATTCATAGTTACAATATTTTTCTTATATTTTTCAATATAACTCTAATCAATAGCACCACCTGAGAAAAGAATATAAAATTCACTTTTTATTTCACAACATTGATCAACTAAGCAGCATTTAATTTATTTACTACGCTTCATATATTGAGAATATTAATGCTATAATTAAGATACTTTCATATTTACAAACATTCACAACAAATTTTGCATATTGTTTCAGCCAAGATCGTCTGTAGAGCGTGCATATTCGTCTGCGTCGTCGACGACAAGCAGTCGGCGTTCAGGACGCAGAAAGAGACGTAGAATGAAGCATACAGTAATGCCTTTGAAGAGAAGATCTAATAGAAATGAAGTTGCCTGTGACGTACATCGTGTCTCTAATCTTGATATTGAGGAGATGGAACAATCTGCATGTTTCTGGGTTGCAAAGAATATCGATGATCCTTCTGAACGCAGTTTTAAAGAAGATGTATTTATTAATAAGGATCAAGATTCCTCAGCTGATGACGAATTGTCATGTGCTGAAGATTTCTCAACATTTGATGAGTCTATTGATCTCATGTCTGAAGAAGCACGTGACCAATCAGAGTATATTAATGAATACGTTGAGAAAGAAAATGATGCAAATTATGCAAATGAAAAAAGGGAAAAGTTTGTTTATAAGAATGAAGATAATGATGCAAATTATTCAGAGGAGAAAATGTTTTACGGTGTGCGCAAAGGAAAAGTCAACCAGACTGATGATTTACAGCGCGTAACACCAGTACCATTACCAAGAAAGAAGTTACGAATGAGTGACTGCTCTGATGATGGTCAGAGTGGCTTTAGTAGCGAGGGGACTGGAATGCATGTCGGCTGGACCTCTGATGTTGTTTCATCAGGGGCAGAATACAACGAAAGTGATGGTGAAGGAGAACGCAAGAGGTCTGGTTTGAACAGCAAGGAATTTTATGGATACCGCAAAGATAATAGTGGATTGGCAGGTGAGTCATTATTACATAGTAAGACCATAAAAAAGTTAACTAACATAACGAACTATTTTTTCAGAATTTCCAACAAGAAAAATTCGGCAACAACATGTAGATGAAGATACCGATCTTGTTGTCATAGCAAAAGATGTTACAATAACGGAATCAAAGCATGTCTCCGACAGCAATCATCCTAAAGATATTGGAATTGATTTTCAGCAGACAGATAATATTGACGAAAACAGCAATTACCCTCCAATAGATGATAAAGATGAATTTAAACGTCGACATGAAAATTCTCGCTACGATCTTCAACCGTATTTATCAAGTGAGAAAAACAAAGCTTCCTCTGATACAGAGCTCGTCAATTTTCAAAGTTTTGATGAGGTAGAACGCTGGAGTGACAAGTCCCTCCCGTTGGGCGGGCACAAAACTAAAACCCAGTATTACTCTGTTGAAGATCTCATCAAAGCAAGCACGGAAGAAGATTTAAAAGAAGCCGGGATGGAGGGCGAAGGCCCAGAAATTCCTCGTATTGGAGCGTACGAGAACTACCAACCTCCACGTGACACGCGTAAAATTGATGGGGAAAACGACGTGCCGACATTTGAAAATGAGCAGCCAGAAATAATTCCTAATGCATTGAACACACAAGTGACGGAAAACAGAAACCTTCAAGAAAATGAAAGCAAAGTTATTCCTGCTGACGCATATCCAGTAAAGTACATAGAAAAGGAGCAGCATGATTCCAATGCATATTTATATGAAGAAAGCAAGATATTTTTTGGCTATAGACGGAAAGAAGAAGTAAACGAAGCCGACAATCAAGTCACTGAAGAAACGAGCGTCCAAAACCACCAAGATAATGTCAACAGTTATCCATCGAAAGATAGTTATACGTCTTCAGAGTATGATCTCCATGGTCCTACAGGAGACGAACAATTAAGAAATGAAGAAAAAAACAATCCGAAATCCTTTCCCGATGACGATTCTAAATATGAAAAAAATAAAGGCTTCTACAAAGGCAAGCAAGAGGGCTCTCATAGAAGAGATCAATCGGACGGTGTGTACCAGCATAAAGATCAGACTACAAGGGATGATTCAAAGATTTGGCATGAAACAAAAGAATTTTATGGATTTCGAAAAACAGCAAGCGTAGAAAGTCTGTCGCACGTTGACAACCAAGGTCAGACGCAAAAATGGGAACAAAATCAGGAGTTTTATGGTTTCAAACAATCGAAGACTGGGGAAGAGTTTGCCAGTCCACAATACAAAACTCAAGGGAGTGGAGATGATCCAACAAACATTTTTACGGAGAGCCGAGAATTTTATGGTTTTCGTCGTTTTGGATCGAGTGAAAATGTTTCCAAACGAGGAGGTGAAGGCCAACATTGGGAGGAGAGTCGAGAATTCTTTGGTTTCCGAAGGGAAAAAATTGTTGATGATCAAACGCACTTTGCTGCTAGCGAACAACTTAAGAAACCGCAGTCTTTTCATCAGAAAGTAGATACGAAACCACTGTATCTTGAGGAAGCAAAAAATGGCTCCTCTGACAGAAAAAGACAACATGAAAATAACCGTGCTTACGATGAAAGAGTCAAAGAAAATCAACCCAACGATACGAAATCACATGAACAACAATCATATGGTCCAAACGAAAAACAACCTCGTCAGGAGCCTGTAATGAAGTCTACGGAGCAAGAGAATTTGATGCTTGTAGATGATTCACGAGATCTAGAAGAAAGTTTGGAGTTTCCTCATTATACAAGACCCGAAGATCTTCCTCGCTCTTCTGCATATGAGCAATACGAGAGACCAGTTACGCCTTTGCAAGAAGAACCAATGCCTGATCCTGTGCATGACGAAGGCCAGGACGATAAGGAAGAAACAGTTATAGATGTACCGACAGAAACTTTATTGACGGAAAGCTTACCCACTCAACAATCACGTGATACCATTCAACGAGAAGTGAGTAAAACCGAAGAAGAAACACCAAATTCTGAGAGCTCAGACGTTGGACTCAAAATGTTTCGTCAACGGTCATTACAAAGAAATGACAAAAAATCACGATTTTCTGAAGAGATAGGCAAGCGTGCTGATAAAACAGGTAAGACTGAGCCAATCGCAGCAAGGGCGAACAAACTCAAAGAAACGACGAGAAAAAGTGACTCAATCACTAAAAGATCGGCTATTGAGAAGAAAAATGTTGAGGAATTGGTGAGCGTGTTTAACACACTTGAAAATGTTCAGAAAACAACAGAAAACAGCAAGACTGTTGACACGAAGACGTCAAACTACCTTGGTAAAAATGACAACAATCCATCTTCTAGAACTTCCATCTTTAAAAAACGAAATGACGACATCTTAGACTCTGTGGACAAAAATATTCAAGATGAAGAAACACAAAAAACGTTCGAGTCTGTTCGAGAGCCTGAAACCACCCATGATGATCAAGATAAACAAGAAGATGTTGTTGTCAAACGAGAAGAAATACCAGTAGAAGCATTTGCTCATGAAAAATCAAAACAATTCCCTAAGTACAAGAAGTTAATTCCGTACAGGAAGCCTAGAGGTTACGATTCAAGACGAAGTCGTGACGATGATGACGAAGTTTACCGAGCTGAAATTCGAAAATCCCGCGAGGATTCATGGAATCAAAGGCGAATGTCAAGTAAAAAGAATTCTGGTTCAAAGTCAGACGGTGAAATTGAGGGATTCAAGACTACATTTAGGAAAAGGGTGATTACACCTGGTACACCAGTCAATATCAGGTTGTATGGTTTGAACTTGCAAAAAACTGACCAAAAGAAAGTTTTCGACGTGGACTGGGACTTAGTTGATAATACTCAAATTATGGTGAATGAGAATGTCGAACAAACACTCCTTGAGAAAGAGTCTGTTGATATGGAGGAGATTTCTGATGAAAGAGTTCCGGTAAACGAAATGATGAATCCAACAAAAGTTAGCAAAAGTACATTCTATTTGGAGCAAATACCTGGAAATGAATCCGTTATTAATGATCCTTATGTTGAAAAGCATAGCTTTGTAATTCCAGGCACGGATGGTGATTTATCTTATACACTACCTGAGCAACAGAAACCGATATATCTTAGTGAGCAACAGTTGCCAATGAAACGTGAAAAGTTACCTACAGAAGACAACCGCAGTGATATTGAGATACCAATAAAGAAGTTACATGAGACAGAACTTCTCAAAAAGCAAGATTCTCTGAATGTAGACATTGAATATGATGGCCAGGAAAAAGACGAAAGTGAAATTCCTAGAGATAATGTCTTTTACGAGAAAAGTTCTCTTCGTTCAAGTACGCCACGTTATAAGAAACAACCTTCCATGAGGAATGAAGATTTTATAAACGGCGACAAAAACTATTCAACTCACGAAGAGTCCTCTGAGAGATACGAGTCGACGTCACATGACACCTCGGATGGTGTGGACACAACAATTCATACAACACGAACAACGAAGACAACACGAACTGAAACAACTGAAACGACAGTAAAGACTATAAGGAAATCTGGAGGGAGTCAGTCTAGACCATCAATGGAAAGTGATGAGACTTCTGTTGAAATAGAGACGTTTGATGCAACTAATGCTAAAGATGAGACAGATTCTCGTGCTGTTAATGATCAATCTACCAAAGGAAGGTCTGTTGAAAGTGAACTTGATTATGATAAAAACAAGTGTGATGAACCGCATGAAGTTTCAACTGACTTTACAATAATGGAGAATGGAACAAGTGAACCAGTCAATGTTACTAGGCTTGGTCGTATAGATAACAATGAAGATATCCAAGTTTTGCAAAGTCGAGAAGATCATTTTCTTCACACTAGATTGAAAATGATTTCTGAAAATAAGCAAGCAAATGACAAAAAAAGAGCCAAAAACGATAAATTGCTGGAACCAATCACCATTTACCCAGATGATGTTGACGGCAATAATCGTGTCACAGAACAATTGCTCATTCCAATTTCTGGCAACAAACTAAATGAAAATTTTGAAAGAGAGCATACACCTGACATTGAATTTTTGCAGGTTGACGAAAGCACACTACAGACTCGGATAAACGAAAGTGTCCACAAGTCTGAAAAGCCACTGCATTCGTGTGTCCGGCGAGTTTCACTTACGGATTTATTTGAACGTCCAAAACCACACGAGCCAAAACTGGAGAAAGAAGATAGACTTTCAAAATTGATGCCGGATTTTCAGGCAGTCGAGGACATTAAAACCCCCATCTTTGAAAATGTCAATTCATCAGAAAAGCCAGATGTTGGAATAGAATTTTGGGAGCCTAATACAAACCGAGAAATAGAAAGAATCGAATTTCATCCTGATGAAGACGAGTCTCTTGAAACACCACCAAGCGAAGATATTGTTGTTTCTTTAGACAAAACATTGATCGACGAGCAAGTATTTAAAGAACGCACAAATGTTGCAACATTACCAAACTTCGAACTTCAACCAGTAAATGAAAGTATTGTTCCTGAAGTTAGAGATGACTCTTTCGAGATTCCTAAAGTGCTGAATGAGAAAACTGTTGAACCTGTCGAAGAGATTGTCCTCGCTTCAATCCATACTTCTAAAGATGTGTCTATACCCGACCTCAAAGAAATGCGTCCACTACCTACCCCTTCTATTGTTCAGGAAAATATCACCTCTGAGGCAAAAGAATTTAATTTTGAAATTCCAGATTTTCCAGATGAAATGCTGGTTGAGCCTGTTAAAGAGAATGTTGTTGCCACAGGCCTCTTGAAAAATAAAACATACGTTCCAGATTTTGAGGAGTTTATCACAGTCTTAGAACCAGTGAAACCTGTTGACGAAAGTGTGACCTTTGAAAGACGTGAAAGTGGACTGAATATTCCAGAAATTCAAACTCCTGAACCGGAACAACGACCTTCACAACCAGTCACCGAGGAGCTAACCAAAAATGACGTATCAATTCCAAGTTTTTCGTGTGAATTTGAAGAAACTTCTGTGGAGTTTCCTAACGTTGTTATGGAACAAGATAAAAGCTTTGAAAGTGATCTTGAGGTTGAGCCACCTGAAGATTTGAGCTCGGTCAGCTGTGCGTCAGATGACATTGGCAAATCGAACGATGATTTTGAAGAGGATGATAATAACGTACCCGTTGATAATGATAAATCACTATACGAGAAACTTCCACCGGAGGAAAAACCCAAAGACCATTTACCGTACAAAGACGATGAATTCGAAATAGAAACATGGTCAGAAACGAAAAAAACAATCAAAGAGACACACAGTACGGAGACGGTAAAAATTGAGAAAACATTCACCAAACATGGGTCCAAAACATCACCTACAAAAAATTCCTTTTCATCCAATAAAGAATCATCTTTATCTAACGCAGCTCATATTCCCACTTTAAGTCAGCCCAAAAATTCAGGAGACAGCTCTTCTGAACCGAGTGATCGTCCAGTTAATGTCACATCTGAAGTACTAGTAAAAAGACGTCGCAGCAGACGAGGAAATAGATTTGATGATATAAAGAAATCCGGAGCTCTTGTACCTGAAACTGTAGTTCAAGATGAATCTCCGAGTGTTAAAAATGCTAAACCCTTTGAACCCATCACAGTGTCAAAACAAAAACCTTTATCAACTGAACCAATCTTTATTCCTAAGGGAAAATCGCCTCAACTTAGACCAGAAATGTACTTGTTAGGTAGCGACGACGATGATTCCCGACAAGATGTTAAGAAACTTGTAGATTCCTCTTCACCTGATGAGAAAGAAGAAATGTCAAAAAATTCCCCGACGGATGAAGATGAATCTCTAGCAAAGGAGGAAATTTCCCTCGAACTTTATGATGAGTTACTAGACAACGAATTTAAAGGTTTGACCGAGCAGAATGAAGAGATTGGGTCTAGTAATGAGATTGAAGTGCCTGAAATGATTTTTGAAAAAGACTTGAAGGTAAAACTTGTTATGATTTTATGTTATTTTTTATCTTTTTTAAAGACTAATATATTGATTATAAATTATAACATATTTTCTGATTATTCAGATCACAACTTCTGAAGAACCGTATGAAGTGAAAAAAATGAAGACAAATCTCCATCGATCAGTGAAGATATTGCAAAATCTTCAGTTGAAGTCAAACCTTTGCTTTTGATTGATATTAACGATACATTAAAAAGAGTAAATGAGGATGATGGAGAATGGAAAGAAGATGTTCTTGACAAGACCAAAATACCTTTGGTTACTTCTATCGACCTGAAGGATGTTTTTATTATAAATGAAGGCACACATGAAAAGTCAGAAGGCAATATGCCCGATTTTGAGGTTTTAAGTGATAACGAAGTGAAAGAAAGTGATCCTAAGAATGAAAGAGAAGCTATCATTGACGAAAATGATGATGACGTCACTGCAATGGATAATGAAGTCATAAGGAAGAATGGTGGTTCTCCTGACGGAGTGTCGACAATAGAAACGAAAACCACGGTTGAAACTGTTGAAGTCGAGAAAAAACAATCTGACTCCACTGTCATTGAAGTAGTTGCCACAAAGCACCCCATATTTCAACAAGATACTCAGAAGGACCCTAATGCATCTTCCATTGAAGATGAGCAAGATTATGTGATAATTCCCACTGACATTGTTCAACCTAATGAAGCGATCGAACCAACAAAATTGAGACTATTGAGGCAGCTCTAGAAGATCAATCTGTTGATCTTGAAGATACTAGCGCATATTCCCCATCTTTTGACAAGACTCAGTCATTATATTCTGTCGACGAAACAACTGCATTTCTCGTTGTTACGAAAGAAACAAAACCACAACATTACCCTGATTCTGAAAGAGAATCGTCAAGTTCTGATTTTTTGACATCAGATACAGATGATGATGTGAGAAAGAAAAAACAGAGCGTGTTGACCAACGTTGTGTTAGATGATAGACAAGATCTTACAGAAACTGTAGTCGGTATTTTGGACATAAATTACGACAAATCTGATGGAAAAGAACTGAGACTTGATAAAGAGATTAATACTGTAAGTTCCCCTGCTTTAGAGAAGGGGAAATATGAATTGGATGAGGAAAAATCAGACTCTGAAATGACACTTGATGGTGATTCCACTACATCTTCTAATAAGGAGTCAACGACTGATGAGGAAGAGCAACCTTCTAAGATTCCTGAGTCTACGATCGAGACAATCATTGTTGAAAAAACACATTCTCAAGTATCTACTAGCATGACAGAAATAACGACCAAAAACATCCCTGTTTATCCTATCAATGCCCCCTTAAAACTTGACGATTCGAATGATGAGAAGGAAATTCCGATTGCTGAAAACATCCCTAGAATGGAAAGCCTACTTACGTACGGTGAGTATCCAACGAGTGATGATCACCCTACTGACGACAACACCCTGTACCACGATAATGGAAATAAAATTTTGATGAATCAGAGGGTTGAAATGCGAGAGGTTGATTTGCAAACTGAAACCACCAAGGTCTTTGATAAAATATCGCAAACAGAGTTGACAAGATTGACTCAAGATGCAAGCACTATGATCACAGAAAGGTAAGAATAGTTCTTGAAGTTTATTTTTAAAATGTGTGAGAAAATTGAAGTGACTTAATCTCTTTCGTTCTGCCAGCAAATTACCAATCAATAATAACGTGGTGATGAAAACTTCAGTTGGAAAAGTAGACCAAACGACTTATGAAGATGAAACAAAAACGTCCACAACATCATCAGAGGTTTTACGAAAATCATCAGAGAGAGTGCCAGGAAAAACTTCAGAAAAGAAAATTCAAACGGATGCTTTCATCGAAAACACATTGCCACTTATTCCAGCAGCAAATCAAGGTAAAGAAAATATCACTCAGAGTAGTTCAAGTTATTTTTAATCACCTTAAAACAACACTTTCTCTTGTTATTTAACTCCACACAAACCCTTTAATTAAACATATAATGTCTTTCATGGCTATTGCATATGTTTCTCGCTTCAGGAACACAAACAGAAGATCACACAGACCATGGTGAATGCGAAGAGATAACACGAATTACGAAAACCACAACGACCGAAACATGGCATGAGAACTGCGAAACTACGACACACAAACGGCAAATTCCGAGGAATGATTTGAAAACTGTCTGTCCTGTGTGTCTACAGAGTTTAGAGCGAACCAACTACAGTTTTATAAAGGTGAAAAATCCCTCACGTTTTGTGCCAATGGAGGAGAAATTTACACAAACCCACCCGGAAGACACTGATACGAGTACTAGCGAAAACTTTGAGATTTACTACGATGAAAAGAAATCACCTTGGTTTGTATGACAATGCTGTGCGTGCCAGAGACGTAATTTTCATCAAAGGATATGCCACCATTGAAAGGTTGATGCCAATGGCAAACTAATGATGAACTATTTTGTTGGAATGTATTTTGGTGATCACTGTGATATTTTAGAAAATATTTGATGTAACTATTCCTTATGTAGAATTATTTTATTATGTTAATTTTTGATAATTTATCTGTTAGTATTTTAACATAATAATCAATATTATGCTGTTATTAATATTATGAATGAGAGACAGGTGGAGTATAGTCAACGTTATATAGCTATGACTGTGGTGCAGTTTGTTTGTTTTAATCATATATTATATGGCTTTTTTATTATATTTGGATTGTTCTTTTTAAAAGTTTTCTTATCAAAGTAAATGCGTTTAATTTCTATTCTGTATGATTGTTAAAAACACTGTTATTATGACATGTTTTTACCCAGATTTTTTTAACAAAGAACATCATAAATCTTCCGAATCGGAAAAGAAGTTTTAACGAATGATTTGAAACATAATAGTATGAAACAATGCAATTTTATCTTACTTACTATTCGTTTTTTGTGTACAGAACGGCCATGACGATAGCTCAAGGAATGCAAAAAGAACAAGAAAGTCTTATGAAGCAACTTGACATGTTAAAGTAAGAACAAATGATTTCAATGTAGTTAAAATTCTGAAGAATATTTGCCACTTACGTAAACTGTTTAAAAGCTTGTTTTTAACTTGCTGATATATTTGCACTCATTGACTGACGTTTACACATTCTTACTCTTCGGTAAAGTCAAGATGCATTTTTAAAGGCTACCGCTAAGGATGTCGAAGCGTAACTCAATAAAAAACATTACAGTCTTTCTCATGACTACACTAACCTGGGATATCTCCCTTCACAGCAACTGTATACACATGATTAAATAAAACCAAATATATTGCAATTGTTTTGCGTAAACTTCCCTTAAATCTGCATATGAATGAACATCATCGGAATTCTATTTTAAATATCATTTTAGGGAGATGAATCAGAAATTGATTGATCAAAAAGACGTTATTGAAGCAGAACACGAGGCAGTACGTCATTTAATTTAACAACAGTTCATCAAAATAAATTATCTTCATTAATCTTTTCTTGTATCTCGAGAACTCTCCTGCAAAAAAGCATAAAGTGGTTACTCGGAAAGACTCGTATATGTCCCAGTATTTCGATGTCTTTGATCGAAACGAGGAAGTGAGAAGACGGAAATCTACACTGGAATCGGTAAATGAATCGACAGAGAATATTTTCAGGTAAATATTTTGATTCAATCATAAGAAGACCACGAAAAATAAATCTTGTTTTCCAATAATTTCAGCCCCACACCAGCGCAAAGCAAATTATCGCGAAAGTTTGGTGTTCCCCTTAAATACCAATCGTAAGTTGACTAAAGTAATGATTTCATTGCTATAACAGTTTGAAATTTTCTTTGCATTACTTTGATCTTTTGATTCCTATTCATCTCTAGTTGATTCAATATAACACTATATTTGACGATTGTTTTTGAACACTATTTTTGACCTGTTTTATGTACACTGTTTAACCATGAGGTTGTAAACAATTTTTAAACATATAGTCAGGATATGATCCCGTCTCTCGTGACGACGTGTACAATCATCTTTGTTTTAGATCGTTCAGTGTCTCCAGCAATGACGGTGTGTTGGAAGATGAATGTGAATATGAAGGTGAATGCATCTTCCCACATGGAGAAATAATTGAGTCGGTGGAGTGGAAACAAGGAAATCAGGAAACAATGAAAGTGTCCACAGAAAAAAGTAAGGAAGATGATGACTTATTGTGAATTTTCATGACAAGACGGCATGTGAAAATATGTAATAATAAAACTATGATTTCTTTAATTTAATTTATTATGTAAACACGATTATGTCTTTTCGTCTAGTTGACATGGCGGAAAGATCCAAAATTGAACAGGAATTCCGTCGACATAAACCTGCTCTCGTTAATTCCACTGAAAATAAACAAAGTTACCATAATGAAACATCAAAAGACGAAGAACAAGGTTAAATATAATGCTTTTATTGTAGTTTATTATTGATGTATTTATAAAAATGAAAGAAGGAAAAAGCTCTTAGGTCAGATAATTAATACAGTGTGGATAATTGGTGTATTTACAATGTTGGAATTCTTTATTTTCAGCCAAGTTTCAAAGTAAAACATCCGAAGTGTCAATGGAAGATTTGGACCAAGGAGATGGTAGGAAGAATAACATACCTTTGTCACCAAGAACATCGCCTGTTGGTACTGATACTGAAATTCAAGCTGAGGAGGTAAAATAAGTAGTGGAAATAGGACAAGTAGACAGTTAGTAATACTTCTTGAATATATTTCAAAACTGTTTCTTTAAAGCCTAAGAAGGTTCAACTGAATGCTGGTGGCTCAAATATTCAGCGCATTTATAAAATTGTCTTTGTTGGCGATTCTGGTGTTGGAAAGTCGAGTTTTATTCACAGATACTGCTACGAAATATGGAAACCGTCTTATACTGCTACAATAGGTTTGTAGAGCAATCGATATGTATTTCATGATAATGCAACACTAGATGACTTGGAGTTGATCCCGAATGAATGGAGGTTGAGAGATGAACTGTGGTATATTTGTGTATCACTCACCAAGTTTTCTTTGATTAGGGGTCGACTTTCAAGTGAAGTCTCTTCAACTTGGTTTGAAGACTCTGGCGCTACAGTTGTGGGACACTGCTGGTCAGGAAAGGTACTGAAGGATATCTTAGTGTTGAAGGATATCTTAGTGGGACCGTAGTGTTATTGTTAACTAAGTAAAAGCTATCGTCGTTTCAGATTCCGTAGCATCACTAAACAATATTTTCGGAAAGCCGATGGCGTTGTGCTGCTTTATGATCTTAGTTCAGAGTCATCTTTCATTAACATTAAAAGTTGGATGACAAGTGTTGAAGAGGCAGCAGACTCCGGTTGTACAGTTTTGCTTATTGGAAATAAGTTAGATCTTTGTGAAGAGAATCACAAATATCGAGCTGTGTCATATAAAAATGCTGAAGCGTTAGCAAAGGTATTTCTGTCTTAATTTTAAAATAATATAAAGGTATACAGACTGAGTTTACAGGGTTTTTTATGTCATTCCGTCGATGAGATGCTTCGTTTTCTTGACGTAAAGGTATAGCAAACATATAATTACATATTATAACGCATTTTACCCTTTGTCTCGACAGTTATGACCTAAAATATGGTAAAAAAATTAATCTAAAATCATATTTGTGAACCAAAATCTTAATCTTATTGAATTTCGTATTCATTGGCGTTTTCTGATCCGTTAAATCAGGACTATGGGTGTCTGTATACCGAGGCTAGCGCGAAATCCGGTGAAAATGTTAATGAAGCAATGGAAATTTTAGCAAGGTATCAAAAGAGCCAAGGACTTGTTGTTAATAAGAAACTTATATATATGTATGTTTTAAACATAAACTTTATTTTCATTAATTATTTTTATTATGGTAGGCGACTTCAAGATCAGGAAGACTGGGAACTACATAAAGCACTTAATGAACGAAGCTTAAGACTGGACGGTGTAGCAAAGAAAGGCAAATGTTGCGGCGGCAAATAGTTTTCAAGAAATAGACAACGTTAGATCGTCATCTCCTGCGACTCCTCAGTTTAAGGTCACCATGATCCCTTCATCTCAGGCTTTTTAAATATTATTTACCTGACACAGAGAAATCCTTAAAGAAAAGTTAATAATTTTTACTGCAACATCACAAACTATAAGGAGGTTCTACTCAAATTGGCCATTTTGTACAAGTCATGTCTTATGTAACTTACATCATTTAACAGAATTGAGTATTTCATTTTAACAATAAAAAACAACAACCAGGGAGCTTTTATATGTCCTTTGAGAATCTTGATGGCAAAAAGAAAAGACAATCTTAACTTATGTTGAAAATGTAACTATTTAAACTATTTTTTATGTTTTTCATTTAATTCATTGATATTTTATGCCGTAGTGATGAGAGTATATTTGTTTACTAGTAAGAATTAGATAAATGGCAACACTCTATAATAGATAATTTACCTTTAATTAGTCTATAAATAGCGTACGTCATGGCGTATGTCATTGATTACGTCGTTTAAAAACGTCATTGGGAAAGTGTAAACATTCAGTACTTTTGCACAGCGGTGTATACCATTGAAGGCGAAAAATTCGAAATTTTAAACAATCTTTGCATTGAAAACAAAATTATCGTTAGGAATTGTCTTAATTTTTCTTTCATTTTAACAATGACGATGTCTATGGACTCCTCTGTCAAGGTTCAACATGTGTATAAATGCTTTCTTTAGTTTGCTGTTTGTTAGCTGATTGTGTCAAATATTTGTTCATGTTCATGATTTTTTAGCTACCTGAAATTGAAGATTTTGATGTTATCAAGCCAATAAGTCGTGGAGCATTTGGGTGAGATATATATGCTGCATTCAACGAAAAATTAATACTTTGTTTACAGTATATAGATAAAGTATAATAAGTTGAAACATAATTTGTCCCCAAGAATAACGTTATACTGAGAAATTGTATTTTGTATGAAAATGGTTTTGCACTGAAATGACTGACTTAGGAAAGCATGAGTAGAGGCTTGAAGATTACTTATCTAGTAATGAGAGATAGTACTTGTGCAGCAAAGGTAATTGTGATGAAAAATGATGATAATAATTATGCAAATTTTTGTTATTGTATATGAAGTAAAGTCTTTTTGGGAAGAAAAAAGGATGAAAACACTGATGTAAATTCAGCAAAACTCTATGCTATAAAAATGATGAAGAAAACTGAACTTGTCAAGAAGAATATGATAGAACAAGGTAGTAAAAATTTTTTAAGATGCAATTGTTTTCTTCAACTTAAAAAATGACACTTTTTTTGTAGCTGTTGCAGAAAGAGATGCCCTTGCTTTATCTAAAAGTCCTTATATTGTACATCTCTTTTATTCATTTCAATCAAAGGACCAAATATATCTGGTGTGTTATATTTTATCACAATGTATGTGATCTTCATTTTGATGTGTAGAACTTTTATATTCCTTCTCATCTTTTTAGGTAATGGAATATCTCATTGGTGGAGATCTTAAATCTTTGTTATACAGTATGGGCTATTTTGATGAACAAATGGCCCGATTATATATAGCGCAGGTTCTCATTTTTATTATCATTTTTATAAGATACTGATCTTTTATTCACTTTTTTTATGCATTTTCAAAACTTTTTAGGTTGCCCTTGCTTTACAATATCTTCATAATCATGGAATCATACATCGGTAATGTAACTTTCTTCCGTCTTCACTTTATTAAAATGTATATTATAAACTTTCTTCATGTATATTATAGTAAAGGAACAATCTTTAATTGTTTTGTTCAACTATCAGAATTTACTGTTTGACTTCTTCAGAGATATAAAGCCTGACAACATGCTTGTCTCAAATGAAGGACGAATAAAACTCACAGACTTTGGACTTTCAAAGCTGGACCTTGAAAGAAACAAAAGTAATTGAAGCAGTTTGCTGTTTGAGGGTCTCCATTCTCTGTGTATGTTAACTTAAGGAGAGGGCCCAACTTTCTCTTTATGCTGACTGAAAGAGAGTGCCCCAACTTTCTTTGTTTGCTCATTGAAGGATGGAGATCTTCCTACATTTCATTTGCCTTTGTCACTGAAGGATTTTTGGGTTCTGTCTGCTTGTTGGGTATACTAGGGAAATTTGTATTGACGACGACAGTGTTTTTGGTTAATTTTTAGGTTGAAATATCCTTTAAATATTTCGTAGTGTGAATTTTTTATAGTGTTTCTAGTTGATATTTTTTTGTTATTTTTTTTTATTTATAGAACTAACAGTGATGGATGCAAGGAAAACTCCATCATGTAAACATTACACGTCATCACCTGAATACTGGAGAACACCTGGACAAATTGCGTCACTAAAAACAGATTTTACTTTTGTATGCTCTCTTTGTACTCTAAGTGTAGTTGACAGATTGTCAACTTTTAATATTTTTGCCATAATACAACAGCATACTGTGTTTCTTCTAGTCAATTCCAAAGCTACTAAAACCAAGAACTCAGATGCTTTCTCGTATACTCTCAGAGGAGTGCGAAGAAACTTTAGAGTCCCCATATGTTTTTGCCACTCCTAAACTAAAGCACAGAAGATCCTCTTCTTCAGCTGTGTTCCATACCCCAGGTATGAAACATCAGAGAAACACATTAATGACAATACCTCTGAATCTTGCAAGTTTCCGTGAAAAGTTCGATATGCATTAATTCATTGAACGTGAAATCTTCTTTTGTTGCAGATTTAGAGTCAATACAATAAAAAATGTAATATAATTTATGTTGAATAACTTGTTCTACTACCTAGTAGCTATCATCTTTTTATTGTGTTAAGAACGGAAGGGTCAACATTCTGATGAGGACGAACAAGAACGCTCTCCTAAACGCCGTAGAACGAGTCGATCAGGGTTAACATGTGAGATGCAGTTATTTCAGTTGAACAAATGCAAAGATGTGAATGAGAAAGTTGCTCCACGTGTTAGCACTGCAACTGATGACGTCAGCGTTATGGGGAGACAAGAAAGCTAGGACAGCATCATCGTCTCAGAAAACGACCAATTCTGGCGTTTGGGATAAAGATAAATCAATGGAGAGCAGTCCATTGAGCAGAAACTTTGACGATGCATCTCAGTCTTTCAGCACGTCACCAAATGTTTTTTATTCTTGTGCAAGTCATTTGAATAGTCTTTCTAAAGTTGACTTGTCGCGCACGACCCAAGAAAACAGTCAAAGGACTGTTTCATCTTCCTTATACTTCACACCTTTATCATCGTTTATTCCGCAAAATAAGCAGAATTTAGCCCACGACAGTCTAGTGGATACTGCAGAAAATGAAGGCGTTTGTTCAAGATTTTTCAAACACCAAATGTAAATCCCACGAAGCATTATCAAACTGCTTCCGCGTCAAGAATAAAATTTCGATCACCATTGACGTTAGCATGTGATGATACCGGACGATGTTCCTACACAACACCTCGTCGACGTCGTGATCACGTGAGTTTACGGCTGGATCACGTGTTTTAGAGATTTATATTATAGCTTTACTAGAGATTTTTTATCATAGGATAGTATATCCTTTTCAAAATATTCTAATATTGTTTAGATGACTCCACTACGAACACCAAAGTCATGTACACGAGGTCCTATACCTAATCCTCGACAAAGAATAGTGGGAACACCTGACTATTTAGCTCCGGAAGTTTTACTTATGCAAGATCATGGTATTATTATTCTAGTAGCAAATCTAGAGGATTTTTACTGAGTTATGGAAGAAAACTTTTTCATATGATGAATTTCATCTTAGTTTTCATAACAGTGTAAAATATAAATTTCTTCCTTAGATGCTGGCGTTGACTGGTGGGCTCTTGGTGTGTGCTTATATGAATTCCTGACTGGTATTCCTCCCTTTTCTGACGAAACTCCTGAGCTGATTTTCAAACACATTATTAACATAGGTAATTTCAATGTGTGGAACGACATCGAAATTGTTGTACGTGGTATCAAACATTTAATATATATTGTTGTATTTTAGAATATCTTCTTCCTGAAGGAGAGGAAGCCTTGTCTAATGTTGCTGAAAGTGCAATTGCAAGTATTCTTGTTAAAGATCCTTCTAAAAGACCTAAAGCAGAAGGTTTGTCTATTTATTGACATGTTAATGTTGTGACGTGTAACTGAGATGTTGCTTATTATAGAGATAAAAAAGCTGTCATTTTTTTCTGTATTTGAATGGTCAAAAATTGATGGGTATCCAGCGCCTTTTCTTCCTCATCCTGATGATGATTTGGATACATTTTATTTTGAAGGTATGACTGAATATATTAATGTAATTTAATGACCAAGAACAACGATAGTTTTTAATGTTAACCGTTCGTTCAAAAAAATACAACGAGAAGAGTCTTTATACTACCTAAGATAACGTGTCAGTGTAGGTAGTTATAAATGAACAACAGAGAAAAAGAACAGTCCTCACACAACCTAAAATGACATAACATGTGACACTATAGGGAACAAAGACCATGCATAGAACAAGAATAGTGTTCACTTTCATATTTTTGTGTCATAGAACATTCTTTTTAATATTCAATGGGCTTTACTAAAAATATGCTATAGCACATTTTATAGGATTCTATACTCGACAGAACATTTTCGTGTGAGAACGTACGTTAATCAGCATATACAAATTTTACCATTTGATATTGGTGTATTTTAGCAAGAAATTCTGCTCAAAATATTCATATGTCGTCGTTTGCGAATGACAAACAAGATATTGTTACCTGAAAAGACGTTTGACAGAACGAACATAACTCATTATTTATTTATCATCATCTTAATTGTTGCTTGGGAAATTAATGTTCTATAATATCTTTGGATTAAAATTATTAAAAGCCACACAAAAGATTGTAATATAATTGACAATGTAAAGAAATAGAATTAATTTTAGTATAAATTATGCAACTTTTATGAATTTTGACGTTTGATTTACATATATAAATATAACACGTGGATTTTTGAACATTTTACCAGTCGCCATGAACCACTCCTAGAAAGATTATTGATTTCACTTTTTATACTTAAAACTCCGTGATGATGGTGGTATGTGTGTTATCTTATTATTATTTAATTGGTTGTTCTTGATTAACAATTTGAGAGCTGTTTGTTATGGTACTCAAATACCATAGTATACATGTAAATGTTGTACTTGTAAACTCTGAACGCCAAATTTTAGTATCTCTGACGATACCAGCCAACGTTGTGTGATTTCTTAAGTAGAAAAAATGACACGGCAAAGCGCACATCAGATTTACTGAGATTATCTTGAGGTGTTACTGCAATGATTATTGATCATCTTTCGTTGGGTTATTTTTAGCACAAACGCGTGTTTATTAAAGGTGGAACAGTTGTTAACCATGATTGTATGTTTGATGCTGATGTCTTCATTGAAGATGGTATCATAAAGTAAGATGTAAACATAATTAATCTTAATTTGATGAGAAATATTTTGTAGCATGTTTTGTGTTGTATATTGATACTTATAAGGTTTTTGTACTTAATGGATGTTAATACAACTGTAGAGATGTTGGTGAATCACTTGTGGTGCCTGGTGGAGCAAAGGTTATTGATGCTCATAAGAAATATGTTATGCCTGGTAAACTTAACCACAATGCTTTTATATTGACATAAATAATTAACCTCTTCTTAAAACTTATTTTTGGTGATGTTAAGGTGGCATTGATACACATACACACATGCAGTTGCCTTTTATGGGAACTGTTGCTGTGGATGATTTTTATTATGGTACTCGTGCAGCTCTCATTGGAGGAACAACTATGATAAGTAAGACAAAATTTTAATATTTGATTATAAAATTCACTGTGTAGTTTAATCATTTATTGTGGAATTATTTGTTTTTTAGTTGATTTTGTGATTCCCATGAAAGGGGAATCATTACTTGCTGCTTATGATAAATGGAGAAAGTGGGCAGATGAAAAAGGTCTCCCAAATTATTGTATTGACAAATGCTTTCTTCAACTTTTTTAGATTTCATCTGTTTGGTGCATGACTATAATTTTGAAAAAATGAACTGATGATTAAAAGATATATTATTTTCATGTAGTTGTGTGTGATTACTCATTCCATGTAGCAGTTACATGGTGGGATGAAAGTGTTGGCAAAGAGATGGAAGTGCTTTGCAAAGAACGAGGTAAATAAACATTGACTTTCAAGAAAATGTTTGTGATTTTTCCATTAATAATTGATATATGATTTTATAATTCCAACAACTATAATATTACGATATGTTGCATATATTATTAAGTCATTTCAGTCAATCAAATTTTATTGTTAATATGATGCTTTAGGAGTGAACTCGTTCAAGACATTTATGGCTTATAAAGATGTAATGATGACAACAGATGAGGAAATGTATCACATTTATTCAAAATGTAAAGACTTAGGTGCTTTAGCAATGGTTCATGCTGAAAATGGTGATTTGATCCATGAGGTTTGAATTTGTTATCTGTTACAGTTTATTATATCCATGCTTGATATTATGCATTCAGTGAAGATGGACCTGTTGTTTAGAATGTGTAGAAAGGACTGTATAATATCTTGCTTTGTTTTTATTTTTAGGGTTCAAAGAAGATGATTTCTTTGGGAATCACTGGACCAGAAGGTCATGAAATGTGCCGTCCAGAATGGGTATGTCATTTTCAAGACATATACACAAAAGATGGCACTTTTAACCAGTATTTAGCACTAGAAATTCAATAATGTTTTATCTTAGGTTGAAGCTGAAGCAACTCTTAGAGCAATTACTATTGCCAGTCAGGTACAATTTTCTCTGTCTAATAAATATGTTTCCTTATCTATTGTCATCCATAAATATCCATAATGGTCTACAATTATCTTCATATATAAATATAACTTTATACCATCCCCATTAGGTCAATTGTCCAATATATATTGTTCATGTAATGAGCAAAAGCAGTGCCAATGTTATAGCAGATGCTCGTAGACGTGGTTGTGTTGTCTTTGGTGAACCAATAGCTGCAGGACTCGGTGCTAATGGTACAAACTATTGGCATAAATGTTGGCGACATGCAGCTGCACATGTTATGGGTCCACCATTACGTCCCGATTTATCAACACCTGATCATTTAATGGATCTTCTAGCCAAGTATGATGTCATGTATCACAGTATTTATGTTGTTATTTTCTTAATGGAACTCAGATTAGTATTTGGTGATAATTTACCTCCTTGTAAAATAGCTTAGAGTTGATTGAACTCATAAATCATGTCAATACTAGTTAAGATTTCTTGCTGAATGCTAACTAAATAAAAAAGAAGTAGCCTTTACTGAAGCTAAAGGTGTTCTATTGTTATGAACTAGAAGAACTGGCCTAAGATAATTTGTTATTTTGATAGACCAGTTTTTCCTTTTATTTCAGTGGTGATCTTCAGTGTACTGGAACAGACAACTGCACATTTAGCACAAATCAAAAAGCTCTTGGTAAAGACGACTTTCGTAAAATACCAAATGGAGTAAATGGTGAGTTGTCTACATGTAAATATTGACCATCGCTCTTGTTTTTATGTCCAAATTGCAATGTCTATGTTTTCTTTCTATTTTTTCCAATCTTGTATAACATTCTTTTCTCAGCTGCTTCAAATAATTTTTTCGTTCAGGTGTGGAGGATAGAATGTCGGTAATATGGGAGAAAGGAGTGGTGAGATAATTTTTTCTTGATTTCCTTTTTACTGTCTGCAAACTTCTAGTTCTCATCATTAATTATATCATTTAGCATGCTGGTAAAATGGATCCATGTAGATTTGTTGCAGTAACAAGCACAGAAGCAGCAAAAATCTATAACATTTATCCCAGAAAGGTTAGTAAATTAAAAAATGTTAGGTTTTGATGTGTGCTGATATGATGTTTCAGCGCTTAGAAATTGATAAACTTTACTGATTTTAGGGTCGCATAGCGAAGGGTTCAGATGGTGATGTGATTGTGTGGGATCCTCATGAGAGTCGTGTTATATCAGCTAAGACTCATCATCAGGCATGGGAAATTGACTTGTTATGTGATGCACATTAAATTCCCTTGTATTTAGTTTGCTTTGTCTTTAACGATACATTTTTTGCGTGTTTTTTTTAGATGGTAGATTTCAATATCTTCGAGGGCCTCGAGTGTCATGGTGTATGTAAAGTTACAATCTCACGGGGTGAAGTTTTATATGAAAATGGAGAGGTTATTTTTAACCAATATTTTCTCCTTCAACAAGTCAGATTTAACATATACGTAGTTTTGTTTTTCCCGACAGTTAAACGTCGTAAGAGGTAATGGCAAGTTCATCCCCAATCCAGTATTTTCAAATTACGTTTACAAAACTGTACAACAAAGAGATAAGGTAATTTTAATGATAGAATAACTTCATCCTTATGAACTGTTTTTTCTGGAAATTCATTAACTTGAAAAAAACTTCAACTAAAAAATAATTGTTAAGGTTTGGGTTCCCAAGAAGGTAGAACGTGAACCTTATACGGGCGAAGTGATTCAGATTAAACTGGATGATATACCTCAAACTACCATCTCACCAGAACAATACTCAAAGAAAGCAAGAAAGGAGAAAGTTCAACGTTCAGGACACAGAGATCTACATTCATCTGGTTTCTCATTGGCTGGTTAGTACACCCAATAACTCTTCATGTACTTTAAAAATAGTAAAACTTGGTGTAAATATGGGAGTATTTCTGTCGTTGTTAGTGCATCCCAGGGATGTTCATTTAAGGCTACTTTTCTTTAGGTGAGCAAGTTGATGATGATCAGCCTTTCCGACCTTCATCTCGAATACACAAACCTCCGGGTGGCGGATCTTCTTTTTCTCTTCGTTAAACCATGTTTATAACAGTTGACAAAACTTATTAATCAAATTTATTCATCAATTTTGAACAACAAGTTTTCTCAACTTTTATAAACTTATCAAATGCCAACCTATTGACTCTTCACAATCTTTTTTTGTAATTCAATAATTTTGTACTCAATTATTCAAAGATATAAAAAAAATTAACGAAGTATCGTGCTTGTAAATTGCTATTCCGTTGATAGAGAAGGGCATGCCCCCCCTGGACATAAAGGTAGACATAATGGTAGACTAGCGTAGACTAAATATAGTGTCGACTATGTAGGGTATCTACTATGATGGGGGGTGGTGGGGCGCAACTATGTAGAGTGTCTTCTGAATAGGATATCGACTAGGGTATTTTTGTCTCTACCTTAGTGTCTACCTTTATGTCAACATTTTTGTTTACCATTATTATCTACCTTTGTGTCTACCTTCGTTTCTAACTTTATGTCTCCGTTTGTATGTGTACCTTTGTGTCTACCTTTGTTTCTACTTTATGTGTGGTATTCTTCTTGATCTATTTGGCCCTACACAGTTTACTTTCTTAAATTCTTGAGGTGAATTCTTCTTTATGTTTTTATTTCTAAGCAAACCTTGATTAAAAATGATCTAGCAATGCAATGTAACAAAATTAATCATCCAAGTCATTTCATTCATTATTTCGATTTAATACAATAATTTTTTCTCGCAGGTTTGTCATGTAACTGAGAATAAGTGTAAAGATCTCAAGCTATTTGTGATCGAGAAGCAAACAATGCTTATCTTGTTGATGCCCAACAGTTACATCTTCACTGATGCAAATTTCTCCTATCTCAACACGATATTGGATTGTGAAGGACAAACTAGTATCAAACTAACTTTATGATCCAACTGTTTTGCTCCTCAAAATTAGTGACTGAAAAAGGAGAAAAATGCCTGATATGTTTTAGAGTCAATTTTCAATTCCAGTGAAGTAAGTGAAAGTCAATTTATTAGTCACGTGATTACCTAATTAAATATTACATCGTTATACAAATCGACCATAAAACTTTCATATGTTCTCTTTATTATTCCATTACATCACATTTTAACTTCATTCATGTATCATAAGGTAAACATAAGGTAAATACATTGACCATCATCAAAAAAATGATATGTAAAAATGTGAACAAGTCAACTGATAAGCAAGAACTACTATTTTTTGTGTTCTCTGTGAATAAAGATGGTTACTTTACGTAAAATTGTATTTTAATTTCATGAAATAATTTTTGTTGCAGTTTGTCATTGATATTCACTTCATGTTCATGTCTTGTATTAGCCAGTTCTTTGTCGTTCTTAAATAGCATCAATTTTGTTTTCTTAGGGTCAGCTTTAACCCATACTTCTCTAAGCTTTTTTTAGCCACTTCAAGAATCAAGGTAATAGTTCTTAAAGTAAAATTCCTTTCCTGTGGTTAACCTCTTTTAGTCGCCTCTTACGACACGCAGAGGATACGTTGGGTCTATTCTTAAACGCCGGAGCCCACACGGCATGCGTAATGTTCTCTTTTTGTGTATACAGCCTTGTAATTCTTACAGTGTGTGAAGCTTTCATTCATAGAGTTTTCTTGGCATTATCATTCCTTTATTGATACATATATTTACCAAAAGAAAAAACGAAGTTTTTTAACCACGTGATGCAACAAATGAATACGTCATTTCTTGCACAAATAATACCTTAAAAATTTAAAAACAAACATTATTACACAGCAATAAATATTTTACATTTTCTAAATAACTACATTCATACAGTTGTACATGGTAAAAAATTTTTTTACCTTGATTTTCCAAGATGAATTAACATGATCCATAGTTTAAAGAAAGTAAATTATTCTTCTTTCAGCTGGCGGTTTTCGAGTGGACTGGGAATTTAACCCAATAACCATGCAAACCCTTCATGTTTCCTGTAGGTCCCAAACATGGCCACCCTTTTTTGTTTTTGGGAATATTCGAGAGAATACTTATTGAGGGAAACCGGCGATACGCCGGAGGAAAACCCTCAAGAAAACGTTGGTTGTATGCTTAGGATCACCTTGTCTATTTTTTTAAATGTTATCTTTACAAAAGTCATGTTTACATTCATAAGTCCTTAGTTATGTTTACAACAATATGTAGACTGCCTCTATCTTTACAAAGTTGTTGAAAGAGGTGATCAAAGCAACATACATCCTTGTAAAAATTGTCTTTTAAAAATGAACCGAATCCGCCAAACACTGCCATTTTTTAAGTCGCTTTTGACTTTTCCGGGGTTTTTTTTGCGTATGCGCAGCCTTAGCTAACTCTGTCGATCAGTGGCATGAAATAACCGATTTTAACATTTAACTAATATCTATAAAATAAAATAAATCAAAGCAAACCTTTCCACGATGAGACGACCTGCGACGATGAGACACCTGCAAAGCGACATTAGTACCCGAGCCGAATTGGAACCTAATGGATGGGGAACCGCTTCCCTGGGCCCTTATACATTACCAAACGGCGTGCCAGCCAATCCTTCTTGTGTCCAACACTCGATCACCTAGGCACCAGTTTGGCACCGTTTACAATTATTTCTACCTACATCTACTCTTAATGTATCGCCGATTAGTTCGTCTCGTTATCAAATCATCTTTCTTCAGCAAATCGATGAAGATGTTAGTCTTGATTTTGAGACGAGCATGCCACTGTCATAACATTGATTTTGATATTCAAAAGCAATGCCAGAGTATCATGCACCTAATCTGTTTCGTTGTATATAAGACGATTGTTTGTTTTTTCACGACAGATATAGTCATCTTGATGATGCAGGTCATTTTTAGCCACAAACATTTTTAAACACTTAAAGTTGTTCCTTTTGTGCCGCATTCATTGACACTAAGCTTTTTTTTGTTTAGCATGGTTGAAAAGTTTATCTTAAACCGCTAATAAAACGAATCGTGGAAATTGAAGGAGCATCATCAAGCAAGAATATTTCAGGCATTTATAATTTAATTTAAATTTAATTTAATTTATGTCATGCAGCTGCTTGCAATGCCGAAATTTGCCGAATTTTGCTTTGCTGTTTTCTGCCATGTTTTGTATTTTGCCATGTTTTCGATTCCGCCATGTTTTGGATTCTGCCATATTTTTGACCGTTTTTTTTGTGATCGTATCGCACTTTTATTCAGGCATTCAGACTTTTAATGTTTAGTTATGCTTTTAGTTTTCATGTTGAATTTGAAATATTCATGCGCACGACCAAAATTCAAAGAAACCCATGCTTATTTCTTTGAACCTAGCATCGTGTATCCTGGTGATCAAAAAATGAAATTCTGTTTCATCAACTGTAAACATGCTCTGACTATCAGACATTAATAGAAGCTCTTGAATGACGACATCCTTATTTTGTACGATAGCTTGGCAAAAGCTCTCGTGCAGTTCAAGATGTTACGTCATTTTCAGAGAAATGTTCGCACTGAAGTGCACTTTGTCGTGCTCCAAAACAAGAAAACCGAAATAAAAATATTTAAACACTAACAGGAATCAAGAGAACGACTAACTTTGTATTTCACCTCAGTCAGTGTTCAATTGTAATCATGTTAATGTTGATCACCAGGATTTTAATAAAATGTAAACCATTGTACCTTTATCATCATGATTTGTACAACCTTAACGTCATCCTTGACAATGATGGCATAATCCAAGATATCCACATTGTTTTCGCGACATGACGACTTTGTCCACGATATCCACGATATAATCCACGATATCCACAATATAATCCACGATATGTTCTGCATAATGTCCATAGTGTAGTCCAATTTGTGCATAATATTGTTCGTAATATCGATGATGTATTCATCAACTTGATATGATAGTGGAATCTTTGAAAAAATAAAATGTCTTTTATGAGGAAAAAATCAACACGCCCGTTTGTGAAACTATTTTTTACATCAAAGTAAAGGGTTTTGGAAGATAAACTAAAAAACAGGCAGTTTCATTTTAAGGAAGGTCTCTCAAAAATCGTACTTGCCTTATGTAAAGTAGTTAAAGTAAGAGTTACGAACAGTTAAACACATACCTTTGAGATGGATGTTGAAAACAGTCAAATGCTTTCCAAAACGCTCAGCGATGATAAAGGCGCTACAATTCCATTGGAATCTCCATGCTGCATTTGAACCACAATTGATTTATTCCAAGTAGAGTATTTTTTTCCCTCGACGAGCTTAACGTTCCCAGCAGCATGCAGTTTGACACAAAAATTGATTAAGAAAGTGTTCAAACTTCTATGATGTTAAGACACGAGATTGCACCAAGAACAAAATACCAGCTGAAACATTTTGTGCACGAGCGTTGATTTCATTAAAGATAGTGTTTGACTCATATTTTCTCTCAAAAGTTCGTACTTGATGCGACTTAGAAACCAGGATTTGTTCTGCTGTTTGATATTTTGACGTGATCAATTTTTCACTTGAGCCAACACGAGCATTGTTTTGGATTTACTTGTGCACATTACAGTAAAAATATTGAATATAAAACCAAAATATGTACCGGCGTGTTTCAGTTCAGGTTATTTCAAATAGCCTCAATTCTTATGTATTTCTCTTCAGTGTTCAAAGCATGTATTTTATGCTTGACATTAATATATTTGTCATGCTCAAGCTCTTTATACAATACGTATATTTAGATGGAACAAAATACTATTGTTATGCACAAAATCTTCAGACTAACGAAACGATATTGGCAATACACAACACTTTATCCACCAGTTAAAGAAAGCAATTAGGGGTAAAACTTTATGCAAACTATTTACAAATAATTTTATAAAGCTAATTTTTTTGTTATTTGCATTACTCCTTCTCTTTGTCGTGTCTTTATAGATCTTTAAACTTGTTTAGAATGGCCGTTTTTTCTTCTTCCCTTCTTTATTCGTCTGTGTGAAGATGCAGTGTTCCCGAAACGTTAAGGTAATCCGGCAAATGAAAACGCGCTGCGCTAGCTTGGAAGATGCATTGATGTAACCCAGCAAATGAAGATGCTTTGGCTTGGATGAAATACATTGATGTAACCCAGCAAAGAAAGATGCAAGAGCATCTTTCTTTGCTGGGTTACATCAATATGTTTCTTTGGGTTACATCAAACCCAAGAGCCGTTGAAGTAAACCGGTAAACAAAGATTCGCTGTGCGCTGCTTTCCAAGAAATGTTGAGGTAACCCGGCTAAATAGGATGCTGCGCTTAAAAAACCCTTGATGCAAGGTGTTTAAATGAAGGTGTTTTTCTATGTCAATGTAGCAACCATGATTGATCCAGTTTCTTATTTCCCTATTGAAAATTCATCTTTGATCCAAGAAAATTTCAACAAAATTTTCTTGGAAATTTGTTGTATACCTTGATATTCCACGTAAGATCTTGCTTTCATCTATTTGGCTTTTGTTTCTAGTCTATCTAGCATTTCTGGTACAGTTTATTTACAATATTATATTATTTATTCGTTATACATCTTATTTTGAAAGGGAAATTTATCAAGGATCTACCTCTACGTCTCTATGACCACCACTGCTATACTTTCAAATTAAGGCATATTACTCAAAAGTATGATTCAATTAATGTATAATACAATCATGCAAGTTAAATGGGTTTTGCCAGTTTACCTCGCAAAACGTTATTTGAACTGAAAAACGTCGAAAAAATAAAGCCCAATCTTTAAAAAATGTTTTGTTGAAATGTGCACAAGTCGACCGATAAACAAGCGCTTCTGGTGGTTAATTTAATCCACATTGTCTTTATTTTAATTTCATAAAATAATTTTGTTGCAGTTTCTCAATGATTTTCGCTTCATGTTCATGTTTTATTATCGCCAGTTCTTCGCCGTTCTTTTAAATACCATCAATTTTGTTTCCTTAGGGTCAGCTTTAACCCATATTTCTCTAAGCTTTTTGGCCACTTCAAGAACGAAGGGAATAGTTCTTAAAGTAAAGTGCCTTTCCTGTGGTTAACCTCTTTTAGTCGCCTCTTACGACACGCAGAGGATACGTTGGGTCTATTCTTAAACGCCGGAGCCCACACGGCATGCGTAAGGTTCTCTTTTTGTGTATACGGCCTTGTGATTCTTACAGTGTGTGAAGCTTTCATTCATAGAGTTTTCTTGGCATTATCATTCCTTTATTGATACATATATTTACCAAAAGAAGAAACGAAGTTTTTTAACCACGTGATGCAGCAAATGAATACTTCATTTCTTGCA